TTAGAATTATACTTAAGCTCTCGTCCAGGCAGTGGTCTTGATTTCGGAGATATTACGTTAATCCTCTTTCTCTACGCCGACGATATGGTTTTAATGTCTAACTCCATAGAAGATCTTCAACAAAGTTTAAATGACCTTCACACATACTGTGATCGATGGGATTAAAAGTGAACATTGACAAAACAAAAGTGATGGTATTTCGACGGAGGGGAAGACTGAAAAATAGCGAACAATGGACTTATGACGGAAATCGTCTGGAGATAGTGGATAACTTTAATTACTTAGGAACGGTCTTTAATTCTAACGGTCGTTTTGATTCGAATGTACAAATGCTAGTTGGAAAATCGCTTAAAGCAATGAATACCTTAATATCAAATACTAAAGACTTTGATATTACACCAAAAAACTATGTGCAGCCTTTTTTGACGCTTTTTGTGTTTCTATTTTAAATTACTCTTCTGAAGTATGGGGTTATACAAAATGTCAAGAAATGGAGAGAATACATCTTAAATTTTGCAAACATATTCTAAATGTTAAATTGTCCACTAGTAATGTTTGGTGTATATACGGTGAACTTGCACGTTTTCCTTTATATATTAATCGCTATATCAGAATTATTAAATTCTGGCTTAAAATTTTGAATACGAAAAAAATTGCGTTATTAGAAAAAATTTATGATTTGATGCTAGAAGATGAAAAAATAAACTGGGCTCATAACGTAAAGAAATTATTATATAGCTATGGATTCGGCTGTATTTGGGAATCACCACAAAATGTTGACATTAACTGTTTCATTACATGTTTTAGGCAGCGTTTAATAGATACTTTTGTGCAAGACTGGAATAGTAGTTTGACTAACAATAGTGTTTTATTTGTGTATAAGAATGTTAAACAAGACTTTGTGTATGAGGATTACCTGAGTGTTGTTAAATCAAAAAAGTGTAGACAAGTTTTAACAAAGTTTAGACTCTCTTCACATAAACTACGAATTGAGTCCGGTAGATACGGACAGAATAGGATAGAAAGGAGCGAGAGAGTTTGCGAAGTATGTGGATCAAATGACATTGAAGATGAATATCATTTTATTTTAACATGTACAAAGTATAAAAAGTATAAGAAAACGATATATAGACAATTATTTTTACGAACGTCCTAGTGTGTTTAAACTCACTCAGTTGTTTAAATCAAAGAATGTACACACTTTGAACAATCTAGCTTGCTATCTGAATTGTGCCTTGAAAATAAGGAGTAATTTGTTAACATAGTCTCATTGTATGAATTATTTGAGTCTGTAATACTAATATATTCCAAAGAAGTACTATAGTTTATTGCTTTTGTTTCAATATAATATTGCTCTAGAAATACTTAGTAGCCAAGTGCATTTCTCTTGCCGGGATAACAATTGTTCGATATCTTAAGAAAATAATATAATTGTAATCTGACTTTGTATAAATAACCATTATATTATATCACTCTCATGATAAATAATTATGTACTGATGTGTATATATATTTATAAAAGAATATTAATACTTTTGTAATGTTTATGTGATACCTTGATATATACTGTATTTCTGTTAAGATGAGGAGCATATGCTCAAGTCTGAAAATAATAAAATATTTGTTCTGTTGTTCTGTTCTGTTCTGTAAATTATGATGATAAATGGCCATACGCACTTACATCTAATTTGTAATATTGGGAGTTTCTGTTTACATATTTTCAACCTCTTTCCGCTATTACTGACCATTGTAAACAAACAACCTCTTCGATATTGTTAACTAATTTTACCCTTATCCTTGTTCATCGGCCAGATTTTTGAAAAACCACTTACAATGCGAAGGCAATTTAGTAATATGAGTTTCACATGAAAGAGAATAAAACGGAGACTAATTTAAGAACAAAAGGAAACATGGGTCTTACAAGGAATTTGATCTTCGTAGTTTAGAATAATATTCTTATGAAGTGAAACATTTTAACACAAAATGAAGCTGTGAATCGAATGAGAAAAGAACAATCGCTTGCTTCGTTATTTTTTAAAGCGCTAATCGCACTGTTACGTTTGAGAAATATGATAAAGTGACTTGCAACGAATTTTCTAAAGTTTGGAACTGTTCTAGTTGTAGTTATACGAGACTTAAAATAATTATTGCTTTCTCTATTGATAGCAACAAAAAGAAACAAAAACTGTAATCTTCATATATCCAAGCACGAAACACGCGGTAGAATAAAGTGTAATTAAACGTAAAACCAAAACACGAAAATAACGTGCACTGTAAAAATGGAAACATCACGATGTAAAATTATTGGTCAGAAGAAAAATGAAAAATGGCGAGCGTTACGTAATATGGTCCTGGAACAAACGCACGAGGAAAAGTCGGACGAAATGAGAACATGGGTGAGAAGGAAACATTGCATGGGACTGAGGTAATGGTTTGATGATTTATTAATTTAGGTTTTCATGGTTCATACAACAATAACTAGTTTTCTGTCATGTTAAGCTTTATGTTGTATATGTTTTCTTATGTCATATCAACATCAGTACTGAAATCCAGTTTTAAGAATTCAATAACACAGTTGCCTTGAAATGGTTAACCCGGGTCTTTGATCTTCGTAATTTCACTCACTGCACGTGAATCAATCACAGTGTATTTTTTTCTTACGTATGTAACGTAGAAGATATTTCAAAATTAATTATTATTATCTTCAAAGTATGTGAATAACAAAATTATGAGTCAGTCGAAACCGAAAATAAGCATAATCACAATTTATCTCATGTTTAAGTATTAAAACATATATGAAAAAAAGCATGTTTTTTTCTTGCTTAAACATGCTCAGGTAATAAACTGTACAACTTGTTATATACGAAGGCTCGACAACTCTTATATACACTAATATCAAAACTCTTATAAGGTACGACAACTCTTATATACACTAATATCAAAACTCTTATAAGGTACGACAGCTCTTATACATGTATACACTTATATCAAAACTCTTATAAAGTACGACAACACTTAAAGTTATATACACTAATATCAAAACTTTTACAAGGTACGACAACTCTCATATACACTAATATCAAAACTTTTATAAGGTACGACAACTCTTATATACACTAATATCAAAACTTTTATAAGGTTTGACAACTCTTGTAAACACTTATGTCTAAAACGTATTATAAGGTACGACAACTATTATATACACTAATATCAAAACTTTTATAAGGTTTGACAACTCTTGTAAACACTTATATCTAAAATGTATTATAAGGTTCGACAACTCGAATAAATATTTTTATCAAAAGTGTATTATAAAGTTCCTCAACTATAATATACATTTACACCAATTACAAAGTGCCTCATATCAAAGAATGTATATAACGTATCACATATTTGATATACACGTATATCATGATATTATAAGCTGGGACATACGATAACTGGGACATGGGATAACTTTATGTCCCAGATTACAAATTACGACAAATTTATATACATGTATATCATATAAACTAATACCAAAACTGTTTTAATGTACGTAATGCCAAAACTATTAAAATGTACTTAATACCAAACGTATTATAATGTACGATAACTGTTATACATATGTATATACTTATATCAAAGGTAAATTATAAGATACGTCAACTTTGATATACACTTGTAACAAAGCTATACTATAAGGAACGATAACTCGAAAATTCACTTTTACCAAAAGTATTTTTATCAGGAACGACAACTGACGTGTTTGGTCACAACGTCAAGGGAGGTAAATGATAATTCAATAAACTCGACTACTTGTGATTTTTTTTGCAGTTGACATGTGTTTAAATATTTATTCTAGAGTCTATCTGTCATAAAACTGAATAATATTGTCAGACTGTTGATACACTTTGTTATCAGACAAGATGGTTCAGGGCATTGATAGATATAGGAGTCAATCCTTTAATCTTTATAAAACGACAAACATTAGTAGGTGGTGTATAAATATGTATAGAGTCCAAAAAATGTATCTTCCTTTTGACGTAACAAATGTCAAACATATCAAAATTTAAGATATCTTTTGAGATAGAAAATCGTTTGTTTAACTATTAACAACGTTAAAACAAAACGAATGAAGAATTAAGCTTTACTGCTAAATGATAAATAGTTTCTTTCAGCATTTAAATATTTAATAAATTGTTCCGAGAATGTTTAATTGAAATATATCGCCTACTTGTTGGTATGAATAATTATAAACAGTGTACCCGCAACATGTCTGAGATACCTAGGTTCAAGTAAAAAATGCAATTACATCTGCTCTTCGCCGCGCCTACCGGCAGAAAATAGCAGGGACTGTGTCCTTCGGAGTATTAAATCCCTGGTAAAGGCACCGCCTGAAAAAGCAGTCAGTTACTCCCATCTTCGCTAAAATGTCCCCTCAATTTGCGCTTTGGACATTTCTCCGACATGATGGTGCCAAACAAAACTATCAGAAAAAGATTCGTTAATAAAAATGCTCTTATTACCGGGCTATCACAACCACTGTTGGTGACAATGTTACGGTTAACTTTGCATTATTTACATACTGCACTGCAAAAAGGCCAAAATATCTTTTTTAAATAAAAATAAAGAAACAGAAATTAATAGAAAATAAAAGAAGAAAAAGAAATGAATAGAAAAAAAACGTATTGATTTAAAATTTTGTTTCATGGCAACAAACAAACAATTAGTAACCAAGTAAACCTAACCAGCAGAAATGTACAACATGCTAAAACAGTAGATATTCGTACATGCAACAAAAATAGTTTCTAATATCATATATATAAAATATATACCTATATATTACAGGTAACACTACTTTAATTTACATTAATACTACACCAGTTGTGCCTTTAACGAATTATTTTAATAGATCTCTAACAGAAATAAAAACGTAATAGTATTCGGCCATGGTGTAACATGAAATAAAGATTTCCTGATGTTTTGATTAAAGATCGGTAGTTATCAATTTTACAAAAGTGTTTAAACTTTCGCGGTCAATAGAATACCGTCTATTCAAATACACAAACATATCTGATTGAAATGACATCCGACTAAATAGGTAATTTAATAAGAGTTAACGTCAATCTAAAAACTCTATAAAGTGATTCAATAGCAACGGTGTACGGTTAGAAATATTAGAAATATCATTAAAATCTTGGGGGTATTTTTTCGCCAAAAACAAGTTTGTTCTTTATCACAACGGATATACATGGATGATAAGTTTGATAAGTTATAAGCCACTGTCATAAAATGTTATATGAAAAGGAATTATGTGATAGTGTTTTTAAAAAATATTCCTGTCGGACAATGCAGTTATTAATTTGTTATTAATATGATAATTATGTGAAAAATCAGCGAGTACGTGATATAATTATTAACAAAAACTCTTAATAGATAGTTTATAAGTTATATATCATATTCATTGAAAGACAATTTCACAATAAACGTATGAAATGTTGACTGGACGATTATCACGGTCGCAGTCAAGACCGAACACTGCCTGTAACGTCGACCGGAATTATCGGCAAGATTTGCCAGGAACTGCTAGGCCAAGAACTGCCGGTATTGTCGACCGTGTCAATAGCCGATATTCAATCCGAAGAAGGTATCATTTAAATTGTACGGAGCGGAGCAATTATGGCGACTGCATAGCACGTACACCGAGCAAACAAGACATCGAGCGACAAAAATATAGTTTTAAACCGGCAATTCGACCACAATCAGCTCCAATGAAGACATTATGTGAACGAAAAAAGCTTGAAATCCTATCATCAAAGTTAAATGGAGGCAGAGGGCATATAAAATGTTCACTGTCTAAAGAGTAAGTTTATGTTTGCATTTTTCACGAAAATAAAACAAAGAAAATGATTTAGCAGTGTTTAAAGGTACATTGTATAAAAAGTATTCGTACATGTATCATGCCTCCAGTTGATTTAAATCATTAAAAAATGAAAAATTAAGGGTACATTGTATGAAAAGTATTGGTAAACGCATAATGTCGCCAGTTATTTTACAACACTTTAAAAATAAAGAAAAAAAGAAAGAAGAAAAAACAACAAAATAAATCTGAAAAATGTATGTGAATATTGTATTCCTAATCTAAGTTATACAATAATTTACAATTTTTATCGTCATATTTCTACCCCGTTACAGTTTTATATCTGGCACCTCCTGTGGATTTTAAGTGCGCGAGGCTAAACTCAATGACACTATTTGTGCATTTAACAACATTTTTACAAATAAGAACATTCCATTAAATTTTCATTAAAAAAGAATCTCACTGTTAAAACCCGTAGTAAGAAGACGTTTATCATTAAAAAATTAAACAATAAGCAGATGATGTAGAAAAGTAACATTCTCTTACAAGTTGAAGCTGTGTTTTATGATATATATTACCACAGCTCCTTTAAAGCTTTAACGTCAATATTTATGAACACATCATGGATTAACAGATTATCCCCCTTATTGATCCATGCATACTTCATGTTTACCTTCTGCATGTTCTGTGACCGATATCATGCGAGCTCTTTAAATAACATAATGCTTTAATCATTAATTGTTTAAAATATATCCAGTATAAAGCTACGATCAGAACTTTCGTTTGTAAAGGGTTCGGCTTAGTTCTCTGTTCTTTGAATCTAACCGGCGTCACCCTAACACCAGGTGTTCATTTAGTTTTGCTTACTTGATTCCAACGGGCTCATGGTTTGCACCTGCGATATCATTCTGTGCCCGAGGTCCGTTTGTTCGTCGTTATTATTTAACTAAAACAACACTTCCTTCAAAAACCAATGTCCAGTAGCTACGAAACTATATTGGCATGATCCTTGGCTAGGGGCAGGACATGAAGTACTTAAATAGTGCTAAGCAATTGGTTTAGACTTTGTAATATTTGGAATTGTTTGTTCGGCCACACTGAAATCCCTCCCCATCCCCTCACCCGCTTGACTGACTTTGATTAACACTCTAGTCACTCTCCAATGCGAGGATAAGAAACTTGCGCACAGTTCTTATATTAATACGTTAATGAAAGTCTATGTTTATCGATGTATGTGTATTGTTGACCATTAACAAACATTAAAATAAAACAATGTTTTGCAGTGCTGATATGTCGGATTCAAATAAGACTGACGCTCACATTAATATAGTAACGTAACATATATTTTTTGAATATGTACTTATCCATTTTAGCTCTACAACAGTGGTGCTTTTGTCATGACCCTCTCGACAGCGGAGGCGTCGTCATTGGTCAGCATTTTTGTTAACCCTTTACTTTAAGGGGAGCGGTGGCCTAGAGGTTAAGGTGTTTGTCTCCCAACCCAGGGATCTTGGGTTCGAGCCCTAATCTGATCACGACCATGTATCTTCATATGACACCAGTACTGGTTGGTTCCAGGAAGCTGACTCGAAAGTGATTAATATAAGTTGCAAGAACTTGTTTCGCAATCGAGCTTAATAAATAAATATGTTTAAACCAGCCCTATACATCATATAGATGTGTTTTGACGGCTTTTTGCCCCCCCCCCCCCCTCCCCCTTTTGAGACCTCAAACAGTGAAAAAATGCCCTTTTAGACCCAAAATACTGTTTTTCGTTTGAGAAATGTTGTTAAAAAAGTGATTACTTTTTTCGGCGTGGCCCCTATAAAAATTGTACATCAAGGGGTTGCCAGAAGGGGGATGTACCCCTTCTGTTGGGGGGGGGTTAAAGGGGGCGGCCGTTCCCCCACATCGCCAAGAAAATTTCGGATATGTGACAGGCTAAAAATGGCCTCAGCTCAATTTTTGGGTAACTAGTAACCGATGCTGAAAAGCCTTTTACTCTATCTCAATCCATTGAGAAGTTGCAGCACTTTTAAATCAGTTTTGATAGAAAAGCAATACAAAATTTTTCGCAATTTTGAGACCCCCCCCCCCCGTTGTCATGGAAACAGGAAATTTAAGATTGAGCATGCTGTTACAGAGGCAATGGTCCAGCAGTTTCATCAGTATTGAAGCATTTTTCATAGTTTCATAGCAGTTTGAACTTGCAACAGGAGGCTTTTCAAAGAAAAAGGCCATTTTTTACAATATGCTCATGAAGGAAAGGGTTAAGGTCCATTTTCTCACAAACTAGAACATCTTTTTGCTTTTATACATAAAAGCAAATGTATAAGAGCGCAGATAATCATTAAATTATGTCTACATACATTTTTGCCCTCGTTAACATTTTTGTTAACGTCCATTTTCTCTGAAACTGAAAAAGTTATTCACTACATGTTCACTATCTCAAAATATAACACCATTTCAGAAGGGCAGATAATTCTAAAATTCATTTTGGCAATGTTATGCTCTTTCTGCTAAGGTCAATTTCTTAAAGACCGTCAAAGCTTCTCACTTGAAACAGGTAACCTTATTTCATGTATTTTTTTTTGCTCAGTTATGCCCACTTTTGTCTTTGAGTTTTTTGGATAGCTTTTTTGTGGTCTTTTCCCCAAAAATGTATCAAAAATATTCACTTTAAACTTGGAGTATTATCTACTTTCAAGTTGAGATTGCGTTTCTAAGGGAAATGTCTGTTTTACTTCATTTATTTAGAACAGTTAAATAAAGGTATTGACTTCTATGTTGCTTTAATTTAACATTCAAGCTGGTTGTCCACTATATACACGTGTTACATATGATTTTGTCTGTCGTCACAAGCTGTCACTTGCGGTAATACTTGTTGCACGGATTTTTACGTGAAGAAATCGAATTCACCAGGTTGAACAGGTGTTAGCTAAGGTGTACATTACAAAAACAAAGCAGCTCAATATTGTGGAGTACCTTTCTCAAATATTAACATCAATAACATTAAAAAATTGAAATCTCTCTAACCACTTAGCAAAAATATGTTTGTTTAAAAGTCGGGCAAAACATTTTTCTGCGGGTCAATAACAGAAACACGATCCGTTTGAAATATAATATGTGGTATTATTGTTAACATATCGAATTGATAAAACATGTTTTATGCCAGCTATAAAATATAATTATCTTTAAGTGGTTTGTTGTAAATTAACCACTTTTGCACTTGTAATAGTTAACCTTGTAAATTTAAATTTCAATCTTTAGCAAAACTTGTGAGCAAAAAATATGTACTTTAGATACAAATAAAAAATTTTTTTTTAAAGAAATCTATTTGTACATCAAAGGGAAAAACGAAAATGAACTAAATATTTCATATTATTTTGACCCCTCAAAGACAGTTTCCCTATTCAGAAAAGCAAGGGCAAATTTGAAATTAAATTATTTGCCCCTAAAATGAGAAGGTTCGAATCCCGGTATGACAGTGATTTTTACAACTGAGAAAAAAAAAATCGCTGGTTTATTGGAGAAGAAACCTTCTAGCCATGAAAACTTGATTTTATTTTTCGAGAAATTGATATAAACCATACTATTTTCTGGAAAATGGTAACAGATTGGATTGCAATTAGTTTATCATACTGGCTTGCGAAACACACTTCTTCTTTCTCTTTTCATTTTGATTTAATATAGACCTTTTTATTATAGTAATAGTTCACGTATAATACTATTTAAGTTTATTTATGCCTTTTGGTGGTGTTGGTAGTTTTCACTCGTAAGCCACAATGAATTTACCAGAGCACAGTTCAGCCGCATCGTTCCTGGGCAGGCTGTAAAGCAGTTTACCAGTATAAGTTGCCTCCACTATCGCAAGGAACTGTAACTTCTGTATATACCGGAGCAGTTGTACGGTGCGAATGACCGTATATAAGCTTTTACATTACATTACGTGAAGTTAGATTTAGCGCATGCGCGTTTTATTTTACGTAGGCCGATGTAAGAATTTAGAATAAGGTTCTAACATTTCTTAATTAACATTTTGTAACTCTCAAGGATATTTTATACAATTATAAGGCCTGAGATATCCGACTACATACTTGCAAAAACTTCCTGAAAGAAAGGCTATATTTTAAAAGAAGGTCCCCGATTTTAATGTACTCGTGGAATCGTTTTAACCTTGGCTAGTCAAATGACAATTTTACTTTTACCCCTTAAAACTTGTGTTTTTTGAATTTGTCCTTCGTCTTTCAAAGAATCATTTTATAGTTCCTGAATTATTATTTTGGTGAACTTGTGATTTACAAATTGACATGCGCTGTCTCGGATCAGTTTATATCATGTATTTATCCTTCATAATTTCACTCGATTATGGTAATCTTGTGTTTGAAAATATCTCCCCTTGACAAGTATTTTAACATGAAGATAAAAAGACTCTGTCAAATTAAATTAGTTTAAAGATTAACTATAAATTCTTGGATGAATAGCGTTCAAGTTTGAAGGGTAAAAAAAAAGATTGAAAAATTTGCATTGGTCGATTGACTGCACAGTTATTTAATGAAATGAGCAAATCAACCTGGACTAAACTTGTTAAAATTCACAGCGGATTAACATAGGAATGTTCTTTTTAATATTTAAACAAGTTTTGACATTTATTTTTCTAAAATAAAATAAATTAGGATTGATAAAGGGAAATGTAAGTGTAGTTTTTTTTTTAATATTTTATTACACAAAGAAATACGTTACAGTAACTCGTTCATGACTTTGATGTACATTGCATTGTTGGTAATTAGGGTTAGGAGACCAGTGTTTTTGTAAAGGGATTAGCCTCATGATTCTGGGAAAAAATATCGCTAAAATTGTTAATTTGGGAAGTAAAAACGTTGGTGTTAGTTCAGAATTTTAGGAAAACTGCATGATTCTTAAGAAAATTTCTGTTGTGAAGTGACCTTTTATAGGTCTCTGTTATATAAGGTGAAAAATTACTGGTGACAGAACACGGTAAGTTAAAGAATAGAACAAAACTCTCGGATAAAGTTTGTGATTTTAAATTACTATTAGAGTACCAGACATTTACTAGTTTGTGTTGCCGGATTTTTATTTGTTGTTCTTGTTGTTGTATCTGTGTGTGTTTTCTTCATCATTATTCTATTATTTTATTTTTCCACAAACGAACTTCATCGGGGAGTTGGAGGAAGTTTACGGAAGGTCGGTTGTTCTACCCATAATGCAGTGCCCGCTCGTATTTATAATAATGAAGGTTTTATTGCACCAGTAACACTAAAGTCGCGATATGATATTTTAAGCGTTGGTTTGACTTAAATTACCACTATATTATTAATGAAAATGTTTCAATTATTAAAAAAATCAATAATCAGGAAATGGTAAGTAAAAGATGGAGCCTCAAATACGTTTTAGCATCATGTTTAATTTTGAACTAAAATGCAGAACTCGTCTTTAAACCTAATTGCGAGCTCATTGAAAAACACTTAATTGAAATCTTAAAGTCACTCTATATCTAAATATTTACTATGTTAATACTTTATTTAGTGTACTTTAAATAATAAAAACAGATTTCAATAAGAAGTTTTAGAATCACATCTGAGGGTGTGCGTGTACAAATAAAAGTAAGCTTAATAATAGGGATTTGATTGTTTACTTTTCAAGTCCGATATTGTGCCTTCAAAGGCCCGTTATATAATGTTAAACTGTTATATTTATATTTTCTATTCAATGAAAGAGAAGAGAAAGTGTACATTAAACGTTAAGTGTTTGTTGTAGAGAATCATAAAATCCGGTAAATTTACCTTAAGTCAACATTTTTAGAACTTAATTTTGAAGAAAAAGGTGCTACTGGTGACTTTACCTTTTTATGATTTCTCACGGTCAAAAAATGTTTTTAATATATCGTGCTATTTTGCACCATTAAATTTAGCTGGAGTTCGCAAATATCTTTATAAAGTTACGGAGTTCAGACAGGGACATAATTTGATCTTAGTGAAAACAAGTCGCTTTAAACGATTGAGGAACAATTTAATAATTAACAAACAAGCCACACAAACAAGAACATTCAGTATTTTTTCTATTTTTTTTTTTATTTGCGTAAATAATTCCCACAAGACAAAATAGAACAAACAAAAATACATAGTAACTTACAGCATACTCCGATCTTGTCACATAACACTCATTACTTCGTTAACATTCGGGATATTCCGCCACGACTTATTAAACATCAGCAGCACGTACTGAATTTATTCATGCTCAGTTGAAAAATATTTTTAAAAAGGGTGTTTTCATTCTAGAATTCATATTTTGATAATATTTATAATAAAACGGTCTTTTTCACCCGAGAAGAAAATATATAATTTTGTACGAATGTTGATTTATAATATTATTATATCTAATATTTAAAGGGACTCCACTGCGGTTTTTTGACATGACCGGACTGGTAATAGTTTTTCGAGATTATTACTCCATTTGATGTAGATCTATACCAATAACTTATGTTCAAAAGCACATCCGTTTTTTTTCCCAGAATAATCATTCTAATTGTGAAAAATGACCCAAAAATGAAAAGCGTTGCAACGCTTTTCATTCAAATCGGAAAAAGACTAGCACAAACGTACGCAATTCAATGTAGTTCTGGGTATATGTCTTAGTTATCTTTTGTATATATTTCTGTTTTAAGTGTCTCAGTTGATCTATGTGAGAAATTAAAATTTTATGTTCTTAGACTTTTGGAGGTCTTTGGAGTTCCTTTAATTTAGCTATTTGCTTGAAACGAAACATTTGTACATTTGTTATTTGTTAAGAAGCTCCTCTGATATATACTGAAATTTTCAGCCGCTTATAATATATCAGATTTTGCAAAATACGCAGTGATTCTTAATCAGAAGTTATAGCGGAACACATTTCTTTCTTTCTTTCTTTCTTTCTTTCTTTCTTTGTTACATTCTCAATGAATATATGTTGAGGAAATAATATTTCATTTATTATACATATTTTCTTCCTCATGTCATGCCATATATGTTCTGTTCTGTATTTAGCTATCGTTTATATATCTGAAACAGTTTACCTTTATTTTCGTAGTACATTTTTTTTTTGTATTTGTTTTGTATTAAAGGTATAATTAATGTTATCCTAATAAATTTTAAACATGAACCTATTTCAAAAACATATTTCTAATTAGAAACCACCTGTTTTAAAACACTCCAATTTGAGTTGTATTATAGATACGTGAAGTAAAATCACTTTATGACAATTCAAATTCTGTTAAAACGTTTTCATGAGGTGGTCTTAACCGTCAAGTAATAACCTTTTTGTTACCCTATTCCTATTCGTTTAATTGCCCTTTTTTCAAAATTCAATTCAACATTTATCTATAGGTTTGTCTCGGTAAGAAACGTGTGAAAATTGTCTATAGAAACAATTCAAGATTAATTTAATCAAGTGGCATTTATAAGAAAATTCTTGTGGCGTGGATCATTGAAAAACGAAATAAAACCCAATAATCATACCACTTGCATCATTTAACTTTCACTGAAGAGAATTGACCTATAGCTAATAACATAGAAAATAAATCTTTCTGAAAATGATTGCACGTAAAAAGTGTCAACAGGGGGGTTACTTTCCTCTTTGAATTCACTTTCAACGTGTTATTTTATTACTACTTGTTCAAGTTATAAACCTGTTAGATCAATAACAAAATGAATTCATTACATTGAAATCTATCGACTCAACGGATGTCAAACTGTGGCAATGTTGGTTTTATTTTCTTCAAAACATGGACTGACGCTCGTAATAATAAGAAGTATTGTTCATTTTTTTCACAGATCAGGTTAAAAGTTAAACAGAAGTCATTGTTGCAAACGAGAATACGTCAATCACATAGCAATGTGCCTTATTGGTCATTTTAAAGCACAATGTTGAGTTTGTAATGGGAATTCTATATATTTCACTTCCCACATTTAGCTGGATTAATCGGTTAATACCTTTAGTTCAGCAAATAATTTATGTGATTTTGACGTATCTCAGAAACTAGAAAACATTTTAAGAATTCGCTCTTTATTGTCTTACAGAGACATGTTTGATGTTGTCAGGGCCGCCAAAGATGCGAAAAATTTCGAGGAAGATTCAAATTATTACCATCAGGTAGAACAATCAATAAAAGAACCGGAGAAAGATGAAGAAAAGAAAGATGCTGCGCCGGTGTTTAACAAGCGTCTCTTCGCGTCACAGGGAGCCGTCATTATTACACAAGAAGCGCGTCGGTTGATGGCGATAAACGCGGCAGCCAATGAAAAGTGTGATTTAGATTCACTGCTGACTAAAACGGAAGTGCAATGTTTGAGATGCGTTGTGGATGGTTTAAAACTCATTCATAAGGGACAGGACTTCGTTAAGGATGTTTTAAGTAAGGTGGTATCGTATGAGATCTACAAAGCTTTTGAATATGTGTCGATTAAAGATTGGGAGGACCATCTGGCATGTTATTATATTCTTAACGGAGCTGTGGAAGTGACCTATGATTTAAGGTCTACAGAATCGCGAAATGTATTCCAAGCTAATATCATTTACAGCCATGGCACTGGTGAGTATTTGGGACTCGTCAGTGCAGAGGGGCCAACAGAGGATCTTGCACCGCCGGCAACCATTTACACAAAAGAGCTCACCCAATTTATACGCGTGGATAGACAACGGTTCCATAAATTGATGAAAAAGGCTACAAAATTGATCGACAAAAGGAAACGAGATTATATTTCTAGTCATAGTTTTCTGGCCAGAACCTCGGATGATGTTAAAGAAAAGATTCTTCATAAACTAGCTATACAGGTAAAACATTGCTTATTTTGTTAACCCAACTTTTATGGTATAAATTTATTTGCCGCAAGAATCCCAGAAACCAGACTCACTCCAGACGAGTGTTATTCTTCAAGCTGGCATAGTAGAAATGTTCACTAACCAATGAACGTGTACAAGTGTTAGTATTTGAAATTATTTTTGTCTAATAGGATGGCAGTACATGTATTTCAAATGAATCGCAAAACATTTAGTTTAGTAAATCGGGAAACTGTTAATCAGTCTAGTACAGCGACTGTTTATAAAAAAAAAAATTTAAAACGCTAAGTTGGTTAAAATTTATTAGTACGTATACGTATTTGCAAAATTTAATTTAATTTTGTAAATGCGTATACTGATAAACTTAAACCTAGACTAATTAAAGCCTCAACTGAAAGACTCGAACAAATTTTACCTTCGCGATACACATATAACTCGAAACAACGAAAACACATAAATACGATGTCGAAAAGTCGATATAATGGAACCACGACGGTGAAAAGTCAAAGATACGATGATGAAAAGTCGAAGGTTCGGTGGTGATAGGTCGAAATAACGAAACCACGATGGTAAAAGGTTAGAAATTGATAATGAAAACAAGAAATTATATCAAGTTTTCACCATCGTGGTTTCATTTTTTCGGGTTTTCAACATCGTGCTTCTGACTTTTCATCATCGTGGATTCGTTAGTTCGACGTTTTATTATCGTTCTTTCGTGTTTTCGTTGTTCCGTGTTATGTGTGTCGCGATTACCCTAACGGGACACCGTAGTTTTATATAAAACAATGTGCAATTGGACTGCAATATTTTAAATTAATCGCAACACTTTCACTTTGGCAAGTCGTTCAACTAAAACTCAATCTAGTAATTGAGTGTTTATAAAAAATAATTTCAAATGTACTTTACCAATTTAATGTTGTAAATACTCACAAATGAACACTTACTACTTAAAAATGCTTCATCATTATCTTTCTTATTTCAAGTGTTTAAAGATAGCATTTAGTTATTGCAGTTTTCTTAATATATGCTTACAAATTTCATACTACCTATTTTTGATTGAGATCATCGCATGTAAAGTGTAGGATTTTTGATATTTTGATAAAGGGGGTTTAAATTAAAAGAAAAAAAAAACGGTCGTGCAATTTTGTAAAATGAAATAGATACAGTATCGTAAACCTTGAATGTCGCGATACAATATACGTTATAGAAAAATGTAATTCACTTTAATTGCTCAAAAAATCGAAGCATACACCGCAATATGCTGTTAACTAAAATTTGGTGAAGGCCAAACAAATCCACTGTCAAAAGTAAAAAAAATAGTTTGATAAAATTAATGTCTATGCTCGTGGCAAATTTATATTTTAAAATAAACTTTATGATTACTTACAAAACAATTACAAAATAATTTTGTATGGGTTTGTTTTACACGGGGCGGAATTTTTCAGTGCTTCGTTAAAAAACAAAGTTCTTTTAAAATTCTACGGCGTCATTCTTGTTTTGACAAAAGGAATACGTAATTTATACATGTAATAAAAACAAAGTTAACTAGGTACTCCTTGATGTATAACTTGATAGTCATCCTAAGTACTTATGTTGCTTATAATAAAGTCTCTATTTTGTGCTTCAAAATTCGTACCCACCTTAAAAGTTCAATTTTGTTGATATATCACGATCTAAGTCGTCGTGAATCAGTGCTTGATCATCCATAAAACAGAAAATATATGGCATAGAAGGAGTCTTAAAGCATTTAGTACTTAACTTTTATATTCAATGAACAGGATCGTATTATTTATAACGGAAGAAATGAAGAGGTCATAAACTAATAAAAAAGAAAGCCTTTTAATACAGGTATATCATTTGTCAAAGACGTCTGCCTGAGTTAATTTCCCGCTTGTATTCATTTACTATTGATGATACACACGAATAACGAGGTTTATAAAGTATGATAAATCAGTCTGATGTATGAAATTTGATTCTAGATATAATTCGAAATGGATTAGATTTTAATGACGTCTGAATTAATAGAAATATGGATGAAAGGTGTAACGACACTAAATTGCAAAATGGCGCGAAACAATATCACAATTTCGCCTTTCGATCAAATTCTATACGAATATCCCTGTGTTAATTGAATTTCTTTGCCATTACACATTTTTAACCATTATTTCTTAAAAAATACATTTAAATTTCACATCATGTATATGCAAATTTTTGCAAAAAAACCCCAACTCTTCGTTTTTTTAAATATTGCCTTTTATGGAGTGTGTTTACTTAGTTAATTAGTGTATTGGTATCTTTTTTTTTCGTAATGTGCGTTCATATTTTTCTCATATGAGCCGCGTCATGACAAAATCAACATAATGGGTGCGCAGGCTGGTCTGGATCTATGCTGGTCGCAAACCCATTATGTTGGTTTTGTCGTGACGCGGCTCATATCTTTTCTATTCAGTAGTTACAGACACGTTTGTTTAATTTCTTAAATGTAAAATACAGAGCGTAATAGACAGAACTGTTTAATGTTCAGCATGATATACAATATGAGCATACATTGTATGGCAATATGTAAATAATCATATTGATCATTATAAAGTGACAATATTAACATTGAGTCTGCTGGCAGCACTATATTATACCTATGCGACCTGAGCAGACCAGGATCGGGCGACACATCCCTGCTCTATGATCATGGTCTGCACGGTTCGCTTTTCAACAAGTACTTACTTTGAAATTTTCCCTAAAACGATAAATGGTTTTGTTCAGAATGAAAAATGGACATGTCTATTTCAGATATATAGGGTAGTAAGAGTTAAAACATGGTTAAATACAATATAGGAAGATGAATATTCGCCTTTATAACAAACCACAATTTAATGTAAGCAACTTCTTTCCTTTTTAATAGTGTTTAACTAATCTATAATTAATTTGAACATACCATTTTTCGTTGAATTTAATATTTATAAAATAAACTAATTTATCATTTTTGGAAAATTCGTTTTAAATATTCCTTTAATACTTCATTAGATCAAAAATATTTGATTACATAATGCAAGAATTTCATCTCCAAAATCGTAAGATGTACTGTATGTACAACAACACGTATACTTAATAATCCCTATCATCTTATAATTAATATAAACAAATCATATATAATATTCCCAATAACCCTTGCTTGATTTTTATCATTTTACAATATATAAGGACAAAATTATGTATGTATCCAAAACTGTTCTATTCATTCAAGAAATTACATTTTGTGTCGGCAACTGTTACAAATTTTAAGGATTATAAAAAGAATATGCAGATGTGTTTCCTTTGTGTATCTAGAAACCCTATTAATTTAAGTTTAAATAGATGTACATTTGGATGATTGTTGAAAATTTAGAATGATTGATTATAGTGCTGTTTCGGGTCATTCACGCAAAATTAATTTATAACGAACGACAATTTATAAAAGCCAGACTACATTCTTCCTTTTATAACAGCTGATCAAGAATGAAAATTTATAGAACAGAACATACACAAATTCACCGTTTTTACAGCGTATTTCATTGTTATATGAAATATAATATTTTTATATTTTAATTTTATTATGTTATATGTTATATATGCAAAATCACTGATAATGGACAGTCAATTAAAGAAGACAAAATAAATTGAATTGGCAATTTGTCCGTTCGGCCAATCATTTCAAACCCTTCGCTTTTTCATTCCAGTTTTCAAAGACTGTGAAATTTTCGAATCATTTCAGTTTTTTGTTTTCTTATATACTTAGCGTCATTAATTTAACATAAGTAACGTTCATTACCTCAGTAATAAGAAACGTACTTTTTAAAAAGAAAATATGGTCATTTTGTATACAATGATCATTTCAACAAAATGCGGATTTTAATGAATTTATTTCTTGAGGCTGTGAAGTACTGATATTTTAAGTCTGGCCTTTGTTTATATAAGGTAATTAAAAGATATGCCACTAATATACCGAATGCGTCCGTGTCTTTATGTAAGTTTTTTCTATTTAACCAAAACCTCACTTCTTCATTTCAGGAATATCCGGCCAACAGGGTTTTGCTATCACAAGGGGAAGTAACCGAGTATCTTTTCATAATAATGTCAGGTAAGTTATTTTCCTTTAAATTATAAGTTCCTTTTTTTAAAAGAAGATTCACCACGGCTGTAATTAAAGTCGTGGATTTCAGAACGAATATTAATAAAGTTAACATCCTATCTAAAATACTGTTACTAATATCTGCCCACCTTTTTGTGGGTTAATTAGTGTATTACCCGCGTGACGAACTTACGTCATGTCGCCAAGATGGACACCTATTGTTGTTAAACCGTTACATGCTTCATAATTGTGTGATATTAGTTAACGAAATATTTTTACATGGCTACTTAGTTTAAATCAATAAATATTTGAAACACTTTGCGAGTGTGAAGCTAGAAGTATTGTATGACTAAACAGTAACACTTCACAAGTGTTTCCCTGGTCCAGTTTATATGGAACGCCTGGACTGTCTTATGTGTAGAATGACTGATATACATGGTTAAATGTCATTCTATTGTCTCCTAGGTACAATATGCTGGGTAAAAACTCCAATATACTGGGTGGAAATCCAAATGCGCTCAGTTATTGAAGTGTTATGTTGTGTGCTGACTGTATTTTATTCAGTCAAGTCAATGTATTGTCGGGTGCATTAGTCGTTATGTTCAGTTCTTAAAACAAACAGGCATGTGGTAACACAATTATGTTGAGTTAAAAAGATATGTTGTAGGGTGTGACAGTTATTATGTTCGGTTAAAATAGCTCTTCTCATCATGTTCGACCATGAAAATAAACAGTTGAGTGGTACTATCATTTCGTTTGGCTGCGGCAGTGTATTATTGGGTGATACTTTTATTATTTTCAGTTGCAATGACATGCTGTTGGGTGCTTAATTCCTTCTGTTCAGTCGTGAAATAGAACTGTTGAATAGTACTATCATTATGCTCAGTTCAGATGATATACTGTTCGGTGCAGAGGTCATTCTGTTCAGTTCAGATGATGTACTGTTCGATGCAGAAGTCATTATGTTCAGTAGAGAACACAAAATGTTGTGTGATACCGTTATTATGTTCAGTTCAGATGATATACTGTTTGGTGCAGAAGTCATTATGTTCAGTAGTGAACACAAACCGTGTGTGATACCGTCATTATGTTCAGTTCAGATGATATACTGTTCGGTGCAGAAGTCATTATGTTCAGTAGTGGACATAAACTGTGGTGTGATACCGTCATTATGTTCAGTTCAGATGATATCCTGTTTGGTGCAAAGGTCATTATGTTCAGTAGTGAACACAAACTGTTGTGTGATACCGACATTATGTTCAGTTCATGTGATATACTGTTCGGTGCAGAAGTCATTATGTTCAGTTCAGATGATGTACTGTTCGATGCAGAGGTTATTATGTTCAGTAGTGAACACAAACTGCTGTGTGATACCGTCATTATGTTCAGTTCAGATGATATCCTGTTTGGTGCAGAGGTCATTATGTTCAGTAGTGAACACAAACTGTTGTGTGATACCGTCATTATGTTCAGTTCAGATGATATACTGTTCGGTGCAGAAGTCATTATGTTCAGTAGTGAACACAAACTGTTGTGTGATACCGTTATTATGTTCAGTTCAGATGATATCCTGTTTGGTGCAGAGGTCATTATGTTCAGTAGTGAACACAAACTGTTGTGTGATACCGTCATTATGTTCAGTTCAGATGATATACTGTTCGGTGCAGAAGTCATTATGTTCAGTAGTGAACACAAACTGTGGTGTGATACCGTCATCATGTTCAGTTCAGATGATATACTGTTCGGTGCAGAAGTCATTATGTTCAGTAGTGAACACAAACTGTGGTGTGATACCGTCATTATGTTCAGTTCAGATGATATACTGTTCGGTGCACAAGTCATTTGACAATGCGCTGAGTGGTCATACAATTATGTTGGGTTCATTCGGATATCTTCGCGTCAAACAAGATGGCGGGCGGGAGCAACTAATTTCCATAGGTCACGTCGAGGCTAATGACCACTAAATTGCCAAAACAATTTTCTTCCCCGTAAATACCATCGGGAGCTTAAAAACGTTATTTCCATAAATTGGACAGATCGTATGGCATATTTAATACCCAATGGGTATTTTATCAAGTTAATTTATGACTATACTATACTGTTACAGTCATAATGGGCACAGTATATAAAACTTAAAATATGGGTAAGGGTAGCCTGTTCAAGTCACACATGACCACCGTAAATAAAACTTAAAATATATGTGTTGGTAACTTTTTAGACTCACAAGTGGACACATCAAACGAAATTTAAAATATGAAACATAATATACAAGTAAGGCAAACCTATTTGAGTCACACATGGCCACAGTATATGGAACGTTAAATATAAGTATGGAAACCCCATTTGAGACACACATGACCACAGTAAATGGAACATTATATATAAGTAAGGGTAGCCTAATAAAGTCAAACATGGCCAAAGTATAAAGAAAATTCTATATAAGTAAGTGAAACCTAATTGAGTCACACATGGCCACAAGATATTAGACATACTGTTTAACTCAGGGAAATGTATTTGAGTTTAATTTTATTAAGCTACCCTTACTTATCTTACTTATATATAATGTTCCATATACTTTAGTCATGTGTGACTCAAATAGATTTTCCTTACTTAAACATAATGTTCCATATATTTTGGCCTAGTGTGACTCAATTAGGTTTCCCTTACTTATACAGAATGTTCTTCATAATGGGGGTATGTGTGACTTTATTGCGCTACCCTTACTTATATTTAATGTCTATATACTGTGGTCATGTGTGACTCAAATAGGTTTCCCTTACTTAAATATTATGTTCCATTTATTGTGGTTATATGTGACTCAAATGGGTTACCAACACATATATTTTAAGTTGCATATGCTGTGGCCATATGTGACTTTAATAGGCTACCCTTACTTATATGCTCCATATACTGTGGCCATGTGTGACTCAAATAGGGTTCCCTTACTTGTATATGATGTTTTATATTTTAAATTTCGTTTGCTGTGTCCATTTGTGACTCTTATAGGTTACCAAACAGATACATTTTAAGTTTTATTTACGGTGGTCATGTGTGACTTTAACAGGCTACCCTTACCCATATTTTAAGTTTTATATACTGTACCCATTATGACTGTAACAGTAAAGCATAGTCATGAATTAACTAAATAAAATACCCATTGGGTATTTAAAAGTCCAATTTATGAAAATAACGTTCTTAAGCCCCCGATGATATTTACAGGGAAGAAAATTGTTTTGGCAATTTAGTGGTCATTAGCCTCGACGTGACCTATGGAAATTAGTCGCTCCCATCTTGTTGCCCGAAAATATCCGAATGAACCCAACATAATTGTGGTATCACACAACAGTTGTGTTCACTATTGAACATAATGACCTCTGCACCGAACAGTATATCATCTGAACTGAACATAATGATAGTACCAAAAAACAACTGAACATAACGACCTTTGCACCGAACAATACATTGACTTGACTGAAGAAGATGATATCAGCACACAAGATAATGATAGTACCATTTAAGATAATGATTGTATCATTTAACAGTTCTATTTCACGACTGAACAGAAGGAATAAAGCACCCAACAGCATGTCATTGCAACTGAAAATAATAAAAGTATCACCCAATAATACACTGCCTAAGCCAAACAAAATGATAATACCACTCAACTGTTTATTTTCATGGTTGAACATGATGAGAAGAGCACCAAACAGCATATTATTATAACCGAACATAATAACTGCAACACCCTACAACATATCTTTTTAACTCAACATAATTGTGTTACTACATGCCTGTTTGTTTTAAGAACTGAACATAACGACTTATGCACCCGACAATACATTGACTTGACTGAATAAAATACAGTCAGCACACAACATAGCACTTCAATAACTGAGCACATTAGGATTTCCACCCAGCATTTTGTATCTCGGACTCAACAGAAAGACATTTAATCAGGTATATCATTCATTCTTAACATAAGACAGTCCAGGCGTTCCATAAGTTTACACGTTAAATACATCGATGGTTGTCATAAAAGTCCTATTAGCTTTATAAACCTTATTGTGATAAATAAATATTACTGGGACATAAAATGATACCACCTACACTCCCTCGACTGCCCCACCCACTTCTAAAAAACGCAAGCACATTATTTTGGTATCACTCACACGTGAAAATTACGCTACATCATCTACAATAGCTGTGATCTAAAACTTAATGTTATTTAATTCCGTTTAAGGACGCTGCCAAACGTACCGGGAAGTTCATATACCGGAAGCTGATAAAGAAGCACTTTTCTACCTCACCAGTAGAGATCCAGGTACAAAGCAATTTATTTCTATGTTTTCGAAAGAATTCAATAACATTTTAAACCTTATAATATGACCATACGAGCATCTCTCTATAATGTTTCTGGTGTGTTGTTCTTGTCTCGAAATTTGGGTCTTAAATCAAGTCTTAAGCCTTAAATGGACAGTTTGGTGACTTTTTGTCATGTCTTATTATATTTGCTAGTAAAGTGCTTTCTTATGAAAACGTACTTTAAGGTTTTGGTTTATTATTTGAATACATTATCATTTATTCATACAAATAAATACGTTTGTCATGGGCCGACGACATTTTAAATCAAAGTATCTCAATGACACAAATAAAGGCGGAATACATACTAGGGTAATAACAAACAAAATATATTTCGACTACTAACTTATGTTTAAAAGTATGGTTTTGAAAAAAAAAATGCGGAAAAACCTTACTTTGATTGGAATTTGGGATAAAAATATTGCCTGCTCTTCATTTGGAAGTACGAAATGTAGATCGTCTCCCGCGGTTTTTTCTTATTTCGTGAACGTGTTCGAGACCATTATCCCACAGGCACGAGTATCAGACCTGGGAAGAAAAAATATGACCAGATTGATAAAAAACCTGTGTTCATCTTAAAAGTGTCAAAAACCAATTTTTTTTGTAAATTATGACCCCCTTTAAAATATACTCTTAGTTATAGTATATTTTTAAAGGGGTCATAAGTTAATTTTTTTTTGGTTTTTGACACTTTTAAGATGAACACAGGTTTTTTATCATTCTGGTCATATTTTTTCTTCCCAGGTCCGATATTCGTGCCTGTGCATTATCATATAGAATTGAATGGAAGGGACTAACGTTTTCGTTACGACTAACGGTTTCATATTTTTCACGATTTATTTTGTATTTATTTAATTAATTAATTATTTATTAATTAATTAATTAATTAATGTTCTCATTTTTTGTTTCAGATGATTTCTTTGGCGAGGAGTGTGTTCTAGACAATGCGCCAAGTTTATGTACTGTAGTGACTGCCTCAGCAACTACTGTTATAAAACTTCATCGGTAAATAAAACATATTCTTCTTTCTAGTATAATAATAAGTTTTATTCCAGAATGCATACAAATACCCCTTTTTTCATTATAACTTCATACAAGTATAAAAGATATCAAAGGCCCTTCAGATGGAAAGTTGTTATTTTGAATAGTCATAGTAAGAGTACAAAAGACGAATCCCTTAATTGAATGCAATTTTTTTATAGATGTGTTTAGTCGATGTAGTTGATTGTCTAATTTCAGCATATCAGGTATTTCAAACCCAAATATTATATAAAAATATTTTCCCTTGGAATTGCCAATTGCGATATATGTTTGCGTTCAAGATTATTCTGCCAGTGATGTCCTGTCGTAGAATATATCTGACAGGAGCGGGCATCTTAATCTAAAAATCATTTAATATTATAATAATCACATTTGATTTATTCTCAGATCGGCATTGAAAATGGTCAACAGAGATAAACTCTCGCGCTTTATCGATGAACTACGTCATGATATTCCTGGAGACGAGAATTTAAGAGATCGTGGATACCGGGATTCTATGTGGAATAAATATAAACATACTCAAATAAAGGGATCTCTAAAAGAAGGTGGAAAGCTGCAATATCTGAGTCGACCAAACAGTGCTATGGTTCGTGAACGCCCTCTTGAAGATAGGTAAATATACTTTTTATTAATTAAAATTATACCTCTCTGTAAGAATAAAAGGATAATTAATGTTGAATACTCTGATTTGCCATCTTCCGAAAATGCATGGGTAAGGTTTAAGAGGTAGGCCCTATATTCAGTCGGGCATACTTCCTGATCGGGAAACAAGGGGATTCCCCTTCAAGGCTTCCCGATCAGGCAGTAAACGTCAAAATCCTTCCCGATCGGGAAGTTTTTTGGCCTATTTTTACGTAGTTCAGGAAAAATGGCCGCTGCATAATAGTTTTCAACCCACTTCAATATGAACATCACATTTAAGTGCAGAAAAGATACATCTAAAATCCTACCGAGTCATTTTCTTTTAAAATGCCTAAAACTAAAATTATCTGAAAGTGAATTTGAGTGAAGTTTTACGATTTTACTAAGAAGTAGCGGCTTCCCGTTTTGGAAACACTGTTTCCTGATCAGGCATCTAGCATAATATTCACCATTAAATGTTTTCCGTTTGGGAAGTTTTCTTCTTTAAGTTAGCGCATTCTATTCTGGAATTATTGCTTGGGACAACACCAACGAATAAAGGTATCTGTGCAACAAATCAATATGTGAGTCATGGTGTGAATGTTTTGAAGTCTGAAGTGTCTAGCATTTCAGATACAAATAATAGCATCATAGGTGGTGTCTTCTTAAATTTTGTAAAAATGAACATTTGAATATATTCGAATATGGAAAAACTAATATTCGAACATCAATGTAAGTTCTTATTCGTTCCCGGCCCTAGTTATTTTTATTATGCCCCACTTCGAAGAAGAGCGGGTATATTGATTTGCTAATGTCCACACAATATCTGTATGGCTATAAATTGCATGTATACAATTTTATGTTGAAAAAAAAATGTTATGTTATGTTAATGTTGGTCGGCCAGTCCATTGGTAGACCTCAGTTATTATCTTAAAAACTATTAATCACAGAGTCTTCATATTTTACATACTATTGGTCATAACTATAGTAGATGAAACCTATTGATTTCAGGGTCACTTTGTCAAAGGTCAAGGTCACAGGGACCCTAAATGTCAGAATGGTTTCCGCTCATTATCTTGATAACTATTTCTCACAAAGTCTTAATATTTCCAAATGAATTAGTCATATGTAGAAGATGACACCTATGATTTTGTTGTCACTAGTTCAAAGGTCAAGGTCACAGGGGCCTTAAATGTCGGAATGGTTTAAGCTCATTATCTTTAAAACTATCTATCACTAAGTCATTATATTTCACATATTGATTGGTCGTAAGTAGTAGATGACCCTATCAATTTTGGGTCTTTAGGTCAATGGTCAAGGTCACAGGGACCTTAAGTATGTTTGTTTATCCGTCGTTAGACCACATTGATTCTGCTGATTATCTTAAAAGCTATTTATCAAAAAGGCTTTATATTTCATATATTGATTGGTCATAACTATTAGATAACATATATTGATTTTGGGGTAACTAGCTTAAAGGTCAAAGTTGCAGGTGTTTTAAATTTCGGAATCGTTTCCGCTCATTATCTTGAAAACTATTTATTAGAAAGTCTTTATATTTCACATATTGATTGGCCATAACTAGAAGATGACCCTTTTTGATTTTGGAGTCACTAGGTCAAAGGTCAAGGTCACAGTGACTTGAATGTCAAAATAGTATCCGCACAATATCTTGAAAAGTATTTTTCACAAAGTTTTCCTATTTCATGTGTTGATAAGTCATATGTGGTAAATGACCCTTATTGATTTTGGGGTCACCAGTTTAAAGGTAACAGGGTCCTTAAATGTCAGAATGGTTTGCGTTCATTATTTTGAAAACTATTAACCATTATTTGAGAACTATTTATCACTAAACCTTTTATATTCCACTTATTGATTGGTTATAATTAGTAGATGACCCCTGTCGATTTTGAGGTATTTAGGTCAAAGGTCACAAGGACGTTAAATGTCAGAATGGTTTCTACTCATTATCTTCAAAACTACCTGTTATCAAGTTTTTGTGTTTCACATTTTAAGTGTTCATAACTAGTAGAGGGCCCCTGTTGATTTTGGTCACTAGGTCAGAGGACAAGGTTACAATAACCTTGAATGTTCAAAGTAGATGCTCATAGTTACATTTACATGATAGTATATAATTTATTCCAGCTATTCTCCATTTTGTTTAACTTTCTAATGATAGATTTCATTCAATTTCAGCTAGAAAGGGGGGGGGCATATATGTCATTATGATATTTCTTGTTTTATTTATTTATTTTATCTTATATTTTATTCATTTTTTAAAATTAAGGTGGCTTAAAGGGTATGTTCTATATCTTACGAAATATTTAAATATTTATTAACAGCAAAATTATGCTGGTTCCATTATTATATGGTTGACTCCTGAAAAAGTAATGTAACATAGAATATCACTGTTATTAAATACAAATGAATCTTGTAAACAGGAACACAATACTGTTTTGCTATATTAGCCATTCGCGTTTAAGGCAATAAATTACCATATTTATTTCACACAATAATTTTGGAAGTATACTTTTTTAAAATTTTAACAATAATTTTTGCATCAGATATATAGCTTTATACACTTAAGTTTCAGAAATATGACACAGTCACTACAAACACATGTAGTATGTAAACACGTATTGAGCTATAGCCAAAAAAAAAAAATTATGTGAGCTCTAGTCAACATTTGAATTATTTAAGCTGCCTGGTAATTGTTTTGAGAAATAACACTCTATGCAATGTTGTTCAACATGTGCTTTACAATCTTAACAGTATGAAACTTTTGTATTGTAATGATGATTTTTGTACTGTCCGTCAAGTATAGCTAATGTTTTGATAGGTATTATTACGCCTAACAAGAACATAAGTTTCGCCAGATATATTCTACTCGTCGTGATTGATTTATGTGCCACATGTCTTTAAAAACTGACCAGGCTTGGCAATTTCTAATCATAAGGCCAGGTACTACTACAAATATAAGGTACTTCCAGATTGGGAAGCAATGTATCTTAAACTTTTAATGAAGAATATTTTGCTAGATGCCTGATCAGGAAGCAATGTTCCCAAAACGGGAAGTGGCTAGTTTTTGGTAAAATCTAAAAACTTTACTTAAGTTCACTTTCAGATTATTTTAATTGTAAACATTTAAAAAGAAAATGACTCGGTAGGATTTTAGATGTATCTTTTCTGAACTAAAATGTAATATTCATATTGAAGTGGATTGAAAATTGTTATGCACCGGCCATTTTTCTTAAACTACATAAAAAAGGCCTAAAAAACTTCCCGATCGGGAAAGATTTTGACGTTTGTTGCCTGATCGGGAAACCTTGAGGGGAAATCCCCTTGTTTCCCGATCAGGAAGTATGCCCGACTGATATTTGCATGTTATTTCAATAGCGTAAATGTTCACATATGACCTCGCATTTAATTAAAATCTTGAAACATATATAGAAGAAGTGAATATCTTTTTAATTGTTTCAAAGAGAAAAATTAAAATTGTTTCATCTTCTTTTAAGTGAGCTGTACATTGAAAACATGCGCCGATTTGTTATGAAAGGAAGTCAGTTTGAGCCAATGCGCGCGCAGTCTGCAAATACTAGTTTAACCGGAAGTCACCACAAAGCTCATAGACATAAGAAAAGGCCACATACGGCTTTTGCAAATCTTGTTATAGAAGCACTGGAGTCGTCGAGCGAGAGTGAAAATGAGAAAGAAAACGGTATGTAAATTAGTCTTAATTTATTCATGAATATAATGTTTGTGAACGACCTTGAACTTCATAATGCTGACATTTATTTTCACAAATACAAGCACGTAAACCGTTTACGTGCGAACCTTTGTGAACTCATTATGACATGATCATGGGAAAATTTTGCTTCGTACATTAAAATTTTACCTCAAACCGTCCTAAAAAAATGTCCTTGCATCATCATTAACAATTTGAACCTTTTCTATTGACCTCTTAGCCTTACCTTTTATACGAAAGTATTCAAAATCACGTCTCATTTGCTCAAGTTTATACCGATTTGATCGTTAACTAATATATTGTAACATATTATGAATTATTAGAAAGTCATGAAGAAGATAGTTCACATGTAAATGAAAGAGGACAGTCAACACTTATGACAGTAGAAAAGGCCAAAGAAATGGAGCAACATATTACAAAGGTAACATGATGTTATATATACATATATATATATACATTATAAAACCTACTAATCACAGACATATTTAAGATCTGTTATTAAAAGAATAGGTTGGAAAACATTAATAATTCTTATATTTACAAGACTAACCTTAAACTCTTCTTGTATTTATGTACCAGTCTATTGTACCCAAACTGACCCGGGACACAGCGGGAACTTTTGGATTTTCAAACCCTTCGATAAAAATCGCCCTGTAGAAAGTGCGTACACTTCGCTTTTTTAGCGCCATAATATAACCACCAAAGTGACCCTGCATTTGAGGACGGGTTTGGAATTTACTACCCCTTTCCCCCGCTATAAAAACCCCCCCCCCCCTTGGCCCGGGGAAAAGTCTTGGGTGTCTATTGACTGTGAAATTTTTTTTTAACTGGAAATTTTCTTTAGTTAATTTTTAAAAACGTTATTTTTCTTTTCCAAGGGGGTAGAATCATACAAATTACTTCGTTATCAGTGACGGGTATAGATTTTTGTCAGTTTTGCCCCTTCCCGGCCCGGTCTGTTTGCATCTCCTTTCCGGGGCCCTGTCTTTTTAAACCCCTTTGTATTTTTGAAATTCTTCATGTTAACAAGGGGAATCCTGAAATTTTCTAAAAAGGAAAGTCCGAAAACCCCAAATTGAAAAGAAAATTTTAAACATGATCCCAAAATTTAACTGCCCTTTTGGGTTTTCTGCGTTAATACAAAAAAGTAACATAGCGACATTAAAGTGCATACTCTTCTCTGCTTCCTGATGGTAATTAAAGCACATAAATTAGAATTTTTCACGCTAGTAAATATGTCCAGAGATAGCCAATATCTTTCTTAGACAATAAACAACCCTTTTTTGATCATTGAAGAATCTTTATAAATTTTACACATGAAGCACATGCGTTTACGTTGAGAAAAGTTCTGTTTTCATAATTTATAATAAAGATTATATTGAGGTGCAAGTAGGTTTTTTGTTCATGAAATTTTCTTGATAATTAACATTTATGACTTATTCTATCAAGTTGATCAGTTGTACCTCCCGTGCACACACGAACATGTATGGAGTTGGAGTTCAGTCAACTTAAAGTTTTAATTATTATATTCAGAGTAGGTTTTTACCTTGACCGTATACATTCTTTTCAGTCAGATCGGAGGGGTATTCACCTGTCACATAAGGTATATTGTGTGCTAGAAAATTCATCTGCTTTCACCTTTTCACCTTTTGTACATATGTATACAGTAAATATTTTTTATTCGTAGTCAGTTTTCAGGTCGTCGTCAAAATAACATTGCTATCATCACCGTTGCCATCAACAGCACCATCTCGTCTTCATTTTATCATCATCATTATCGACGTTGCCATTATCATCATCATCGTCGTCGTCGCCATCATCATCATCATAATAATCATCATCACTATTTCAGCGTAATCATCATCATGATCAACGCCGCCGCCGCCTTAGGCGTTATCACCGTGATTACCATCATCATCAAGGTCATTCTTTTTCTTCATCAACAACATGAAAATTTAAATCTTTATCATCATCATCATCATCTTCATCATCATCGTAAGTATTGTCAACAGATAATGAAGCAGTAGCGCTAGCAGATTCTGATCTTTTATATTTTCCAACCCTCTATTTCTCTACAGTACCCTTATTTGTTCTTGTTTTACATTTTCATCATCAAAATCATCTTTATAAATATATTTCTGTATATCTCTATATATGTATTCCCTTATTGTGATATGATCATTGATTATTGACGGAGATGACCGGTTTCTAATACTGGTCCTTTCTTTAAGATGAAGAGCTAGACACTGTGTTTGATACCTTATTTATACACCAGCTATTCTCTCACCTCACACATGATTAACGAACAAAATACCTGATTTATTTTGTTTCTATTTTACACTGATTTTATTATCATTTTGCAGCCCATACCAAGCAGAAATTGATTTACCTTATTGATTTATACACGTACTAAGATAAATTTAGATAATTGTTTATATACATGTATTGTAAAGTTCCGAGACATTCGTAATTCTACAAAATTAGTAAAAATTGATAAAACAATGATGTAGTCAATGTATTGTTTTTTGTTTGATTGCATAAGTCATAATTATGGCGACGTTCCAGCTTTACTGGTGCGGAATAACATCCGGTTCCCTTCCGTGCATTATTTCAGGCACGAACGGGCGCCTGAGTAGAACCACCGGCGTTCCGTAAGCTAAATGGATAGCTTCCTCACATGAAATAAGTCACTGTCGGGATTCGAACCCACAGCGGTGAGGGACAAGTGGTTTGAAGTCAACGACCTTAACCACTCGGTCAGGTAGTCATTGTAAATAACTTATACAATTTTACAGTGGATAATTGCATACTTTCAGGCAATGGAATCTAAAGAGGGTTTAATGAAACTTTTAGACGAGCCTGGAGAAATAAACTTACATCAGCGCCACGCTTGGAAAGCAGAGGGTTCCCAAGATACTCAAAATTTCATGGTAGGTGAACCGTGATATATGTATACGTGAATAAAATTGAAACTATCTCGTACACATACATTAGCGTGTATTGCGATTTAACGAGCTTTTCGTTATTCTCGGTGATAATTTCTTATTATGCTCCCCAAAGTCGCCGCTTTGTCCGTCCGTCCGGCTGTCCGTCCGTGCGCTTCTTGACCGGGTCATAACTCTGAAACTACAAGAAACAAGAAACTTTGTAGGTAGATAGATCTCATTGTGTAGAAGTACAGTGCATAAGAACCGTAAATCTGCATTGCCTAATTTTTGAGTTTTTGCCCTTTTTTCATTTTTACACGTTGGCCTTTGTCTGAAACTACAAGAGATATCAAAAAGTGTCCAAAACCTTTGCAGGGAGCATCAATCAGTTATATTTGATGAATCAAATAATTTGAAAATCTCAACAAAGAGTGTTACAGAGCCAGATTGTGCGAGGGAATCGTCAGTAGGGCGAATCATACATTAATATCTTAATGTAAACCAAGATTTAGACAACATTCTAGAAACTACATTGGTATTTTTGCTTCAGAAAAATGGTGTGTTGGTAACGATGACGTCAGAGGATATTGTGCGAAAGGCTAAAGCTTTGGCAGATACTTACGTGGATAAATGGAAACAAGGGTCCAATGAAAATGAAGAAGAGTAAGTTTATGTATTGAATTGCTCTCTTTCATCATATTATTATATTTAGTAAAGGGTGGACTCACAATATTATATACATCATGCAACTTCCATGAAATAGGCGTTGTGCAATTATTACTTTTTTGGTAAATTAAAATTGAAAGCCGGCGGTATATCAGTTTAAATTGTTTTTCCCTTTCTATTTGTTTTGTAACTTTAAGTTGATCGTCTAGTGGTCTAGTGCTAGTCACTGTAAAGTTCAATCAAATTTATGGCCGTTTTTATTCTTTCATTCTTCATCAGCTGGAAAGAATTATCTATCTATGTTTGGACTTTTTTCTGACTAAGTGAGTGTTCATGTAAAATAAAACAGTTATCGGGAACCGATTTTAAGCAAGTATAGTCTTTTTCAAATAAAGAAAATATTAAAATTCAAGTTGCGAAAACATATTGAATACGATTCTGTACGTTATTTGTTCTTATCTTTTTAGCTGGGATACTATCCTTCATGCTGAAAACAAACAAGCTAAAATGCTTATCACTGCCAACAGAATAAGAATTAAAGACCTGAAACGCCGTCTTGCGGACTTGCAAAAAAGGCGGGAAAAAGAAAGACAAAAATACAGACCAAAACGAGCGGGGTATTTTTCTGATGATGATGACGAAGAAGAAGGTGAAAATGAATCTGAGTATAAAGATAAAGAAAAGTGTGACACTAAAACATTATGTGTTGATTTTAATAACACTGAAGATACGGGGAAGGAATTTATTGATAAATCAGAAAGTGACGTTGCAAATGACATACCGGAAGTGATTGATGGAGATATGACTGGACCGGAAGTGACTGTTGGGGACATGACTGGGACACGAGGAATAAGTAGCTCTTCCTTGTCAGTGTAGCCAAATCAACATTTTGCCGTTGTTATCATATTGTTATTCTAATTTCACCGAAAGTGCAATTTCATAACATGTATAAAAACAATGAATAATAAAGAAATATATACATGATGCGACATAAATTGTTTACCATAAACGTTATATTTTATTATCCCATACCCATGCCGCTTTTGCGACGCCACAAAGATAGTATTGCATGGCCGTACGTATAATTTATTTTGATGTGACGTATAACTTGCGTTATACAAACATAGTGTAAAGACGCGATATGTCTTTACACTAAAGGGGTGTCAATGACAAATGATTCTTTTTCACTTTAAATAGTATTTTGGGTATGTGATAAAAAGAATAATATATTATTCTAGGTTCATTACTGAATTTATTAAAACTCGCTGAATTAAATTGTATTCTGCTCGTTCAATAAATTCAGTATTTAACTTACACTCCTTCAATATTCTATATTTATCACATACCACTGACGCTTTTGCGATTCCATAAAAAATCGTATCGCCTGGCCGTGCATATATTTTGACAGGACGTCTTTTGTGTTATACAAATATAGTGTAAAGACGTGCTAAATGTTAGCGTTAGACTATAAATTCAGTATTAAACTTACACTCTTTCAATGTCCTCAATGTATTAAACATGCATACAGTATATATTCATTCTGACGTTGCTACCTATGAACGGAAATCTGATTATTTAATAACAAGCATAAAAAATATAATCCAGATCTTTCCTGGGCTTTGTAAATAATGAATAAATGCAGGTATTTTGTACAGTTAAATAGAAGTAGTGGTGGTTAACCTATCATCGAATTGTTCTGAGGTTTCCGAATACTTCGTCCGCCATTTTTGTTTTTACCTTATTTAAACGTGATGATTTATCAAAACGGATATTAAAAAAAGTTACTTTTATGTTTATCTTCAATACTCTAGTTTTTACCAATGATTAAAATATTCATTTACTGATTTTCTTCTACATCATACTTCTACCGGAAGATTAATTTGCGGCGTCTTCAAGCAACAGTCTGAATTGTGTAGATGCTTTTGTTAAATGTTGTTTTTTCAAAAGCGTCCTAAAATCTTAATATAGCTTATAGAACCAGTCTAAGATTTTCAAAATGGCGGCACCCTGCTCACTAATATATTTTCGTAAACTTGTTTAAGGACTCTCCGCGTATATTCATAATTTTACTTTTCTTAACTTTCGTTAACGGTTGATTTTAAATTTTAATATTATTTACAGACACGGTCAAAAACATATATAACTACATTCTGTATTCATAATCATGTACCAGGTGACGAGAAATGTGTACGTTCTCATATGGTAATGTGTTATAGAAACCGAAAATCCTAAACGACAGAAAACAAATTTAAATTCTGAAATCTCTTTGTAAAATTTGTATATACAATTCTGTTATGTACTGTTTGTTAAAGAAAACCTCGTATTACAAAGAAAGTCTTGCAAATAACAAACTTGTCAAATACAGTGTAATTCACATTTTTAGTTGGTATGTATTTAGAATTTATTTAAAGCATTAACAGTGGCGAGAGATGAATGACCATTAGATCACGGACAAAAAGATCAACGACCCCTTACAACAAATCCGATGATCTTCTTTGAGCTAAGCAGGCAGTCATTTTATTTTACCTGTCCCTGACTCGGTTTGATTGAAACTACTGTACCTTCAAACATACATATATATAATTTGAAGGTCATTTTCTTTGATTTGTATTGATCATGGTACATGTGTATTCAGGTTTTAGATATTATTAATTGATCTTTGTTCTTAGTTCATACTCGTTTATTTGAGTTCGTTTGTGTTGGAAGCTAGAAGCTTATTGAAACAGTCTCGGATACATTCCTGGAACCAAACAGTACAAAGCAATGAGCGTTAAGTTTCTAGCTCATGGAAACAACGACTTGCCTCTGACGAGGTTTCAACCCACGCGATCAGCGTTTGAAAACTTGTCACAGAAGAAAGAGACTTATTTCAGACGTTTAAACTTAATCTGCTGAGTTTTTGTAATGAATTTTCCCAGCTTTGAAATTGGAATAATATGTTCAAAGTGTAGGAGCTTACGATACAACAATACAAAAAAAATGTTACAAACAGTATTGCCAAGCATTGAATTTGGAATGATATGATATAAAAATACAGAAATTGAGTTACAAACAGTTGACAACCTGGTCAGGCTTGTCTGACTCTTTACTTGTGGCCAACCAACTCTAAACGCTTTCGACTTCAGTAGGGTAAGATATAGACAGAATTTTGGATTTAAGTGTTAAGAGAGAAAACTGAATTCAAAGTAAGATACACGCAGTTTAACTATGTATTTATCGCTTTTCCAAACAACTTTCTACATTTGATTAAGAAAAAATCACTAGAACTGCGCAATTAAGTAAAAACTTATTTAATTAAAAGTGTTTCAGCATCTACAGTGTATACGGGTTTTCACAGTCCCAACGACAAAACAAATTAAGCTGCCATCATCCTCTCATTGATTCATTGATCTAAACGTTCTAAACGTGCTTTATATTGTATGTTCTGATTAATTCATTGGATAGCTAATGATTATATAAAAGTATTTCAAAATAACATATCATCAAAATTATGAAGAACAAAAAGCTTTCTTTGCTAACTTTCTCAGCTGCACCCTATCCGTTTTCCCTGTGATTGTTTCAGGAAATACATCAAAGAACATGTAATACTTCGGAAGAACTGTAAACATTCTTCGGCTATCATTGTGAATTTCATTACAATAACTGCGAAGTTGCTCTTCTGTGAGATTACTTCCGGTTTTACGGATAACGCATGCGCATAGAACTTGATAGTATATTTCATCCGGTACCGGGACGATGACAACTGTAGCTACGCCTGGGCATGTTTTTATCGCCTGCTCTAATATTTCAGGAGTGACATTCATACCGCCAGATATGATCATGTTTGATATCCTTCCGTAGATAAAAAGTTCAGCGTCTTTCGTCATAATACCAATGTCGTCTGTTTTGAACCAGTGATCATCTGTAAAAACTGCCGCAGTTTTCTCAGGGTCATTGTGATACTCTCTGAACATGCCTGGACTGCGAACATATATTTCTCCACGTGTATTCACAGGAACTATTTCGCCAGACTCGTCGACAACTTTCAATTCAAGTCCTGGAATCTTACAGATGTCGCCGCTATAGTATTCCCGGAAGTCTCCAACGTCATGAATCTCTCCTGAACTCGCGATCAAGAATTCTGTTCCACCGTAGTTTGCAGATATTATAGGCGCAACTTTTCCAATTGATGCGGCTATACCCTTAGTAAGAGGCTGTCCGCCTGTTAAAACAGCATTGACTGGCCAGTCTGCAGGAATGTTCTTCAGAGACAAAAATTAATAAATTAAAGACATATATATCATTTAAAGCAAAAATAGGTGTATTGAAAGCATTGCAAATTGATACGAGGTCGTTGAAGAGTCAAGAACAAAAACAGAAATTGAGAATAAGCAGCTGCTATGGTGATGAGGCGCTTAAAGATAAATATCAATCTCAAATATAACATTCTTCTTTTCAATTTGTTAGTTGACGATGGTCCTGCAAAAATTATGTCACTAATTGGCCTCCAAGGTGTTAATACTGGTTTCTTTCGTGAGATTACCAAATAATTTTAGATAGGAATACATGTGTTCTTTTAATGTTGCACATCTTTATAAAAAATTCTGAAAATATTCACTGGGGCAAAATTAGACAGAAAAAAACTGGAACTCGTACATTATTTCTATATTTCATGCCACACTAGACTTGATATGAAATGTAAAAAGAATGTTTAATGATTGTGAAGTTTTTTTTCTTCGCACTGCAATTTATCAGAGCTTGAAAATGATACCAAAAGGAATAGTTTTTATCTCTGCTTTTTAATTAAGTTACAAAATGTGTAATATTTCGTCAATTTTAAAAGAAAAATCTTGATAAACTGAAGGTGTACCGTTTAAGAATTGTGAGCCTCATGACAACATTGTGCAAAACCTTCATTTGATAGTTTTTAACATGCGGGTTATTATCAAACTTTTATGTATGGTTTAAGTACTAGTATGACCGGTTTGCAATGTGATAAAAATAACTTACAAAAATATATAAAATGTTGAAACAAATTCTTACCTCTGCTCGTATCAACCCATGAAGCAAGGGAGGAAGGGCAGTAAGAAGGGTACATTTTTCTTTTTGTACAATATCAATCAAGCTTGTTACTCGATCGTCCGGTATTGGACTAAATCCGGACACCGTGACTCGTTTCTGTCCGGTCACGATGGACATTGGAAAACCACCTATCCAGCAGAACGGACGATCATTGTACTGTACGACCGATGAGTCCACTAAACCAACAGAACCTAGCTGTCGGACGGTCATTATGGATCTATGAGTGTGGACAACAAGTTTAGGGACACCTGTACTCCCTGACGTCTGGACAAAAAATGCAGCGTCATCCTTGTCAATTATTGGACACGTGACCGCAGGGTTCGTCTCATTAACAAGCTCGCTAATAGTTTTCACTCCTGTCATCTCTCTTGAGTTTTTCCAACCAACTTCGTGACCAATAACATACCGCAAACTTGGAAGTTTATCGCTCGAAGCCGTCCCATCAGGGGAATACCTAATGAGAAGCTTTTTGACTATTTGCCAATTCAAACCGTCTACACCAGGATCAAGTGCGAGCAAACAGCAATTTCCGAGCTTTTTCATCAATGCAATCAGATCGCTGCCATCTTTATAAGTGAACGATATACTGACTGGGACAGCCCCAGAGAACATTACACCAAACTGTAGATAAAGCCATTCCGGACAATTCCGTAAGTTGATGGCAATAAGCTCACCTTTCTTGACACCAAGCTTCACTAAAGACCGTGCTACGGCAGTACTTTTCTCGTATATGTCTGCAAACGTAACCGCTTGTCGACCACCAACATGATCTGCAAACACAAACGCCTCGTTTTCAGCTTTTATCTCAGCGAAATGTTTTATACAGTCTGTTACAGTATAAAGTCCGTCATCGTGAATTTCGCCTTCCATTTTGATATAACTTTTGCCAGACTTGTCCATCATTACAAAACGTTATGACAACTAAAATGGTAAAATAAAAAGATTATAATTTTAACCTTATATGCTTGTGTCTTATTAAAGCGTGTCCACTTAACAGTTATTTTACATTTATTAATTAGCTTTCACAAAATTAAACACGAACTGTTCAGTCGCTTTGTAAAATAGTGACATGGTCCAGTTAGATATTAGATTTTGAGTATTTCATTCAAACCGTGACCGCGATTATATGAATATTCATGATCATTACATTTAACATTATCATTTAGGACACCTCCCCGATTTCCCCTGATTCGTTTCCTAAAAGGTCGAAAAGTCGTGAGTGACAGTGGCAGTAAGTGAATAAATAAATTTAATCCTTCCAGAAAACCAAACACGAATGTTATAATGTCAATCTTCATGTATACATATCACTACTGGAATTAAAAAATATAAACACAAGATAATGTCAGGTTGAATAGAGCCGATCCTTCCTAAAGATAAAGTGCTTTAACAATTCCCGTAATATGTCCGTCATCTGTTATGCTGCAACAATACTAAGGCGAAAAAAAAGACTTTGGCTCTTTACTTGATGTTCTTTTAAAGTTGCAGGGGTTAAACTAAATAAAAACAAAATTGAGCTATCAGTTACAGTTCAGAGCTTAGTAAGACTGCACTGGTATAGCTCTATACATGCAGTAAGCAACGTCTAATCACCTTCTATTCGACCAGATTAAGAGCATGGACAATGTGGTTTCAGTGAAAAAGGCAAGTCATGTTTATAATAATGAAAGAAAAACATTTTATCCCGTAACCTAATCAGAACCTCTGATGATATAAAAGAAGTGATTAAGTGAACTACTACTTCTTTGTCAAGCCAATGGAAAAAAAACTCAAAAGATAAATTTTGATTATAATTTCACCTTTTAAATGATGACGTCACGTATACGTGGTGTTATGTCATACTAGTATATGAAGGGAACCGTGTTATTGAATAATTTTGGAATCACAAGATTGATAACGGATTAGCATTAAGATAACATATAACGGACTTTAAACAGATCGTTGACGAACAAGATTATTTATTTTTGATGATCATAAATCAAGTTTGATCTGTTAAGTAACAATGGATCATTCTGGTAAAAGTTACGTCAAAATAGAAGAGGAATTTCGTGAAAACAGGCTTCAGACTATAACAGACTGTATAAAACATTTCGCAGAACTCAAGCGAGATAATGAGGCAATTGTATTTGCGGATACTTTTGGTGGCCGACAATCCTGTACATTTGGAGAAATTTACAAGAAAAGTACTGCAGTAGCACGGTCTTTAGTGAAGCTTGGAGTCAAGAAAGGTGAGCTTATTGCCATCAACTTACGGAATTGTCCAGAATGGCTTTATCTGCAGTTTGGTGTTATGTTCTCTGGGGCTGTTCCAGTCAGTATCTCGTTCACTTACAGAGATGGCAGCGACCTAATTACATTGATGGAAAAGCTCGGGAACTGTTCTTTGCTCGCACTTGATCCTGGTGTAGACGGTTTGAATTGGCAAATAGTCAAAACGCTTCTCAATAGGTATTCCCCTGATGGGACGGCTTCGAGCGATAAACTTCCGAGTTTGCGGTATGTTATTGGTCACGAAGTTGGTGGGAAAAACTCAAGAGAGATGACAGGAGTGAAAACTATTAGCGAGCTTGTTGATGAGACGAATTCTGCGGTCACGTGTCCAATAATTGACAAGGATGACGCTGCATTTTTAGTTCAAACGTCAGGGAGTACTGGCGTCCCTAAACTCGTTGTTCACACTCATAGGTCCATTATGTGCATCCGTCAGTTTGAATTATATGATTCGGCAACCGTGCAATACAATGATCGTCCATTTTGCTGGATGGGTGGGTATCCTCTGTCAATTTTGACCGGACAGAAACGAGTCACGGTGTCAGGTTTTAGCCCAATACCGGAAGATAGAGTAACAAGCTTGATTGATACTGTTCAAAAAGAGAAATGTACCTATCTTGTTGTTCTTCCTCCCTTGCTTCACGAGCTAATACGATCAGAGGTAAGAAACCAGTTGCATTATTTTCTTATTCAATAAGTATAGTTTTTGATCTACAAGGATAAGCAAATAAGTGGTTGCTTTTAATTTTAAGGATTCTAATTTGTCACAATCACATGAATTATATAGCGTTCCCATTGCCTTTTTAAACATTACAAATGCTTCATTCATATTTTTTATAGTTATTGTGTTCTTTTCATTAATTTTATTCTCACAAAACAGCTAGTGTGTTGCGGATAAAGCTGTCTTAATTATCAAGAGCTTTATTATTTTAAACTCGGTGAATGTTTAAAAAATGTTTAGTTCAAACATATTTCATTAAAGGCAAATCGGCAGCCAAAAATGCCATTCTTTATATTTCTGAAAATGTTCATTATTATGAAAAACCTATAATTTCATTAAAGTTGATTTTTGTTTATGTCTAAATTCAATGTGAAGAGACTTTAATTAAGGAATTATTAATGGTACCTTTCTAATAAGTGGAAAAGGCATAAAGAGAAAACGACTCGCATTACAATTATATGTCTAATAAGAGGTGATTTTGGTGCTAGAGACATGAGTAGTAGTGACATGTAAGAAGTGGTTTCTTAAGATAAAGTTGCAAGGGCAATGGAACTTGAACAAATATCTAATGTGTGTGTGTTTTTTATGGGGGGAGGGGGTAAACGCGAAGACAAATTGAAACTAAATTGCTTAAGAAAGAAAACACCAAAATGCGAAAATCCAAGCATCGATATAAAAAATGGTTTTTTTAAGATAGTTATTTTATTTTGTATAATTTCAGCAGGTTCGGTTATCTTTATTTTTGGTTACTTTTTTTATAGAAAATACCTGAAAACTGGCCAGTCGCATTTGTTGCAACGGGAGGACAACCTGCAACGAAGAGCGTAGCCGGTGCAATAGGTAAAGTTGCACCGACATTATGCGTTGGTTACGGCGGAACAGAATTTTCGATCGTTAGTATCGCTAACACAGATAACAAGGATAATTTCCGGGAATACTTCTGCGGTGTCATTACCAAACTCCCAGGCCTGGAAGTGAAAATAGTTGACGAGACTGGAGACATTGTTCCAGTGAACACGAGGGGAGAAGTATATGTTCGCAGCCCAGGCATATTCAGAGAATATTACAATGATCCTCAGAAAACCTCGGCAGTTTTCACACAAGACGGTTGGTACAAAACGGACGATATCGGCATGCTTACACAAAACGCTGAAATTTTCATTTATGGTAGAAAATCTAGCATGATCATATCAGGTGGTATGAACGTAAACCCTGAAATTCTAGAGCGGGCGATGGAAACATGCGCTGGCGTCGCAAACGTTATCATAGTCCCTGTGCCGGATCAAGTATACTACCAAGTATTATGCGCATGTGTTATCCGTCAGACCGGATGTAATATATCGGAAGAGAAACTTCAAAGTTATTGTGAGGAAATTCACAATGATCGCCCAAGAATGTTTACTGTTCTTCCAAAGTATTACATGTTCTTTGACGAATATCCAGAGACTTATACTGGAAAAACGAGCAGAGTCAAGCTCGCAGAAATAGCAAAGAAAACTTTTGGTGAAATATAACCTTTTAGAAACAATTAATGATGATAAGAAATTAATACTAACCAGAATGTACAAACTATTAGTATTTAAATTCCACACCGCAGGCAACACACTTCAAATAATCTTTCAGTACATTGTAATCAAGTTCAAAAGGATCCATTCCTATTGATACTTCAAAGTAACAGCAGCGTTGTTCAGGGGATTGTTGGAAAATTCTAGCCATTATAACAAGAAGTGTTCCAAAAATAATATCATTTCACCTTCTTTGCGTTAAAAATCGTGTACGTAACCAAACTGACACGCTCGATTGATCACTGAACCGTACCGGAAGAAAATTTTATGTTCATAATTGACTCAACTACATGTACATTGTTCATTGTTTTATAGGTTATTCGTTACACTATACTCAAAATGACGTGATTGTGAGTACGTTGCTTAATTTAAAACAGGTAACAAACACATCAAAGATGGCGCTCGCCAAGTTCCACCAAGATCCAATACCCGCAACAGTTGTAGCAGAGTTTTATTTTAATATTCAAAACGATTTAAGAGGACACATTTTCCTGCTACAAACGTTTGATGAGTTTAACAAGAACAAATATCACCTTTTTATGATCATGTTTATTTATCTGATTATTAATTTATAGAAATAAACTATCATAGAAACAAAACTGTCTTATTATAATAACTAATAATCCAAAAGTCCAAACTGTTCCTAAGCCAAAATTACTCTAATCTTACTTGTGTGTTTAAATTTATTTATACTGGGTGCCGGTTTCCCATATGTCCCAGACTATCGGCCTCTGTTAACGTCGCTGGTCGGAGCCTGCAACGGCGGACTTATTTCGCCTGCAACGTCGCCGATCGTAGAGCCGCAACGGAGGTCTTCTCATGCCGTCTTTCGTCGTAGATCTTCTCTAGGACCCAGTTCCTCGCTTCCTGAACGCAGTAGACAATATAGAGGATAGGTACCTCTTCCGGAAGCAGCAAAGAAAAATGCAAAGAAATTATCTAAATTGTATCCAAAATATACCAAAAGACTTTTGATAATTTAGTTACTGTTAATTAATGAGACATGGGTATACTATTTTGAGCCAAAACGTAAGATTTCTAACAGAATCTGGGCAACAAAGAATGCAAAATGTCCTAGTATTGCAGAAAGATCACGAACCGTGAAGGAAGTTTTATATGTTATTTTCTTTGACAATAAAGGCAAAGGCAGTCATGCATTATGTGCCAAAGGGCAAAACAGTAGCAGGTAACTTCTATAAAAATCTTATTAAGAAATGAAGATATATTACGAAAGTCGTCGCTCCAAAACGGGTATGAAGTGTTTCAATGTGACTGTATACAAAGCACACATTGCTGCCGGAAAAGGTAACTGTCCTACCACACCCGCGTTCTCTACAGATTTAGCCCCGTGCGACTTCTTTCTGCTCTCCAAACTTAAATTCCACCTGTATGGAAAAAGATACAAATCACAAAATGCCCATGGGTCTGTGATTTATCAGTAAATGATGAGTGTCCTTATTGAGGAGTACGATTGCCTAAAAAGACGTATCCAGGCCAGAGTAAGTACTTTGTAGGGCAGGGACGAATAAAATGATAAAAGATTGGAAAATGTGTGTGAAATCAGCAAAGTGTCATTTTTTTAACAGCCCTCTTATTACCAAAAGCACCTGAATGGTAGGGAAATGATAAAAAAACATCTTAATTAATGAGTGAAATATGCTAAATATAATATTATGCACTTATAAATATGTAGAAATAAAATTGCAAGCACAATATCATAAAATATAAAGCAAACATTCTACTTGTATTCCTTCTTTTGTCTTCGTTTGCAAAGGATGTGTGTGAAATACATTTATTTAAAACAGCCACTGGAAACCCATTCTCGCAACTCACTTCAGAAGACATCAATTTTAATCTATTAGATAATTAAAAATAATTCTACATTCATACAGAAAGAAATTACTGGCTCTAACATCATTGCAAGGGCCATTGGTTTTGAATGTTTTATCCGAGAGAATTGTTAGTAATTTTCGTTGAAAGGGTTGGAGACCGACACCCCTGAAATTGTAGCTAGACAGTGTTACCAATGTACCACTGCATCTGCTCTAAGTGTTATGATTGTCTTTAAAATGAAGACAACAATTTTTTCCCCACATCAACGCTAACAAGCTTCAATCATTTGATTTGTGTCCCAATACTACTACGGAAATTCTGAAATGTGTTACATTCTATAACAATTTTTTTAGTTGCTTCATATTCTCTTGATGTGCAGCGTGTTTAGATTATGTTTAAGAATGTTTATATCAATACAGCGTACATTAATTGTGTCATCCAATTCCTCTGCTCGCAAATGATCAGATTTTTTTTGATTTTTTTTTGCTGATTAAGGGCTTTTAGTCATTCTTCTAGTAAACAGAAAAACAGAAACTGAGGGTGCTACTTAATATATTATGAAAAAAATTAATAAATTATTTGAAGTATGTATAATTTGATACAGCAATGTTTTGAGGTGGCCCCAAACCTAAATGCAAGACATTTTATCGGGTAGATTTCGGAAAGTATGCATTCGTCGTTTTTAATTGGTCACTTTGACCAAAGACTATGATTAGACGGCATTTGAGTGAAAGAAAAGATGTGCATGGCTGATGGAGCAAGGGTTTGGGGCGCACTATTATCATCAGAGCCTTGGCAAGGTACTTGGCAAGGAAATATGGTAAACATGGCAGAAAAAATGGTGGAGGCAGAAAAAGTGTGGTGAAAGCAGCTCAAGACAAATATTTGACTATTCTCGGGGTCTATATTTGTACTCGGAGGGTGCATAGAAGCCAGCACGAGAGTAATCTGCAATCAAGTATACCTTGATAAGTATGGTCTGCTTGTCGGCCACCAGCAGACTTGAATTTTGTAAAGTCTAATTTATAAGTGTAACATAAAGGTAAAGGGCACGCTTTGAGGAGACAAACACAAAATGATCATTTACAAACACAAACGCCTCGTGTTCAGCTTTTATCTCAGCGAAATGTTTTGTACAATCCGTTATGTACAGTATAAAATCCGTCATCATAAAATTCACCTTCTATTTTAATGTAACTTTTTCCAGACATGTCTGTGTTTGTCTCCTCAAAGCGTGCCCTTTACCTTTATGTTACTCTTATAAAGTAGACTTTACAAAGTTCAAGACGATTTAAATGTTCAGTCACTTTGTAAAATAATAACATGGTTAAATATTTTTTTATTATTACATTTAAAGCGTGATCGTCAAATTATTAATATTCATGACTCAGTCAGTACATGCATAACTAATGTTGGAATAAATTCGGTCAAACTAAAAATCACTTTATCATTCCGAATCCCATTACATTTATTCGTTTTCGCAGTTTGAAAGGATGGAAAAGGTGCGTTTAAAGTGAATAAGAGAAATTTGAAAGTACATAATTGGAAACCTTAAAGAACACTCAACATGAAATATTACAGGTTTGAAAAAATATTGAACTTAAGAAGCATGGTATAACAGTATATAGCTTTGTAAAACGGCACGAACGTGCAGGGTGGTCTAGCTCTTTACTGGTGGCAAATATTTATCCCTTTCAAATCCAGCAGGTTGAGGGGTTGGTTTCAAAAATGTCATGATGACCCTGTAGCGCTCACCAATAATAAATTTCTAGAAAGGGTAATAATTTGTCAAGGTTTAAGTCAGCGTAATGAGGTCACATCAGGTTTATCATAGTCTGCAAAAGCATCATACTTTTTAAATATGACTTATACTTGTTTTCTAAATGCTTTATGATCTCACCTCATGGCATTTCAATGTCACACAAGACAACTTAATTAAATGTGTTATACTATGTAAGTCTATATTAATTAAGTGATCCCCCGGCCAAGAACCAATTTTGACCAAAGGGGCATAATTCTTAAGAATTCTTACTTTAAAAGGAATCTTATAACTTTTGTAGATGGCCTCAAGACAATCCTACATACCTAATATCTAACCTCTTTGCATTGCAGTTTTGTAATATAAGAAGACTTAAATGTATTCCTACACAATTTTCTATATTTACTAAGTGGCCCCCGAAGCAGGATTAATTTTGACCCCAGTGGCATGATTTATAACTTCTGTAGAGATAATTCTACATGACAAATATCTAAGCTTAGGGTATCTTGTTTCAGAAAAGAAAGTTTTAATACATCATAATACAAAAGTATATCTAAACAAAGTGACACCCAGGGCAATGTCATTTTAGTTCCAGGGGCATGATTAATATAACAAATATCTCAAATCCAAGAATTGTAGTTTTACAAATGAAGGTTTTTTCATATACAAATCTATATAAACTAAATGATCCCTAGAATCCCGAAAAGGGCATGCTTTATACATGTTTAACTTCTGCAGAGGACCAGGAGGTCATCCTCCTTCAAAATAATCTAGGCCCTTTGCATTGTACTTTCAGGGAAGAAGATTTTATGACATTTTACTATACAAGCCTGAATAAACTAAGTGACCCAAATGAAGGGCAGGACAATTTTTCACCCAATGGTCATGGTATATCTTTGCAGTGGTCCACTAGGCTCCTTGCTATGAATTATACAGACAGACAAACACAAAAAAACGTTGTTTTTTTTTTTAATTTTAATAAATAGCCAACAAAGTACAACCAGTTTAATGATTTTTATGATTTATGTAAACAAAGTGAGCCTCAGAGCGGCACAAGTTTTGTTCCCCAGCCCAGAGGCGTGATTTATACAACTTTTATAGAGATTTACAGGCAAAATGTCTTAAATATGAGCATTGTTACATAGTGGAATTTTTTTTAATGTTTTCTACATAAGGTTGGGGCCAATTATGAACCAATGAGTATCACTTACTTTTGTTGATAAAAACAAGGTTTGGCTACGTACTAAATATCTATCAGCTCTGGTCATTGTAATTTCAAGGGAGAGGATTTTAAAGTGTTTTAAATAGAAGTAAACCCAGAGTCATAATTTATATATCCTTTTGGTTTCAAACCCAATATTTTCATACTATTTCATGGGCGTGATATCTGTTTAGAAGTTTGCCTTACTGGTATTTTTATGTCATTTTGGATCATGTATTAAGGAACTTTAATAGTGTTTGTTTGCTTTTTCTCGGGATTTATGTTTACTACATCTCTTTGGTAATATCTGGCAGTCGATCCAGCTAACCAGCTTTACTGCATAATAATCCAATAATTACCAATCTCTCCGCAAATGACAAACTACTTATTCACAACATAGCGACAAATACCATTACACTAAATGCATGTGATTAATTGTCAACAGAGATATTTCGCCTGCCAAAAAATCTATTCATCAAAGACTCAATTACAAATGCCATGCTTTCTTATTGAGCTAAGCGAACGGATTAAGCAGCAGATATATTTTAAAAGGCATCATTATATAACATTGTTTCTTTTTTATTTTCAAATGTTCAGATTTTTTTCGGATTCAGAACTTTCTTCTTGAAAAATGAAATGCCTGCTTGACTGCAAATTAATTTACAATTTAAAATCAGGTACACCGGGTAACAAATTGTAAGAACTAATTCTGAAACCACTGATCAAAAGGTAAAAAAGGTTTTGGTTGTATTTTACCAAAGCACTTGGAATATCTACTGTGAACCTTCACTTTGTGTCATGTTTTCACCCAGACTGAGTATTGTGTCTCTGAGAATATTCAACTTGTGTGCATCCAGACAATGCTGTATATATGGTAAGAAGAAAAAGAAGCTTCCGTTTCCAGGAAGAACGCTGATAAACACTTCCGGTTTTAACTGCTGACTCATTTCGTGCAAAACCTCTGGAAATACAAAATGTAAAACTTACTAGCAAATTTGCATGTATAACTTACACTATGTTAATCTTAAATAAGTCCTGAGTCTATAGAACACATATGCCCCGATTTCATTTTGTTGTGGCATAATAACATGATTGTGCATATTTTATGGATGTTCAAAATAATTAATAATAATACTTTATAAAACGTACATATATGATGTTTGTATGCTTTTGCATATATTATATGTTTGTCTTTGCCATGTTTGTAAATATGGCTAAAGGCATTTCTCATGCAATAAATTTTTAATGCCAATAAATTTTGAAACCCGTTAATTGTCAAGTGTTATACTAATAAGTAATACATTTAAACATGTTATTATAGTACATTGTACAATAACTTAGTTTCTTTAGTGCTTGATTAGAAAAGTATTTCATGTGTCATTGTGACCTTGACCTAATGACCTTAAAAACAATAGGGATCCCCTACAGGCCATGGGCAATATCCTTGCAATTTTTCATAAACTTAGACACATTTTATCTCAAGTTATTGATTGGCAAAAAACTTAGTGTCATTGTGACCTTGATGTTTGACGCAATGATCTCAAAATGAATAGATCATTGGATAAAATCAATGTCTCTACTAGTTTAAATAACTTAACTTTATATTCCTTGATTAAGTAATTGACTTTACAAATAGTGCCCCAGTGACTTTGACCTTTGACTAAATGATCTCAACATCTACATGTCTTGACCTACCTCAACACCAAATCTTAAGACTTTAGGCCAAAACCTTCTCATGTTAAGTTCTGATTAGTGGTCAAGGTTACATCTACCTTGACCATTGATCTATTGCCAAAGTTCTTTATTATTTGTTTGGCAAGCATTTAGTGTTCAAAGGCACTGTGACCTTGACATTTGACTTATTGAATTAAAAATCAATAGGGTTCATCTTCTGACCATGGGCAATGTCCCTACCAAGTTACCATAACTTATTCATTCTCAAGTTAATTATTAGACAAGGAAGGTATGATAAACATATGGACATCCTTAGTTTATCACGAGTGGCTGCGTGGTTAATGCGTCAGACTAGTAATCTAAGGATTGCAGATCGCGTGGGTTCAAACCTTTGACAGGGGCAAGCCATTGTTTCCTTGAGCAAGAAACTTTACATTCATTGCTTAGTACAGGTTGGTTCCAGGAACTGATTCAAGAGTGTTTCAATAAGCTTTTAGCTTCCAACACAATCAAACTAAAATAAATATGTATAAACTAAGGAAATACAAAATTCTTATCAATGTTAAGTACAAACCTTTAACAATCTCCATAGAAACAGAACCCTCAGCATCTTCTTTCATGTCCTGTTTCTGCCCAATGTTAGATATCAGACTGTTTAATAAATATTCCCACTGAAATGTTAAATTTACAAATATAACAAAAAGAAAAGCTACCCTACGAAATACAGATTTGTAACTAGAATTACATGGACTAACTCTTCTTAAGTTTACAAAAGCGTTAATCTATCAAGAACATACTTGGGTTGTTTATTCTTTCTTCATTTTTGTACATCAATAAGACAATTTAAAACAAAATTTCCTCTATAAAAAACAATAAACAACAACAATTAGAGTGGTGTCGCTTTGCTAGCAGAAAAATGCGAAATAATGAAGCATGTACAAACAAAATCGCTAAAATTAGATTTGCTAAAATTAGATTACTGTTAAATTCGCAAAATTTGCCATACGCCAAAATGACCAATGTTTCTCTCATTAAACTGTTAACTACAAACGGCACCAGAATTTGTCCATTTTAGATATTATGCAGTGTAAGGGTTAGGCAAAATCAACAACCATAAATATATGTACTATAATCTATTTACTAAAGCTGAAAGTCACCTGCCGTTTGACTGGCACATTTATTTAATTGACATTTACTATTTTTTCTAAACTCAACAAGTTATCACTACTCAGTATAGTATATCAGCATAATGTGCCTTAAACTTACAGTCCATCAAAAGAAGAACAAATTTAAACGAAGACCAGTCCCCTTATAAAAAAGTGAAAATACTAAACTTCTTACCTGTTTTGAATTGTTTTTTATCACAGACGTGCCAAAGCTGGCAGATATATTTGAATGTTTATTCACAATTAGAGATACAGATTTCTCAAAATTTGTTCTAAGCTGGCATAGAATGGCCACCGAGTCATAGAAGAATGCCTTCTCTTCGTATTGAACACACTTCATCACTTTATCACAGATAGCTCTTGATACATCACTATAACACAGCAAAGCCTTTGGAAATAAAAAAAAGGTATATAAAGTTAACTATGTAATTTTTGAATTTTGATATTAAAGTCCTTGAATTTTGTTAAAGTACTATTCAAATTTAATACAAAGATTAAAAAGCATGTGGGGAATGGCCGAGTGGTTAACATGTCAGACTAGTAATCTAATGATCGCTAGACGCATGGATTTAAACCCTGTCAGGGGCAAGTCGTTGTTTCCTTGAGCAAGAAACTTTACACTCATTGCTCAATACTGGTTGGTTCCAGTTATGGATTAGAAAGCGTGGCTATAAGCTTATAGTTTCCTACACAATCAAACTGAAATAATTCTGTTTAAACCAAAGCAAACCTAATGCTCAGGCTGCAGGTTAAAGGTAAATATGGTAATACACCTTGGTCATGATAAACAATATGATATGGTAGTAAGGATAATTATTTTCTTTTTCAAACTTGTGTATTGGAATATTTTATAGCATGGCTTATAGAAATAAGAAATGCAGACAATTCAATTTGATACAGCTTAAAATGTTTAGCGTTGGGACAAAAAAGAAATGTGAACTACACTACCATTTTTCTTTGGCTTAAATATACATGTAATCATTTCATCCTAATTTATACTACCAAAGTATACATGGGTATCAGCTTTGACATCTTATACATGTATCATATGCAACTAAAAACGTGGTAAAAGTATGTCATTATTTTACATTTTTGGGGTTATCTTATTTTTAAGAAAAGGACTGACATTGTAAAGTTAATACATTTAAACAGGAATACCTCAGATGTGTCTTTGTGCATCATTTGAGACACAAGCATGCATCTGAGTAAAACCACCAACCTCCTGCATCTTAGTTGTATAGCTTCCTCACATAACAGAAGCCTAAGTCCGGTATGATTTGAATTGATAGTGGTTTAAGTACAAGTGATAATCAAAGTACTTGAAAGTACTGACAGAAGGCGATGTTCAAATAATGAAAAAATAATCATTTTAGTTCGCACTTAAGCAATCATTTTCATAGTTCTATAAAATGGCATTCAAGAAATTGATAACTTTAAACATGTACATATCATTGAAAGCTTTTTGATCATTTACATATTTAGCATTGAATTATTTTTTGACACATATGCATGGATATTGTAGTTGTCGGGCATATGTGATCAGAAATAACTGCACATTAAGGCAAAATCACCTTAGAAATAGTAGAAAAAGGCTTGAAAAAATGCTTTACCTGTAATTTCAATAAATCTTCATTGCACAGGAAACAACTACATGTCTCTTTAATCTTTTGACATTGTAACAATTTTGGCTGGACCCCGGCTCTTCTGTTACCTGCAGGCACGACATATTTACACGTGCTAGTTATTGACTTTGCTCCAACAAAGGGAGGTAAGTTGTCTAACCAACCATGGCGTCTGCCAAAATGTCCATTTCCATTCGGCTTTTGAAACAAATAAATATATGTATATAATAATTTGATATGTCAAAACGGTTAAACAAACAGATTAACAAATGTAAAAGTAAGACTGGAACTTGGGAAACAAAGAATGTAAAAAGCATAAATATACAAGTGAAACTCATAACATCAAGACATCAAAAATATATTTCCTTAATGCAAACATTTTGATTGTTAACCTTTAATTGATAAAAAAATTTAATTACCAAAGAGCATTGAAAATGGTATCAAAATAACCTTAACCTGCTGATATATCAATGGGTTTTTTCTACTCTGAATTTGAAATGGTCTTTTTGAAAATTCAGGGATTTCAACATCAATGTAACAAAAAATTGAGCAGCAAAAAGTATAGTTTAGAGCGTGGTCAGGCTACAGGGATGTGTAGGCTGTTCTGGCTCATGTTGGCTTTCAGTTCCAGCTGGTTTAGGGTTAAGAATAGTAAAATAAATATCTTACAAGTTTAAATTTCATGGAGGGGGTAAGTTGTCTGATGGATGGAGGCTCCCATTCCTTCAGTCTTTGTATATAAATGTCACACAGTATTGGCTGAAATAACAGATGATGATGTGATGAGAGATAATAATGAACGATCCCTGGACAGATTGTATATTGTGATCAGTATATATTATATGTAATATCCATAAAAAATATGTTTCAATTAGTTGAAGAATATATGAAGTGATATAAACATATTCTACTGCAGAGTAAGTGATACTTTTAACACATCTTACTTACTTGGCAGAAATAAAATATGATATTGTTGATGAGATAAAATAATGATCGATTGCTGAACAGAGATGGTATTGTGTGATAAGTACATATAAAATAAGCTTCAATTTTTAATTAATATATGTGATATAATATATATTTATAACAGAATAAAGTGAATTGGTCTATAATGGAAGGACTGTAATACAATAAATAAATAAGTTGATAGTATTTAGTATCAGACATAACAACAACTATGGAAGTATTATATATGGATATTATTTTTATCAAGTTTGAGATACATTATCCCATATTATATATATTTATATACTTGTAGCAGATAGGAAAATAATCAAGAAAAACACAATTATTATTCATCATATAAATGTTCATACTAAATTGCTCCGAAATTTATTAACATTTTTTACAAGTAATATTTTATAAGAATAGTCAAACGGTACATTAATACCATTGTTTTTATCAATACTTGAAATACTAATGGAAATTAGCCTGTTGTAAACCAATTCAGTTTCAGAAAATCTTACAAATAAAATGTAGCAATTTAAGAAAATGGAAGCATTTCTTTCACAGAAGTCGCCTGCATAACTCCATTGTAGCATGTAGTGCTGCATTTTGTTTCCAAAAATAATAAAATGAAATAAGCATACACTTAATAATAGGCCAAGGAAATATCTACCACTTCGTCTTTATTGCTGTTTGAAATTCTTACATGCTTATTCTTATTCTGTTGTAATAGTTTGTACACAAACATACTTATTAGTATGACACTTATTTTCTATACATGTATTCACTAGGGGATGTAAATATGATTTGATTATATAAAACATGTCATTTTATAAATATTTCCTCTCAATATTGTTATATCCTTCTAGTTCATTGATTCCAATACTTTTACTGTTTGATAACTGGGTGCTAAAGGGACATAAGTGATGCTTTATCTTCCATTGCTTCCTATAAATGAACTCAATAAAACAACTGTATATGTGCACATTTCCACATGTCGAAAAGTTGGCAAGTTTAAAATTCCAGACATTTCGCATGTTGAAATATAAGCAAATCATCAGTCTCAGAATAGCTTGAAAACTGAAAACAGGTTGGGTGTATTTACGCTAGAGGAAATTCTAGCAACTTTCCTCAATTCAATTTTCGCTTTGCTAACTTAACTACTTCTGCAGTAAGTCTGCAATTTTCAACTTTTTTTGTAATGATTGCAAATGAGGGGTTTCCCCTTTCATGAATTTTTCTGTTTAATAAAAATACATGTGCAGCAGGATGTCCAAAAATTTAATTGCAAGAAGTAGTCATATCTATCTATGTATTTCCTTTTTAATATATATACTTACAACAGCTTCATCAAAACTGAATTTTCTACACTCATCTGAAATAACAATATATATGGTTTAGTCAAACTTGTAACCATAAAGAATTTGAAGACAACATCTGGTTCCAAAAATTATGAACTAGAGATTCCCTACAAAAATAAAAGACCGGAAAATGTGCATATACAGTAAAACCCCACTACACCAAACATGGTCAGGACCAAACAAATATTTTCACATGTGCAATTTATCACAAGGTTTCATCTGTAATTACTGCTTAATAATGCCACTAGAATTTACATACATGTTGTATATTTGTTGTACACAAACACATTTGAAATACTATGAAATATTTGTCCGGTTTTGCAAGGTAACATTTCGTAAACAAATGACAAAGTATTTCAATTTCTGTCTGTTATCCATAATACCAAGTGAGGATTTTATAGAATGAAAATAAAAAGAAAATTCTTGACCCTAAAAAATGTCCAGTTTATTGTGTATTTCAGTTTAGTGGAGATTTTGGATTTTTTATTGTGGGGATTTTTCACTGTATCAACAAAATATGCACATAATTTAAGTGGCGGCATGGCTGAGTGGTTAATGCGTCAGACTAGTAATCTCATGATCGCTAGCTGCATGGGTTCAAACCCCGTCAGGGGCAAGTGTTTCCTTGAGCAAGAAACTTTAAACTCATTGCTCAGTACTGGTTGGTTCCAGGAACGGATTTGAAAGTGTGTCTATAAGCTTATAGCTTCCTACACAATCAAACTAAAATAATTTCTGTATAAACAAAAATATGCACTCACTAATAGTATATTTTCTTTGCTTTTCAATGCAAAAACTTTTTGGAATGGAACGAAATTTAAGTTAAACGTAATACAATATTGTATAATTTGGGCTACAACTTTGACCTTCTGCCTTCATAATCAAAACTACAATTTCAAATTTAGAACTATGCAGTAATATATAAAACTGCTCTCAAAATTAACATTAACTTTTATAAAAGTACAAATTTTTTATGCTTTTATCTAAATCATAAAGAAAGCAGTCAGAGTAGAGTTCTGATCTTCTTATGTTTTACAAATGAGCCGCGTCACGACAAAACCAACACAGTGCGTTTGCGACCAGCATGGATCCAGACCAACCTGCGCATCCGGGCAGTCTGATCAGGATCCATGCTGTTGGCTTACCAACCCTATTACAAGTAGAGAAACTGATAACGAACAGCATGGATCCTGATCAGACTGCCCGGATGCGCAGGCTGGTCTGGATCCATGCTGGTCGCAAACGCACTATGTTGGTTTTGTCGTGACGTGCCTCAAATTATGATCAAGTTATAGGTTAGAACATATAACATCTGTAGAGTCAGAGAAAAACTTATGTAACCACTGGGTAAAATATTGTCTTACCATTAACAAGTGCTTCTAGGTAATCTCTCACATGAGTATTTTTATGAATCTCAAGAATCCCAGACTTTCCCTGTAAAACAAATAAATATACATGTATTAGCCTGGCTCTGATACGATAAAACTCACCAATATATCAAGCTGTCTTGTTAATAGTATGAAAGAAGTTGTTTTTTGAATTTCTATAGTATATAAATATTCTACATAAAAAGTATTGCATGTCTTCTTTAAATTTAGAGAAGAAAGATCTGTCATTCGCCCGTACCATTCACATTGTTAAGGTCATATTGGACATTTCTAGCTCTAATTGGTCCAGGAAAATCTCACATGACCTTGCAAGACATTATCTCACACAGAAGGTGGCACCTGAGTAGAATCATCTTATTTCTGCCTGCAAGCTAGAAACCCTCTCCTTAAAAAAACTAATTGTTTATCTTTTTATAGAAATATTAACAAGTAAATCAAGAGAAGGAGAGAACAGATATCAAACATCAAGATATTTTGTAACTGGTTTATTCTAGGATCTACCGGTTTCGGTCTTTCAAGATCTTCATCAGGATATATTTCAAAGAAAAATGATTACTGAAGTACTAAAAATGTGGATACAGAATGTGACGTATGTTACTATAAATAGACTTATAAATGAGTTTTTCTGGGCTAAGTGCCAAGTTTTTCTGGGCAAAGTGGAAAGTTATTTTTCCATATAAAATGTTTCAAGTGTTGGATAACCACAGATCATATCTATGTCAATGACCATTTTACGGCATGGTTTAAGTGTTCATATTCACCTAATATGATTGTTTTGCATAAATGTAGTTAACTCTGAAGTCTTAAGTTAATTATAGTTGATTATAGTTACTGAGGAGAAATTAGTTGGTTTCAGTTTATAGAAATAAATAGGATTTTAATAATTGCTTTTAGCAAAATAGTCAAGAAATAAAAACAATGTCATATTACCTGAAGTAATCTGATTGCTAGATCCATGGACATGGTCCCTTTGTCATGTAACATAACTAGTATACTTATTAGAATCTTTGGGGAATTACATCTCAGTAGCTGAAAAAAAAAAATTGAAATTGGACAGATTTTGAAAAGTCAAAAACAACAACAACATGCATTTCTATGTCCAATTTATTTATTTATTGTTAATTTATCATTATAATTATAATAATAAAAAAAAGATGTAATATAAATTAATCTGTAATAATAATCTGTAAAGACTATATTCATAAACTGAGTTGCTGACTGTATAACTTAGTTTTAATCAAAACAATCATGACAATTGAGTTCAATATTGGTTTACAGCAATAAAAATATTAACAATTATTATTTGTTGGAACTAATTATAATATCGGGATGGACATGCTTGATTTATGATTACAATATTGAGAGTTTGATTTCAGTAAAGGAATATGTTCAGAAATATTTACCTGTGAAAGGGGAGAAAATTCTGTCATGGATATGTGAAGAATCTGAGGATATTCCAGGCATGTCTCTATAAGATCATTCTGGAAACAAATAAAGCAATAAAAAAATAAATAAAAATGTCTAAGAAAAAAACACACAAAAACCCCCCGAAATTGTTGACAATTATTATCTTTGTCACAAAACTTTATTTTCAATCTTGAAGTTTTCTTATCTCCTGTCCTATTTCATTTATCATAGAGAGGCATAACACATGTATGTTCCATATTTCAAGTGCATGTTGTGACACCAGTAGGATTTTATCATAGTCCCAATACCAAATCTCAAACTAGAGTAAAGAGTTCAAAAGGGGCATAACTTCTAAAATATTGCTTTAAGGATAATGCTCCTTGTCTAAGAACAGTTTCTTGTCATAGTACATGTAATTAACTATTCTAACTTCAATGTTGATATCTTTCATAGTTTTGAAATTCTCTTTCTTAATGGCAATCTCTACAAATAGTCTAGTTTAAAAGTAGCGTAACTACAAAAATATTTCTTTCAGAAAAGTGTCTTACAACCAAACCTATTCATGTTAAACAAGTATTCCTAGTTTCATTTGATACCATTCATAATTTATTTTGAAATCATTCTACTTAAAAGCTCATTTTAACAAAAGTTCTAAGTTAAAAAAGAGCATAACTTCAAAAAAAAATTGCTTTCAGAATTATACCCCTTTATCTTACAACTGCATTATGATTATTAAAGTATGTAAAAATATTTTGCCGTCGGCCTAAAAATCACACATTCTACAGTTTCATTAACCTGTTTAATAGTATTGTTGTAAATCTCATCAAATATTGTTCATAAATAAGGATTTTAAACGGGAAACCCCACGGTAACACTAAAGTTCGTATACGAATTTTAACATGCAAATGAAGACTTTAATCAGCTTGTGTATGCGCTACGTCACGGAGTTATAGTTGCTATCCGGAACACAGCAAATATGATATTTTTTTGTGCAAACACACTTTAACCGTTTAAGCTTCACGGTGCACTAATTTACCTGGGGTTCAATAAAAGTAATCATCTCGTAAAAAGATTAAATTTGTATGAAAACGTCCGTTATAATGCGGAAATATACCGTTAAATTAGGACTGTTACTTATGGTCATGTTTGTTGATTTAATATTGATGTACGGATGAACCGAAGGCGGAGTTTCTCATGCAAACAGAAATTGTACTTCCCATTTCGCCACAATGAGGTTACCCATTTTTATGCTAATAAAACTCATTTTGGTTGTCTGGACACCAAAATAAGACCTGGAGTCGATATAACACCCAATTTATTAATGAAATGTCGCTATATACGCTCGAACTCGGAGGGCCTGTGCAAATTTGTTCGAGAGATCGGTAGTTCGAGCCAACCGAGGTTGAACTATTTTTACATAGAACAAAGGCCTCAAGGTTTTCAAACTTACATCGGTCAAATGATAAATACGTCAATACAATTGTTTGCTAGTACATTCATTTGTTGAATATGTCCTAGCAAGAATTATTATCCTATTGAAAACAGATTTAACGGTCACTGTGTTAATCTATATTCATGCATATTGTAATTGGTTGGGTTCAATTGGGCGATCATTATCCAAAATGTGAACAATGTTCAAAATATATTTATATGTTTATGGGATGAATTTTATTTTAAACAATGCATTAATGAAATATTAACAAAAGAACATTTTACTGCAGCATATTTTTAAAGTCATTTACTAAAATAAACACACGTACAAGTATCATTCTATAAATAGATTACACTTTTACAATTCACATTACATGATCCACGGTTGTAATTAAAGCCGTCCAGGTAAACGTCATTTATTTATTGACTTTTGCGCATTTTAGGGGTTATTTTCTTTTTTATTATTACTAAAGACGGCAAATATACAATTTAATCATAACAACAGATCGGTTTCAACACCTTTTAATTTGTATCAATTAACCTTAATTGCCCTTGTCACCATCACGAGGTGTTAAAAACATGTGTCGCCGGCTGTCAATTATTTAGAACATGTCGACCCGCAACTTTTGTTGTCTGTTTGTGTTCGACCGAAAAGGTGTGATTTACATTATATTTCTTCCGAAGGGACCAGAAATCAGGTTCGAGAGTTCGAGCGATGGGTGTTCGAGCGATCCGAGGTAGAACAATATATATTATATAGGAATTTTGCCGGGACTGGGCGATGAGTTCGAGCGAAGGGAGGTATTCGAGCGATCCGAGTTCGAGCGAACGAAGTTTAACTGTAGTTTTTTATGAAATTTATTAAATGTAACTTTAAGTATGGTAAGTTTTGTGATGAAACCTCTAAAATAAATAGTTTAAGAAATGGGCTAAAAAATTTCTTAATCTACTTCTGGACTGTTCCTAATTCAAAGCAAAGGAAGGTTATTAATGCAAATTTGGCACTGTAAAGTTTGAAATATGAAATGATATATGATAATATAATACCTTATCTATATTGTTTAATGAGGACACAGCAATATCTGGCTCACACAACTGTAAATTTAAGGCAACATATGCTAGCCTTTCTTTAGTCCTGAAAAATACATACAATTAAATAGAGATAAACAAAATCAATAGAAGTATGACATAATATAGATGATGTGTTAGCTATAAATAAAATACATTTTATGTGGTGTTGACCAGAGACATATGAAATAACTTTGATGTAATTTTAGTAAAAGAAATATGTTGTTTATTATTAATAGAAACAGCAAATCACTTCTATGCAGTGTTGGCTGAAGAAGTAAGAAATAACTGCTATAAAAGTATGAAATATATTCTATGTAGTGTTGACAATAGACATATAAAATATATTCTATGTAGTGTTGGCAATAGAAGTGTAAAATATATTCTATATGGTGTTGGCAAAAGAAGTATGAAATAACTTCTATGACGTGTTGGCATTAGACATATAAAATAACTTCTATGTAGTGTTGGCAATAGAAGTATAAAATAACTTCTACTAAGTGTTGGCAAAAGAAGAAATTTTAAAATAGAGCATTGTCTATAATCACTTTCCTTAATGCTGCATGTTTGTAACATCAAATTTCATTGGACAATCACAACAGTCATATTCTCTATATACACCACTATGAATAGCATAGCTGTATAGCATAGTAGCATAAACTCATTTTAGGTTTCTTGACAGGGTTTATGGTCATGTAGCTTCACTGTTCTATAACCCTTACCTAGCTGATCCGGTGATAAATCATAATCTTAGCGCAGTAATGGGTTTACTCCTTTTAAATTATATAAAGAGATAACCTTGTTACTGCACTAAGGTGATGATTTGTCCACAGCCATTTAAACTGGGCCATACAATATGCCACAAATTTTTATAACTTATTAAATACAAAAAAATAAAATAAAATAATCATTACCAACCTTGATTTAGAATCAATTGAAGACCTGATCTTACTGCTAGATTTCAGTAATTTTAGTGCGACCTCTGGTGTGAATGTATTCAGTCTGGAGAATAATATAATATCAGCAAGTCTCTCAGGCATACAGTCATGACAAACTTCCAGCACTAAATCACCATCAACCTGACAACAAATGATATAATATTATAATCCCATATTATCTAACACTACAGTTAGTTACTTCAATTATGTTACACGACTTTTGTCAAATATGTTCTTTTTATATCTTAGCCACAGACACCACAATAAGCATTTAAGCCGCATCACGACAAAACCAACGTTATGCGCATCCACACAGTCTGATCAGGATCCATGCTAGCGCTGTTCGCTATTACAAGTAGAGAAACTGATAGCAAACAGCATGGATCCTGATCAGACTGCATCGATACGCAGGCTGGTATGGATCCATGCTGGTCGCAAACCCATTATGTTGGTTTTGTCATGACGCGGCTCATTTTTTCTCTGTTTTTTTTCTGTTTCTTTTATCCTTGATATTGGTGTAGATATCAGGTTTGTTGTAACTTGTTCTAAAATTATTTTGCTTTGATAACTGATATTTTTACAATTTGTTGACGTTTTTTATATGCTGTAAAATAAATCTAATAAATATACATGAACAATATTGGATAATTGGATTCTAAGTGCTTGTTTAATAATGTACTTTACTTCTATGGGTTTTTAATTAGTGTTATTTTACAGCATATAAAAAACATCATGTCTCAGAAATGTCATCATTTTTTTTCTCACTAAAACTTTGAATTTTTGGTATCTTTCCAAAAAAATTCTCATTTGCCATATAGATGAACTATCTTTAATTCTTTTGTATTGTTGGCAATTGGTATAATTACAGTGAATTAGTATTTTTGTATTGAAGTCAAATTACTACTTTGTTTACATTTGGCTACTTTTACAACACATTACTGCACGTTCAGTGCTTCTTTCTTCAGCTGTTAAATAATAACTTAAATATCTAACATACTCTAAATCATTATTTAACACATGTTTGACATCTCTTACAAATTTAATAAATATGGATTTCTGAGGGACAATGTGCCATGTACTAGTATATCACATGACTTTTTAATGATATCTTTTTAGATGTTCAAACTATTATTTCAATTACAGTTCTGCTTACACAGGTCATATCATGACCTTGAAATAAACATATCAGAGCAAAGCTTAGAATTTATGAACTGAGGAAGCTTTCTACTGATTCATAGCTAATAGTAAAAACATATCTGAGGTGTTCATCCGCCAAACATCAGCTAACTTACCATAAGACATGACAGCGTTAATGTGAACTGTAACTGGACCAAAAATGTTTTTGTGAAATACTTTTGTGGTAATTTTTGTGTATTGGTGTTTTGTTAAATACGAGGACCTGTGTAATGGTGTTTGGTTAAATATGAGGACATTTGTATTGGTGTTTTGTTAAATACAAGGACCTGTGTATTGGTGTTTTGTTAAATATGAGGACCTGTGTATTGGTGTTTTGTTAAATACGAGGACCTGTGTATTGGTGTTTTGTTAAATATGAGGACCTGTGTATTGGTGTTTTGTTATATATGAGGACCTGTGTATTGGTGTTTTGTTAAATATGAGGACATTTGTATTGGTGTTTTGTTAAATACAAGGACCTGTGTATTGGAGTTTTGTTAAATATGAGGATATTTGTATTGGTGTTTTGTTAAATATGAGGATATTTGTATTGGTGTTTTGTTAAATATGAGGACCTGTGTATTGGAGTTTTGTTAAATATGAGGATATTCGTATTGGTGTTTTGTTAAATACAAGGACCTGTGTATTGGAGTTTTGTTAAATATCCTGAAATGTAAAATCTCTGCAACATTCTTCTAACAAAAAGTTTTTAAAAAAACTCTTCTGATAAGGATTTCTGGTGGAGACTAAAAATCAAAGTATATCACAAACTGTTATATTTAACTTCATTTACCTGTTTAAGTTCTAGAGGATCTTCATTAAGAAAAAGTGTATATCTCAGATACTGTATCAATCCTTCACCATACCTTGATACCTGAAGGAAAACAATCTACTTTAGTGGCATATCAAAGTCATTATTTTCTTTAAAAATTGTATATCTACATGTAGATAAATTTTCATGACATCATGTGAAGACAATTACAAAGACAAAAGGACTGCTAAAATCATTTGACACTTATCTGTAAACACATGACCCTGTCATAATTAAAAAAATATTTTACTGACACTTGCATCACTGTATCTTTATCATTATATCTTTGTTTAGAGTTAAGGTAAGATGGATTTTACCTTTTTCGAGTGTTGTCTGTGCTGAACAGCCTGTCTGACCACATCAACAACACTTAGACCTGACATATTGTAGTATGGTAGACACAGATGCCAGGAGCTGCAATCTGGTCTGAATTGGAAAAATTCATAACTTTAAATCTTTGTATTTTCATGTGAAAATAATTTTTGTCTACACCATATTTATAACAATACAATAATTTAATAAATTTCACATTAACATTAAGATCTTACTTTGTACTTTATTTTAAACAAATTCACAGCACATGATACAAATTACTGTTTTAAGTTACACAATACAGATATAGGCAAGAAATGTTGAAAAAGAATTGGATCCAAAAGTGGAGCATATAAAAGTCTTCTTCTTGTAGATTTAAGTACAATACATCATTGAAATATACATGTATTTAATTTTACATCCTTAATGAAAATAAAGTCTATTTCTTACACTAAGTTATAATCTTGAGCAAAAATATATACAAAGAAAAGAAAAACAATTTTAGAAAACAAAACAGAATTATTCAATTGAATAGAAGGAACTCCACTGAGGTTTAAGAGCATAAAACATAAAATATAAATTTCATATATAGATCACCTGTTGCAGTTAAAATAGAAAGATACGCAAAAGATAACTAAGAAATATACTGAGAAAAAGATTAAAAATCATATTTTTGTATTTTTTATTTCCTTAGCCCGATTTGAGCGAAAAGCGTTGAAACGCTTTTTGGATCATTTTTGGATCATTTTTCACAATAAGAATAATTATTCTGGAAAAACGGAGTGAGCGAATGACCTGAAAATATCAACATACACATGTTTAGGCTTATAAGCTTACTTACAAGGCATAATACTCTCCCAGTAAAGCAGACAACTCATGTAGCAAGTCATTTATAGTAGCCACTTCTGATTGGCTTAGAGTCTGACCAATCAAACTTGACTTCAGGGTCATGTGACACTCTAACAACAGATGATGATATGTATGAGGAGCATTCTGTTGGTATCTTTCTCCAAACCGAAACTGTAAGCAAAACAAACAAAAAATAGTTTAAATGAAGGCTACTTACTACTAGGGGAAGAAGATTAGTGGAAACCAGACCACTATAATTAGGTCAATTTTAAAACTGAACATTCAACAGTTGTGGTGGTGATGGTGTTGGTAGTTTACACTCTAGATCACTGCAGTAAGCCACAATAAATTTACCAGAGTACAGTTCAGCCACTGCAGTGTTCCTAGGCAGAATGTCAAGCAGTTTACCAGTACTAGTTGCCCTACTTTTGCAAGGAACTGTAATTTCTGTACATGTCAGAGCAGAGGTACAGTGTGAATGATTGTAGAAAGGATTCATGATCAATCACATCACATCAAAATTGACCTGCACTGTCAGGGAATCGAACCCAGATCGCCCGATTTACAGTTCAATGCTATTTGAGCTAACTGGACAGTGCTATTCAACAGCGGATGATATGTTACATGTTGATAGTGGACTAAGAAATTAAACAAATTCTTACCATTGATATTCAATAAAGCTTAAGTTATTCATAAAATATTAAAGCAAGATTTGAAAATAGTTCTTAAGCTATTGTGTAAATGAAGTCTTAACATAAAGTAATAAAACAACAACAGCACAACATGCCATGTTAGCACTCATCTGTAAAAATAACTACTTTTGACCAAAAAAAACTAAGTTAAAAGGGGCATAACTCCAAAATATTGCTTTTAAAAAAAGATTATTGCTCGTTACTTACCAAATCTTGATATAAATCTGGTACACTTGGTTTCTCCAGTATGTTTATATTCCAAGCATTATCCCTGTAAAAAGAAGGCAGATTATGTTAAAATTTTACATTCTATGTATCAATCGGAATGGCTATTAGTCCTGATAATTTCATCTGAAACATCATGGAATAAAATTTGATTTTTCAGTATTTATAACCATATTACTACTGCAATACTAACACAGTAAATACTGTTTTCGAATGTTTTGACCTCATTTTGGTAATTTAAATAGGTTGTGCGTGCTGATTGTAATGTGTAAATCGCTTCCTTTTGGTTACTTCACAATACTTACTTTTAAATTCATTTTCAAAATTTTCATGAAAATTAGCATGAATATGGAGGCATGCTTCTTTTATTAGAATAACATAATTAGCAGCAAGCTGTTCATTTTGCACAAAAGAATCAACAAAATGCTGAACATTGGTCCACAAGTCCTTATGGTTTGTATTAAACAACAATAACAACTTTTAGATAAGTTTATTATTTTTTCTAAAGGGGTATTCCTACAATGATTTCACTTACATTTTATTGAAGAGTATTACATGTGTGTTTGTAAGAGTGATCTCCCTTGGTCCCAGGAAATTTTGCAAACCACACAAACAAATTTCTTCATCTGGTTTTGGACATGTCTGAAAATACAAATGTAAGGTATGCATGTAATGCATAATTTCAACCTGTTGGCATGAAATATTAGCCGTCTGGTTAGCTCAAAAGGTAGAGCATTGGACTGTGAATCAGACAGCCCGGGTTTGATTCCTGGACAGTGCAGGCCACTTTCATTGTGATTGACCATGAAATCTTTTCTATGGTCATTCTCTCTGTAAGTCTGCTATGGCATGTACAGAAGTTTCAGTTCTTTGCGAAAGTGAAAGCAACTAGTACTGGTAAACTGCTTGACAGCCTGCTCAGGAACAATGCGGTGGCTGAACTGTTCTCTGGTTAATTCAATGTGGCTTACTGCTGTGATGCAGAGTGCAAATACCAACACCACCACTGGTTGGTATAATGACCTCAAACTTATTAGATCTTTATACCACTGTAATATGTTATATGTCTGTATATATATTTCACAGAAAAATAAAAATGACACAATGTTTAAACCCCTTTCTATAATCTTTCTACAATACATCCCTGTGATGAAAACAATATGAGAATTTTTAAGATAAAGTCTTTTAGACTTATGCCTTCTTTAATACTGAAAACATTACTGGGGAAAAGTTTGTGTTCATTTCAAAGTTGTAAAGCAACATATGTGTACAAATAGTTCTTATTCTAAATCTTGTTCAATAAACCAAAAGTATAAAATTCTTACATTATTAACATTATCAAAATGTTCTGTATTATGAACAGCAGCCAGCAGACATCTTGCTGTGTAGACTTCTAGACCATTTTCTACCAGGACATACATCATTCTACCATCTGTCTGGATCTATAATGATATAATATAATTTATCTATATTATGATTTTCTGAAAGATAAAACATACTAGTGAGATATCAATCTCCTACGCAGTGATATCCCCTTATCAGTACAGAGATCTCTGCCATCACAAACATTGAAATATCCAAATTTGGATATTTATATTTTTTAGCTTTTTAATTTATTTTTCATTATTTTGTGTACTTTTGATAATTTTTTGTTAAAATATAACGGACGTAGGTACAAAAAGTTAAAAATAAAACAGAAAGAGAAAAATGACTTTAGATTTTCTATGTAACGGTCGATATTTACATTTGAATTTCGACGTTACGTCATGTGACTTTCATCATCATGTGACGTCTGTGAAGGCAGTGATTACAATTCTGCCAAGGGAGGTAATCAGTGTGAAGAGTTTGGTGAGATATATGCCATATCCCACTGTTTGAAAAGCATGCAATAAATAAAGACTTTCGTGAAATCATATAAAAGAGACATTATGCTCATTCAAGTGAATACTTTACATACATTATTTATATATAGGTTAAAGTTTAAAAAAAAAAAACATGTTTGCCACTGTTGTTTTCAATTTTATATTCTTATATATTTAATCATTAACCAACATGATTCGTTTATATTTCTATAAATATTCTTTAGGGGTAACATTCAATTGATTAAAGAAAGTGGGGCAGTTTTTATCTATAATAACATGATTTTCTTTAAATATTGGTCAATCAACATTAACACAGGGAAACTTTGAAATTTACAGCTAACTCAGAGCAGATTGACAGTGAAAATATTAGCAGAATGTCATTTTAACTAGCATCCTTTGGCACATTTTTAAGTAAATGTTTGATTATAGTTATGCAAATAATATCAAATATAATGAGAGATAAAAAGAAAATGTGTTTGTTTTTTTGTGAAAAAGGAATTTATCTCACTTTAAAGCAAGAATATTTTCATTCATTCAGTCTTTCATGAAAATAAATTGAAAATTCTTATTACATGTACTTAAATTACTTCTAAGTGAGAAATACATTGTAACTATATACCTTATTTACAATGAAAACACAAAGTTCTTCCATATTTACTAACCTGTATCAACATGTATTTATGCAAATACAGGAATTGACTACTAAAGTCTGGTATACAAATGCAGCTTGGGCTAAAAAAAAAAAGCTTAAATTGCCACTTAATTCATCCTCCACTCCCTAACACACCCATCAAAGATACTTTACAAAAACTTTCATTACCTGCACAGCATCTGATGAGTATTTGTATGTAGATAGAAGGGCTGGTTGTGGTATCAGGGAGTACATGAACCCTGCTCTACTGCCGCTCATCAAGCAGGACATCCCGGCCAGGCTCGATCTTCGTGGTGAACGTAGTAGAACCCCATTACCTGACAGCATTAATGTGCTTTCCTTACCTAAACATGTAATAACAAAGTTAAAGTATATCATATCAAAGTACAAACATTCAATACACTAATTCATACTTTTATATGACAGGTACAATGTGCTCTTACTTACAATGTATTTCTAAAACATTTGTTAAGTCCTTAGTCAAAGTTGACCAAGGGCAGTAAATGTTACTAATTCATATTACAACAGTTATTCCCCTTTGATTAATTCTACTCCCAGTATACAAAGGGTTAGACAAATAAATTTTTGCGTTACCAACACAAAAATCATCCTTATGTCATAGAAATGTCTAGATATTTGAGGAAAGAAGACTATATAAGTATATGAAAATACACATTGAGATTTTACAATAAATATATCTCAAAATTAAAAGTATGAAATAAATATTAGATTATCAATGACTATGTTAGTGTTCGCCAACAGAATAAACTTACCAATCAAGTATGTGGGAACCAACTGTAGATGAATCCAAGAACTGTCACTCTCATCTAGATACTGATATATTAACTGTATAAGAGTTGTCTTCCCTGTTGTCAAATGATTCCCACCTGAAATAATTGTTATTAGGACCTAATTTCAACCCAACTATTTAATTAATTAAGCATGAACTGATTTAATTTATTGAAAAAAAAATACTATGAGTTTCTGATCAGCAATTTCATGAATATGTTTTGACATACATCTGCAAAAACTTTATAACAAAGACTGTGAAAATATTAGCATATTGTTTCACTGTAGAGTATTTTAAAGAATGATAACATGTTTTCAGCCATGACATTGAAACCATTTTTCTTACCTCTAAGATCTTTAACATTAGGTAGACTAGGTTCTGGTTTTATTTCCTTTCCAAAGCTTTTTAGTCCTTTGAGTTCAACTGTAGGATTTTGAGAACCAGTTTCAGCTTGATTTTGACTGGTTTCAGTTGAAAATGTCCAGTGTATAAAATCTGTGTCATCTTCTATTGCACAACTTGACACCTACAACAAAATAACAACTGCATGCATATTATTAGGTAATATGAAAAAGGCAAAGCCTCAAAGCGAGCTCGATTTTCTTTTACCGTAAAATAGTTTAAAATAGTCGTTCATTTTTATTTTACATTTTCCGTTTAAAAATTGTCATTCGGTATTTTATACACTGCTGCCGTTTATTTTGGTTCCTCCTTTCTATTATGGTTCCCATATAAGTGCGCAGGACACCAGTCTACACTTCCGTCTTCAATCAGAGTACATCGGCTTTTATCGTTATCTTGTAATTCGAAAAGTTGCATTGTGTCAATTCGGTACTTCGGACGAATGTTTTCAAAACCATCACCTAGCAGGTACTCGCATTACTGTAAAGTTCGCTTTGCGAGTAGGTCCTTCGGGCCAGCTCGTCGAGCTCGCTATAAAGATTTTTGACAGGCTTTATGGCCTTATATAAATGGTTGTTTGTATATAAAATTATTTGTATATAACTGAGCAGCAAGGCAAGGGCTATATTGCAAACAACCATTTGTATATGGCCATAAAACCTGTCAAGAATCTTTATAACAAATTTGTAATAACAGCTTTCTTGATTATAAATATACCATTCAGTATGTACATGTAAATATGATATTCAAATCTACCTTGGGATTGATGTTCAATGCTGGACTTGGTGTAGATGAACTCCTTTCACCCACTGTTGAGAAATGAGGTAGTTCTCTTGAAGTAACCTTTGACCTCACATGACTTGTGGGAGTGTGGGGAGAACTGAAACAGTATATGAAAACAGCAATAACTAATTGTACCATCTTGTGAATAATAAAACTATACATAATGACCAAAAATTCTAGTCCAAAAGCTTAACAATCTAATATCAAAATCTTGGACCATTATTTATGTAAATTATACAACAGAAGTTAGCATACATGTATGTGATATGATTAATTCTATTTGCCTCCTACAACAAGACTATTGCACATTTGAATAGGGAGAATACAACTGGCTGGGTCACCCTTATTTTAGGGTAAAAAAAGAAGAAGAAAAAAATGAATCAAAAGTCCCAGGATTCTAACAGTTGTTAGGAACCTTAACCCCTGGACCAAAAAGGCCTTTTACATAAATATTAGGATCTACCTACCTTATTTTGTCATGTATATTGAGGCTGGAAAGAGCACTAGACATTTTACGACTACCTCTAGAGGGACTAACGGCATCTTTAGCAGCATCTAAATTTTTGTTTAGTGTTTTCCCATCATCATCCTCATTGGATATATTCACCTGGATAACCTGTAACAACATAGGTAAACTTTCAATGAATAACTCTTAAATTGTTTTTATTTATTGGCAGTTGATAAATATCTATATATCTATCTTTGGGTACTGCTAACCCCTCTGGCGAGTGTTATAGGCAAGAAAATATGACGTAAAAAACACATCTTTGTGCAACATTTAATTCAAAGCCATGTATAAATATCTAAATATGTTAATTGGAGTAATCAAATAACAAAAGAAATAAGTTATGGATATTACCTATCATTATTTTATCTTTAAACTTTTACCTGAACAAACTGTGCAGAACTACAAGCCACAAAATCTTCACAAAGACTGATATGATTAATAGAGAGTTTGAACTGTAGCTCAAGAAACAGTATAACATCGAGGAAAGTTGTCTGAGAGTTTGGTATTGTCTTCTCAACCAGATGGTATAGTTTCACGTGAGTAGAGAATACGATACCAAGATTTCCTGTTTCCTGACATGATGTCATAAAGTCAGCTCGTCTTTCACAGGGAATGTCCACTACCTGGTTGATATAAATATATTTGGTAAAGATTGTAAAAATTTCTCAGAATTTCAACAAATTTATTTTATGATAGACATACAAATCAATACCTGTCAAATTTATTCAATTAATTTTTCCAATCAAAACCTGCTTCCAAGATTTTTGTTTTCAAAATGTTTGGTCATATGATCCAAGACATATGATCCAAGACCCTTAAAAATGGAATATTTATCAGTGTTTTTCTCAAGTTGCTAAAAACTTGGAATTTGCATAATAAGTAAGCCTAGACTAGGTCTATATGTGAAAAAACATTTGTTGTTTTCTGTAGACGAAAAAAATTTACTGGCACAATTTTATAATGAAAAAAAACACACCTTTGGAATACATATGCTACAAAAGAATGCATATGCTACAGAATCTAGACATTTGCTAACGTATCAATAGTTGCAATAAAATATTATATAACCTTTGACAGTTTTAAAGAATTTTGAACAAATGTATATAATCAATCTAAAGTTATCTTTTCTATAGTATACATGACAACATACATGTATTTTCACCAAAATATTAACATGTTTGATAATGTTAACTTTAACTGATTTAATTATGTAATATCATAATGTCAAACCTCAAGCCTTTCTCCTGTTTGAACATTTGTACTTTTATAACCAAGTCCAGCAACTCTAACTCTTGTCCTGAAATGTTCATCAGTTGCAGCAATATGCCAGTTCAGGTAAACTTTGACTGACACAACTGTAGACTGTCTGTTTACCTTCTTCTCAATTGTGGCAATATAATCACCTAAAATGACATTTTTTAAAAATGCATGTGCATGAAAGTTCACTGTACAATACAAGAAAACATCTCTTAAGAAACAAGATGGTCAAGATGGTCATGATGGTCATGATGGTCAATTGAGACAAAAGTATGACCACTACAGCTAAATATGGATGGATAATAGATAACAAGTGATGACAGTGGCGGATTCAGGCCTGGGCTTCAGGGCTGCAGCCCCCCCCCCAGCTTGGCCCAAAGAATAGTTTACCAGCTGGGCTGGAAAATATTTTTGTCAGTTTCAAACTTTATTGGCTGTAGTGTATTCCCTTATTAATTGCTGTCATCCAGTTGTTAATCTCCTGCCTGGGGGCTTGGAAGAGATCTTTATCTATCAACATGCTTGAATGACTTCAATGTTTAAACTGCATTAATAGTCAAAGATAGTGGCAAATAGATGTGTTACATTGTACACCATATTTTACTATCTTTGTTTTTCAATTTTCTTTGATTAAGAAATTGAAAATTATTATTTGTAAATTAAAAAGATGGCGAGTTTTATAAAGATTATATTAAATGAATCGCGTTTTAATAACTGGTTTTTCTAAGATTTTTATTCAGATGAACTGATTGGTCATTTGCTTATAATAACTTTTTTATAGCAGTTATATTTTTTTAAGTAAAATTTAAATTGAACTGACCTCTTTAGTATCTAAAATGGATTCATTGATGGAAAATATTCTTATTGAATATTAGCGTTAGAAATTATGTTTGTACAATTGAAAGGCAGTATTTAAATATCACTTTACTTTGGAAAATTGACTATTATTCAGATGAGTACATTGATCAAGTGTTTGAAATTATTTTTATCAACAGTCGCACATACATTGGTTAGTGTGCTGTTATTTTGTAAATGCTTAATACTAAACACCAAAGGAATTCAATTTGAAATACCCTGCAAACACTAACCTGTAAAACCATCCAAAAGGTACCATAAACAGCACTAGAAAGTCAAGGAAATAACACCATTTTCAACCTCATATTTCAAAATTTTCTCAGTCTATGGGAGGGGACACCCCTCCCAAGCCCACCCCAATGGCATATTTTTTTTTTTCTTCATTCCATATAATCTAAATATTTACAAAAATATTAGTATACACATATATAAGCAAAAAATTTACATTGACACTCATAAGATGAGCTATAAAACACATCAATTACAATTTTTTGTCACATGAACAAGATATTGGCCCTATATTCAAACATGCACAATTTTTCGCCTATTGCATTATTTTTGTCAAAATCTTCCACCCATATGTCAGCCCCCCCAGGAAACCATGTTCTGTATCCGCCCCTGTGATGAACATTTAGGGTAAAAATAATTAAAATATTCAAACATGTATAAAACATAAATAAATTACCTAGCAAAAAAAGAAAACAAGCGAATTTAACATTTAGAAAACATGGGAAAGTCTTAATTGCCATATTAAATTCTTATATCAATGCTATGAACATATTCTGGAAAAAAATACAATTTTATGTCCTATGGTATATATCCTGGTTATACCTTTTACCGCAAATCTAAATTTCATCAACACTGTACATAAAGACATCAATCATAATCAGTCATAAAGTTACTTCATTGTCCTAAGTAATCATTCTAAAAGTAACGGCTAGAAAATATACCTTTTAAAACAATAAACAATCGTAAAAAACTGTTTACTCTAACATATATTCAGCAATATTGATTTTTTACCCTGTATACTTAATACCGCGAATCGACCAATCAGATGTCTAGAAACTGTGTTAGTTTATGCCAGTATTTGGCCAGCAAATCAGGACATAAACACATACCAGTCATTGACAGTCAAAAATTGAATAACATTTTGCTTGTGAATAAAATAAAAGAAAGTTCATTAAAACTAATTTAAAACTGTTTATTTTATCAATTTCCATAAAAGTGAACATACTCGTAGAAACAACATGATAATCTCCTGATGAAATGGTTGCAGTTGACAGTTGCAGGTACGCAATGTAAACAATCAAGATGGAAACGAAAGTTAAAGCTTTGTAGATGTCTTTGGAATTGTTATTATATTGGCATTCACAGTATTAAGTATATTGAGATATTATGAGCCCTGGGATACTTCATCACCATCTAGGTAATATCACAGGAACATGAAATTCTATCAAATAATCAATATTAAGGAAAATATCAAAAGAATACCCCGTATTAATAAATATATATACTATATAGACCTGGGGTAATTTTTGGAAATTATCGTTAATATTGATTATTTGATAGAATTTCAAGGTCCTGTGGTAATATGTCATTATTTAGGCCTTTAATTAGTCATATCAAGCTGTTTTCTATACTATAGCAGCTAATAAACGTAAGTGTATCAAATGATGTAGGTGTATCAGTTTGGATGACAAGGAAAATCAATGGCTGTACAAAATCATTAGGGTGCTGTGATTTCGAGTCATTTAGGCCATAAAACGTATCGGCCCCAAATTACCCAAGACGTTTCGGCCCCGGACATTTCAGCCCTTTGCCAAATCGGCCCCATATTTAGTACAAGTTAACTGAAACAGAATTTTATCTGTTTATCATCAACAAGTATTATTATTTTAATTTGAACGATTAAAAAGCAAGACACAGAACAATACATGAAACAAACATTTATTAAATTAATAGTAAGTGACGAGTTTCAGCAATACAACACATAACAGTTGAAAAATTATACTTGTACCATCATGAAATAAAACAGACATTATTTTATAAATAACATTTTTATACATTTAAAGTGACAGATTTTCAATTAGAACGTTACAATAATAGCTCAAAATATTTTCAAGAAATTATAAGAAATCATAATTTAAAAAAAAAACTTTGATATTACTAACCGCTTAATAGCAATAAGCTATAACTGATTAATTTGTTGCACCTTGAAAAAAACATATATCTTAATAGTTAAATAGCTGTTAAATGATAAATAGAGATCAACAGATAATGATTTTTGAGGTATAATTGTAATTAACTTTGTTAATCAAAACTTTTTGCAGTTTGTCAACTGTCTTATAAATAATTAAGGATTAAGTGTCTTTTATTGTTACACATTGAAAAAATAGCATTTATCTCAATAGTTAAATAAAGAGATGGATAGATCTATAAAGGATTATTAATTAAGGATTTTTTGTCTTATTAAAAGTAATTGTTTTTGTGCCATCAATCAATCAATATACTACAATTTTTTATGCATAAAAATTCCTTTAATACTTTAATAAAACCGTAATAAAAAAGGGCCGAAACGTCTTGGGGCCGATTTTTGCAAATCATTTATACAATTATACATGTACCTCAACAATCATTATCCAAACATTGTCCTTAAAACCTGTGCCAAGACCCTTGCACCAACTTTACGACATATTTTCCAAACATCAATTGACAGTGGTAAACTACCCTCAGATTGGCGAAGCGCAAACATATCCCCTGTCTTCAAGAAGGGCGACTCACACCTTGCCGAAAATGATCGTCCTGTTTCACTCACATCAGTCTCCTGTAAACTACTAGAACATATTATCTGCAAGCACATCCTTGACCACCTTGAACAAAACAACATCCTCACCTCACTAAACCACGGCTTCAGATCAGGCTACTCATGTGAAACCCAGCTCCTCACCACAGTTCATGATTTACTACAACACCATGACAATAAATCTCAGATAGATATCATGATACTGGACTTCTCTAAAGCCTTCGATACCGTCCCTCATGAAAGCTTACTTCACAAGATGTCATTATATGGTATTGACGGAAACATTAACCGGTGGCTTCGAGACTTTCTCACCAACAGAACTATGAGAGTAGTGGTAGACGGTGAAGCATCCGAACCAGTCACAGTAGACTCAGGAGTTCCGCAAGGTACTGTCCTCGGACCACTAGCCTTCCTCTGCCATATAAATGACTTACCAGACTGCGTTAAATCAACTGTCCGTCTCTTCGCCGATGACTGTCTCTTATACCGGCAAATTAAAACCAGAAAAGACCATCTCCAACTACAAACAGACCTGAAATCACTGGAAACTTGGGCATCTACTTGGGGTATGAAATTCAATGCCAAAAAATGTTATGTTATGAGTATCAACAACAGATCCACGAACTTTTACCAACTAGACAATCATATCCTACAACAAGTTGATGAAAATCTATACCTTGGTGTCACTTTTACAGACAATCTAAAATTTGGTACCCACATCACGAAGATTACCACTAAAGCCAGCTCTACACTAGGATTCCTCAAGAGAAACCTTAAACACTGCCCACTACTCTGCAGGAAAACAGCCTACTTATCCCTTGTTAGATCCACTCTTGAATACAGCTCAATTGTATGGGACCCATTCCTACAGAAAGATATAGACAAGCTTGAGTCGATCCAACGGAAGGCTGCTAGATTTATTTCTGGGGATTACAAATCAAGAGATCAAGGCTGCGTTACCAAGATGTTGAAGCAACTTGAGCTATCTCCATTACAAGACAGAAGGAAAATGGCACGATTGACATTCTTCTTCAAGGTGGCTGAGGGGCTGGTGCCAGCCATGCCCACCGATACCTATCTGACCCCTATTCGTGGTAAACGCGTAATTAAACCTAAGAAACTAGACAATTACATAACTAAAAACATTGTAGAAAAACAAGCTATAAACCATCATAAATGCTATAAACCTATTATCTCAAAAAGTGACCAATTTGAACATTCATTCTTTCCTAAGACTATTAGTGATTGGAATAATTTAGACAGTGCCGTTGTGTGCGCAGAGACAGTACAGAGCTTTAAAACAGCTCTCCAACAGTGCTACTAAATTACTTAGCTCCTCTCTCCCGCTGCGTACATACCGGAAGGTTCTGCAGTGTACACATTCAGATTCAGATTCAGCAAAGGGGCCGATTTGGTTTGGGGCCGAAACGTCCTGTTTGCCTTCTTTTATTTCCAGTAATTTCTATTCCACTTACATTGATATTTCCCATAATACAATAGATATAACCCATTTACTAGAAAAAAAAAGTGAATACCTGTTTCATTGTACTCTATCTGTGATACATGAGCACCTGTTTGAAAGGAGCAATATTTTATCCACTCCACACCTTTCTGATTTTTAAAGACTTCAATCTCATTACCGTGAGAGCCAATGAACAAGAATTTTCGTCCAGACGCTAGACAAGCTGGTTCTTTTTCGGTCTGTTTCATTATTGCAGACGACTTAAAATTGTAACATCTTAAAACTTTCACCATGTTTGCAAATTTCTGGTTAATCCTTTATCTGTTACTTAAATAAAATCTTATTTTATTCAAACCCGGAAGAAATCGCGCCCATGTCGTCCGCCATTTTGTACAGTCACATGATCATGTTTGAGAGTCATTTCGGTCCCCAAGATATTTCGACCCCAAAATATCCAAGTCATTTCGGCCCCAAACATATCGCCCCATGTCTTTTACCAAAATAATCGTAACAAATCAGTAAATAGTGAATTATAAAAAAAAGGTTAAAGACTTCATTTAAATATAGAAAAAGGAATTCTTAAAGAACGCCCAAAAGTGACAAAATTGAAAATATCGCGGACTTGGATTAACTGAGCCTGTGTATATAAAATGAAAGCGTTTATAAATTAAAATTTCACCATAGCCGTGTCTGCTCCTGCTTGGACTTCCCAGTACCGCCCATGAACAGGCTCAAAAGATTTTCACTTTTGTCGCATTGGAAGTTCTGTAAGGATTCCGTTTTTCTCCATGTTTATTCTGGTATAGGTCATTGACTTCAAACCACTTGTCCCCACCGTTGTGGATTCGAATCCAATCAGGGCCTTTGATTCTTACATCTGAGGAAGCTATCCAGCTAGCTTACGGACAGACGGTGGTTCTTATATGAACTACATTTTAAATATCATTTTATCAGTATTTTCAGAGACATAGATAATGTCTCTGGTATTTTAAATATTATAACCAAATAGAGAAAAACAAATTAACATGGCAAAATTGTAAAATGTTGCAGGTTCGGTTTGATTGAGCCTGTTCATGGACGGTACTGGAATTAAAGTGCAATTTACCGTTCACGCCCCCTAGCACCGGCTTAAGCAGAATTCAACATTTAAACACGAAAATTTTGAATTTAGAAACATCCGCAGATGTGTTAATACGGCGGTTATCATGGAACCTTCAATTTGACACAGAAGTGTCATTCCATGAAAAGCGGCTTATGGTCCCCAAGTAAAAGAATGCATGTGCCCTAAACGAGAAAACAATTGGCGGAACTAAATAAAATGGAATTTTGAAAGGGGATCTGAGGTTATGAAACCTGCATATCACAGACAAGACGTCACAAGACAAATTTAAAAAGCAGGCAACATATCCTAAGGGTGATTATACATTATTTAAGTAGGACTTCTGGAACCACCCAAGTTAAAAAGGCCAAATACAAGAAACTAAAAATACCATCTAAAATGTATACACAACAATAATGTCGTGCTGAACGATCTTCGAGGATCGAAAATATATGACATCATTGATTAAATGTACGGGGGGACTTTTTACAGCCGCCACATGGCACAAATAACACGGATGTGATAATGAAGTAGAGAAAAAACAGAATCCCTAAAGAAAGTCAAATACGGCAAAATTGTAAAATGTTGCAGGCTCGGTTTGATTGAGCCTGTTAATGGACAGTACTGGAAAGTGCAATTTACCGTCCACGCCCCCTAGCACCGGCTTAAGCAGAATTCAACATTTAAACACGAAAATGGTGAAATTATGAATTTAGAAACATCCGCAGATGTGTTCATACGGCGGTTATCATGGAACCTTCAATGTGACACAGAAGTGTCATTCCATGAAAAGCGGCGTATGGTCCCAAAGTAAAAGAATGTATGTGCCCTAAACGAGAAAACAATTGGCGGAACTAAATAAAATGGAATTTTGAAAGGGGATCTGAGGTTATGAAGCCTGCATATCACAGACAAGACGTCAAAAGACAAATTTAAAAAGCAGGCAACATATCCTAAGGGTGATTATACAGTATTCAAGTAGGAATACTGGAACCACCCAAGTTGAAAAAGGCCAAATACAAGAAACTAAAAATGTCATCTAAAATGTATACACAACAATAATGTCGTGCTGAACGATCTTCAAGGATCGAAAATATAACATCATTGATTAAATGTACGGGGAGACTTTTTACAGCCGCCACATGGCACAAATAACACGGATGTGACAATGAAATAAAGAAAAACAGAATCCCTAAAGAAAGCCCAACACGGCAAAATTGTAAAATGTTGCAGGCTCGGGCTGATTGAGCCTTTCATGGACGGTACTGGAAAGTGTAATTTACCGTCCACGCCCCCTAGCACCGGCTTAAGCAGAATTCAACATTTAAACACGAAATTTGTGAAATTTTGAATTTAGTAACATCCGCAGATGTGTTCATACGGCGGTTATCATGGAACCTTCAATGTGACACAGAAGTGTCATTCCATGAAAAGCGGCGTATGGTCCCGAAGTAAAAGAATGCATGTGCCCTAAACGAGAAAACAATTGGCGGAACTAAATAAAATGGAATTTTGAAAGGGGATCTGAGGTTATGAAGCCTGCATTTCACATACAAGACGTCAAAAGTCAAAATTTAAAAAGCAGGCTACATATCCTAAGGATGATTATACAGTATTCAAGTAGGAATACTTGAACCACCCAAGTTGAAAAAGGCCAAATACAAGAAACTAAAAATACCATCTAAAATGTATACACAACAATAAAACTTCTTTTTTTTTGAAAACATTTTTCTTTCTATTTTGAATGAAAAAAATGATACTTTGTTTATCTCCCGCGTACATACAAAAGGTATGATATATTACTTGATGTTATTGGCCCTGCAATTTTGAAAACGTCTGGAAATGTTATTTCTTCCTTGCATAACATATGTTATAAATGCATGTACAGTAGCTTTCATATGGGTGTTTTTCGTGAGCTATAAGATTATAATTTAGGAGCACATTCTATTTAAGGCGGTAAAACTATGCGTTTTGAAATAAGCTAAAAAATGTCCTGAACTCGTATGATCATAATATGTGCATACCCTTTGAGGTCATTTAAACAAAATAGATAAATATAGAATAAATATATTATAATAAGATTATAATTTAGGAGCACATTCTATTTAAGGCGGTAAAACTATGCGTTTTGAAATAAGCTAAAAAATGTCCTGAACTCGTATGATCATAATATGTGCATACCCTTTGAGGTCATTTAAACAATATAGATAAATATAGAATCCCTAAAGAAAGCCCAACACGGCAAAATTGAAAATGTTGCAGGCTCGGTTTGATTGAGCCTGTTCATGGACGGTACTGGAAAGTGCAAATTACCGTCCACGCCCCTAGCACCGGCCCAAGCAGAATTCAACATTTAAACGTGAAATAGTAAAATTTTGAATTTAAAAACATCCGCAGATGTGTTCATACGGCGGTTATCATGGAACCTTCAATGTGACACTTCTGTGCCATTCCATGAAAAGCGGCGTATGGTCCCCAAGTAATAAAAAGTGTGTGCCCTAAACGAGAAAACAATGGGCGGAACTAAATAAAATGGAATTTTGAAAGGGGATCAGAGGTTATGAAGCCTGCGTATCACAGATAAGACGTCAAAAGACAAATTTAAAAAGCAGGCAACATATCCTAAGGGTGATTCAACATTATTCAAGTAGGAATATTGGAACCACCCAACTAGAAAATGCCGAAAAGTTGAAACTAAAAATACCACAAGCACAACAATGCTTCAATGCACAAAACCATTATATTTGCATGAATATACACATACGATATGATAACTAAACAGGATGAAATGATTTCTGTCTAACGTCTATTGCAATTTTAAAGTTTTAAGCCATGACTTCGTGCAGCTGCCACTAGCATTGGCATAACTCATGACTCATTTATTTTAGATTTTGTTTTCATAAATTTCGATATAAACATTATGTACAGCTAAGAAACATAAAGTTGCTAAAGCTTTTTCAATTGACTTTTTTAAAATTAAAAAAAAAATGGAATGACATTAAAGGCACGTTAATTTTTGCGTTTGGTTCGAGTTCCGCCGGATCTTTAATCTTACAAATAAGACCCAAACACAGAGAGCACATTATTATATAGACATATTAAAGTACGTATTTTTGTAATATCAGATACGTTGTATATTTACACAGTCCGAATAGGTCAAAGGACAAACCTTATCAGTTTATCTATCTTTGTTTTATAATACGTTTCTATGGAATGTCTCTTATTGGTACACAAAAGTAAAAGGTCAAATGAATTCGACACATGGCTCTTTACAGGTAAACAAAACCAATTGGAAATGGGAATAAAATGGAAAATATGTTAATGAATAATTGTGTAAAAATTTATTGTATCAGTTTTGATTTTATAAGACAATTAAGCATGCTAAGTTAACGATAAAGTAGGTATTTATGAGTATTCGGGGTGCACAAATATCTATCTTGTGCTATTGACGCCAAAGTAACACGAACAACTGTAAACAAAGCTCTTGTCGGAATTTTTGCTTTGCTTGTCACGGATTTATTATGTCAAGACCACACGGCATGTCTACTATGTATCATCGCTTTTGGTGAGTAGACTATATATGGGGTGCCGGGCAATAATTAATATATAAGCATATTGTCTCTACGTACTGAACAGTAAATAAATGCAGAATAACTTGAAAAGAATTGCAAGAAGGTAAATTATTTAAATTGGAAGCAAAATATGTATAAGAAAATGATATATAGATTGACCTGACAGCCTACATATGTGTCTTGTATGTTGCTATTCCTTGCATGTCCCTTGTTTTTTCCCCATTCGCTCCTTTGCTCATATCGTCATTCTTAGTTACAATATTGCATGTAACATTATAAAGGTATATATATTGTATGTGCATGTGCACTTATTAATTTACTGCTCATATCGTCATTCTTAGTGCATGTAACATTATAAAGGTATATATATTGTATGTGCATGTGCACTTATTAATTTACTATTCATTTCAAGGGGAGATGTAGCCTTGTGGTTAAGGTGTCTGCACAGGCATCAAAGATATCCCAGGCATCATGGGTTCGACCTAATCGGGTCACGACCATCTTTCTTCACATGACACCAGTACTTTTTGGTTCCAGGAAGAGGACTCGGAAGTGATTTATATAAGTTGCAAGAATAGAGCTTTAAACCAATTAAACTATTCATTTCAGATTCAATGTGGTCGTCGTCGTTTTGTATCTTGCAATATTTCAAGACGTCGGATGTGATTATTCGTGCATCTGTAATTACAACGTAGAGCTAGCTGTTTTTGGATCCGTATGTTTATTTCATCATGCTATCATGCATTTACGTTCGCTTTGTGGTTTTAATGTATCTGCAATGTCCTTTTCCCAGTGCTACCCTTCGTGTTCATTAAAGCAGGTCTTAATTGTCGGCAGAAAATTACCGTGTATACCCAGTAACGCAGGGAGTGTGCGAGTCTATAGCCGAAACAAGCACCACGGTAGGTAAATGAAGTTATTTTATTGTAAATCAAACTCAAAGAAATTAATTGAAGCATACGGTTTTTAGATATTAAATTTTATACCACATTTCCAGAAAAGCGACTTTTTGTCTCGCCGATATGTTTAAATAGAATAACGTACAAGTTATTTCTTTTTTGATATTCGCTTTACCTTAATAAACATTTGCTAAACTATTCGTTTCATATAGCATGTACACTGAAAAAAGCAAATAAAATATAACTCAGACCTTGTTTTTTCAAGATTACGATCTTGGTCCGGTTACTTACGGTGTTATTTGTTTCGGCCATAGATTTGTGCTATGAGATTTAGAGATGTTGTACTTTTACATCACATGTACTGTATCTCCCATGAACAGACCCAGTCAAATTTGCGATTCTGTAGTTTAAATGGCTTCAAAGTGATCACTCCTTTTCCAGACTTTTTGCACAGGTTCGTCGTTACTGTTGCACAATTCTTGTCCAATTTTCACATTCTTATGTTACTGTATATACATGGTGATACTGAAGTTCTTGGATGTTTTATTTGCCTGCCTCGCCGTCTACGATACGTATTCAGTCCCATTCCATGTTTTCTCTCACGCCCGGACAATTTTTCTCTCTTCCCTCCCTTATTTCTCATTCCTTTATAGCGAACCTTTAAAGTTTTCAGTTTCTCTGGCTCTGCCTCTGGCTCTGCCTCTGGCTCTCTCAATAATTGATACCCGCACACAGCATTCGATTCTACAATAAATATATACGTATAATTGTAGATAAAATACGTAAAAAATTTCGTAAAGAAATATTAAGAAAAACATATTAACATAAGTTATTAACTATTCTCCTTGTTTTGTTTCTTTTTGTTTTCAGGCAACTGAAACAGGCAATACCATCGGCTATTTGTACGAGTTTGATTGTAAACCACATGTTCTTGTAGACAAGCTAAATAACAAGTGGCTTGCTGTGGCATTTGAAAACCAGGTTTCATTGTTTTCGGTTCATGTATTGGCACCCTATATGATTTTGCAGTTAATTCATTATACTGGCTTAATTGAAAATATTCCATTTCTATTTTAAAATAATATAATCTTTGAAATGAAAGCACATGCTATTATTTATACTTGTTTCAAGTAATTAACGGGCTATTATTTAAAAGTCATACAAAATAACCAAAAGTTACCTAAGTAACACAGTCTTAATCGACAATAATCAAAGTACATGTATAATATTATATATTGTAAAACCTATAAGGCAAACACATGATTAAAGAGTGTACATAGACAGACTCAAGACCGTCTCAAAATAAGCTTTAAAATGATCGATAACCGACATTGTAATAGGAGCAATTTAACAAGTTTATGACCATGACAATTGTTTTACTGTTGTTAAACATGTTTTATGGTTCCCCAGTTAGGTTTCATACAAAAGGATGCACAAATTTTGATACAGACATGTCCAGGTCAACAGCCGGATGAGGACAAACGTAAGACTTAATGAATCTTTAATTCTAAATTCATTCGAACAAAATTACGCACATACACATATATTTCGCTACATATTTTGTTTTTGTTTACGCTTCAAGTATAGTATCGTAGAATTTCTATGAAAACGTTCCGATCATTCCTTTTTTGGGGATAAAAACGTATTGGTAAAATCCATTTTTTCTGAGTTATTAATGTAGCATTATTAGTATTTTCGCTATTATTATCTTAGTTAAGTCACACATGACAACTTAATTATTTTCTAAAATATTACGAGTCTTTTAAGACATTAATTATCATTTATTTATTTATTTAAATTAGTTACAACGACGCCACATACAACTATTTTGAAACCAACTAGTACACTGTCCACTTCTACTTCCTTTTTGTCGTCTTACGATCTTTACTGGAGGTACTCCAAAACTAGTAGATATTTCTGCTTCAACTTCAAAAGGACCTACAGTCTTGTCTTCATTACAACCGAAGACACACACTTCTTCACAAAGTTCTTCAAATACAATCAGGACACACCTTACAACGCGGCACTATGACAAGATATCTAATGCATTCACTGTCACAAAATACAATACAAATTCACCAACTGCTATGAAATATTCCACGTCTTCGAAATTCATAACATTACCACCAGCTTTTACCTCACCTATGACACTGAGTAATAATTTAACAGATAACACTGCGGCCAGTGCTGCCAGTGCCAATTACTAGTATGTCACCTAGTATGTCACCTGCCGCGTCTTCAAAGAAAACAACTCTGATGTCAACAATATCTACAAGCAAAGGTATAACCTCATCTTTGGCATGCATCTTGTTGTAGTTATATGAACACGATGGCAAAATATCAATTTTTTTTTCACCTCACTTATTTCTTTACGCTTACAACCAGTCTTTGTAGATCATGTCGATATGGAGTATTGGTGATTTCTAAAGTCAGAAGTATTGGTGATTTCTAATGTCAATGGAGCAATACGTTACATAATTCCTCATCTTTGTGCAGTAATGGATTAACTGTTAAGCCGCTACTTCACTAAGGAGACAATATAGAATGCTTTAACGTTTTTGAATACTGAGTAAAGTGAACGACCTTATTTTTGTTTACAGCCCGTTTATAACATATAAGGACTCCTATATATACTTGTGTTTAGATTTCACTATTTGACATTGATCACATTTTATTTTTTTACTTGAACATTTTTACTGCAATTTATTTTTAATTAACCTTTTTTACAAATGTATTTTAATCGACAGATTCAATTTCTCTGACGACCACCCACGTTACGTTTTCTCCAAGATTTCTACTCGGTATGAAAATCGTTTAATACATTATAGTCAGCACCAATACATAGATATAGCTGAAGATGAGAAGAAACTAATATAACCATGTTACGTTTTCTCCAAGATTTCTTCTCGGTATGAAAATCGTTTGATACATTATAGATGATGATGAAGTTAAAGCTTAATGAGGGTCCAAACATCTAGGGTACAAAATGTAGCTTTCGCTGTCGAGTACGGACCCCTGACATGTCACCAGTCATGTCCTTAAAGAGTTAATTTTGAAGCACAAAGTGGTGATAATTTATCTCCATGCAATTTCCACGGAGTATTAGCCAAAGATATGAATTTTGAGCCAAAAGTAGCCAGTTTATCATTGTATTCATAGTGAAATTTAGTATCATATTTTCAATTATATTTCTTGAAAAAATGTTATAGTAGTACAATTTAGTAAGAAAATAAATAGTTAAACTGTTTGCATTAGTTTTATTCAACAATAACATTAAACATGTACACTCGTTTGTTTATAGGTTTATCATTTGTTCAGTTCTGTATTTGAAACTTACTTATTACAAATGTAGCGTCTTTAATATTACCTCTGATTCATAGGGGACACGAGTCGTTGCAGGGAAGCGATTTTGTCGGGACATTTTATATCACAATATGGTCAACATTGCTACGAGCTCGTGACACATTATAATAGAAACTGGATGCTCTCCGAGCTATTTTGTCGTTTACATGGTGGACATCTACTGTCAGTGTATAGTGCTGCTGAAGAGGAGTACGTGTATCAGTTGCTCACATGGAGACACGTGACAGAAGCAATCTGGACTGGGTTAAATGATAAAGACGATGAGGAAATATTCCGCTGGTCATCAGGTACATGTATTCAATTAGTTAAAGCAATGTGTCCTTATTATTACTAAATGAATTTTGTAATAATATATAGAAAAAGAGACCATTTTTCAGTAATAAGTATTACAATAACAATTAATGTTTTTTGTAAAATGTATTAAAATCAAATTGTTTTGAAATCATATGGTTACCAAATACTTTTATGGGACTATGTGACGAACTATTTTATATAACAAATATTTATTTCATATTATAAAGAGAAAATGGGTATAAAAATGTTAACAAATCACCTAAAACATTACAGTAACAGTGGTATTGTTTATGAAATGTATGCGACAAACATGGGCTGTTTGACACGTTTTTTTTTTATTTCACAGGAATAATTAATATGCACATAAAAATGCTAGCTTTTTTCTCTCTTTTAAATCGTGCAGAAATAATTTTAGAAAAAAATCTTTGTATTACTTATAACTAAAAAAGCATTTTTTCTTTTTCTATATGAGATGATTGGTTGTTTGTTTTCTCTTCTTTTCTTAGGCGAACCGGTACTATACCGCAATGGTATAAACTGGAAGAAAGGTAGAAAAAGTTCGAGTTACGAACAAGAGGATTGCGTACTTCTCCAACCTGGTACCTATCCTGGAGATTGGGACGATGTTAATTGTAACGCATCACATGCATTTATTTGCAAATATAATATTGGTGAGAAACTAAGCAAAATAATATTGAATTACCGAAATGTTATCCGAAATTACCGGAATCGCAGAACGCTTAAATTGTAAAAGAGTACATGGCATTTAGTTGTTTTATTTGAAATTTTGAAATTTTGAAATGTTTCCTATAATTATAACACATTTATAATATTTTTTTTAATAAAATACAATAAACAATGGAAACTACATCTACAAACAAGCGATATTATATAAAACAAACAAACAAATAAACAAACAAAAACATTTTGAACTTTGTTTTGTAATCCAAATTAAAATTAAGTTTGATCTAAAAATATCCATAACATTATAAAAGACTACTTTGGACATTTGTCTTCGAATTGAAAAAGACAATTTAATTTGATATAAATATCCATAAAATTAACAATAATAAAAATAACAATAACTTACTTGATCGTTTATATTTCAAATATGACTTTCATATTTTGATTCTTCGTGGTAGAATATATTCTTAATTGTTGTTACTAACATACATTTGTACTAACTCTGTTTTCAGATGAATGGCTTTAAGTTATTAACATAATGTGTTTTCAGGTAAAGATGTGTCAAATGTTCCGGTACATATCGGATGACCCAGTTGGAACGTAGAAGAACTATTCCATTCTCTTACGTGAAAAGAAAACAAAGTTTGAAACTACCTAGGCGGATCATCTATTAAGCTTTATTTAACCCAGGTTGCCGTTTTGACTTAATATCTTTATTAAACAAAATGATATCAGTAAATACAGACATTTTTGTTATTTCACCAATTACATTTTCCTCAACCATGGCTAATTACAATATATAAACGTACGTTGTTCTAAAAGTCTATGTAAATGATATAATACCTAAAATAAATCAAAAATATGCATGGTAAGGAAGTTTATTTTCATCTAAATATGACTACATTTTCGCCTTCATCACATTTCTATTTCACAAATAGCTTCTATACAAAGTTTCAAAAGTTTATTTAGAAATAAATTTTGTACATCCGGGGAAAATGACATTGCGTACACAGTGCGTATAATCTAAACAAGCATATTAATGATCACATTTGAAACATAAACTGCATCTAAAATGCAAGACAAAGTCTTAGAATGTAACAGGCATCCCCATCTCACAGGCACAATTTACACCATATAAAGTCTTTTCAGCCTTGTTCGTGAATCAAATACTATATAGCATCATGTACAATTAACAGAGAATTAGAAAATGCAGTCGTACACAAACAACTGTCGAATATCTTTTTAAGTAAAATTGATGATTTTAAGGAACAAAATAACCCAGACTATATAGATAGAACGCCAATGAGTCAATTTAGAATGTAACGGTGTGCCTGTATTTACTTCACATGCAGCTTTTGCTGACGTCACTGCTTCGTCCAGCTTTGGAAACACATTTGTCCAAAAGTTTACAAATCCAGGCCGGAAATACGACCCTGTAGTAAACGGTTTCTGGTCTATGTCCAGCACGATGTACGATTGGTTTTCTAATGTATATTGTGGCCACTCACCAAGCATGTTGTGGTCATTATTTGGGTTTCTAAAATAGATTTTTTTGTGTAAAATATCTTTTGAAAATTATTACACATACTTTACATGCTATCTCAAGGAGGATATATATTTAATAAAGATATTATTAAGAGAACCACTTAAGAATTCGATGTTATGAGCCAAGAGGTTGGAGAATCTTACAAAAATAAATTTACAAAATTTCAACAGAATCACTGCATCAATTTAGGTAAATGGTAAATGGTCATTATTCACAATTAGTTTAATGAAACTCAAAACTATACATTGTATTTGTTTTGGATGAGTGAAAATATTCTTCCGTCAGTTAAAATCAAGAAAAATTGTCGTTTAAAATATGATTATTATTATAGATCATTATTAAATATACTTTCAACCAAAGTGTAAATGGTACATACCCAGTTTTTGCAAACTGTGTCCAAAACTCCATTATGTTCTCTGAAAGCTGTATTTCATCACTAGACAATTGAATATCTCCAAATAGTTTGATTCCTGGAAGGACAAAGGGCAATTCTTCCTCGTGATTAGCACCTTTTATCCAGTCCGGTGACATCGAGAAACTTGGCCTATGATGAAACTGGTACATGTAAATCTTACCTTTGCCATCAAATTTACAATGGGAGTTCAGTACTTGTACAACTGCTGGGGTATAACTTACGTCCTTCAGAAGGTCAAGAAGTAACGACCGCCTAGAAAATCGATCATTTGGGTCACTCCAGTTGGTATATTGGTGAATCAGAGATTTAACAATGATGTCGTCATCAGTGAAGTTGACATATTTTATTTGTCTACGTATGTAGTTTTCAAACTCGGCTGCTGTCACACCATCTGAAATCTCTTTAATATTCTTTCCTAAAAGATTCACAAGAATTTCAAAATCAAGCAGTCCTTCGTCGCTGTTCATTCCCATAATGACGTCCATTTCAGAAAAATTACGCAGTGCATCTGCAGACTCTTTTGTAGTATTGTCATACAACTTGAAAGGATTATACTTAATAAATTCACCATCAGTAACTGGAAGAAACAATGTTTCATATGAAAACAGTTCTTGCAAACTTGATGCATCAATATTTCGAAGACATCGTAAAATGTCTGGCAATGTGTCCTTTTTACAATTGCTTCTTTGTACAAGCTCGTCAAATGCCTCGTCTGGGTTTTCCCTATATGTCCAGTATGACCCTATAGAGCCGCTTTGAGCTATTATTCTATTAATCATACCTTTATTTCCATCGTACATAGCTTGATACATTACAGATACCGCACCGGCCGACTCTCCAAACAGAGTCACTCGTTTAGGATCACCTCCAAACGCTGCGATATTTTCATGTACCCATTGAATTGCCATGTGTTGATCCCATAGTCCATAATTTCCCTTAAGTCCAAATCTTTTACTCGCCAAAAATCCGAACGCTGACAGTCTGTAATTTATCGTAATGTAAATAACGTCATTGACAGCGGCAAATGCTTCGGACCTAAAAAGGTCCTTAGATGCGTACTGAAAGCTTCCACCGTGCACAAAAATCATAACCGCTTTCGGCTTTGTTTCATGATTATAATGTGGTACAAAAATATCTAAATTTAAACAGTCTTCGCCAACTGATTTGATTTCCGGCATCCACTTCATGTTTTGTGCACATGCAGGCTTCGATTCTGTTGCGTCATAGGTTGTTTTGAATTGTGCGACTTTCATTGGCTTAGCAAATCTTGTGTTTCCATTGGCCGGTTTTGCATAAGGGATCCCGAGGAAAGTCATAGCTCTATATGACTTGTCATTAAACCAGAGTAGCACTGATGAACCTTTGATGTCTCCCACTGGTGCTGATATAGTTACACTGGTACAGCAGGCAAGGTTCAAACACCCCAGCATAACACAAAACAAACTGAGCATTAGCTTCATTGTGCTTGACATTCTAACCTGCAATTTATATAGAAGAAAAGGTATATACATGTATCTCTATCTTTTTGGTGCAACGTAAAACCCAACAAAAAAAAAACAAACAAATCTCGGATTTTGGTTATAAGAAAGTGTAATTTATCTCTCAGTGTAAGGATATCACAAATGTTACTCTTCGACTTGTACCTACTTACAGAATAACTTTTATTTCCAAACAAAAAAATTAGTACAAATTAACATTTTACATCTTTTATCTGAGTCCTTAAAATCAGGGGCATACAGTATTTTCTAATATAGATCTACTAACTTTCTTTGGAAGAAAGATTTCGATCTGTTGAAATTGATTTTTCAATATGGCAACTATTAAGAAAAGTCTCTCCACATTATTGTTTTTGCCTTAATATGCCTCTTATCATTTAATGATGTTATCTGTTCTCATAAATGTTTCTTCTTTAAGAAAACATATTAGTCTACAATCGGCGCATTTTCCTTGTGTATTTTAAATATTGATCAAACAGTAGAAATGTATCGTTTGGATAGCCTTATAAAATATTTCTTGTAAAAAAAAATGACTATAGAATTCTAAGCAACTTAGTATGAATGTTTATGATGAATAATATATTTCTTTTCTGGATCAATTTATAATCTGCTATATATAGATATCTTATAAAGGATCCATGTACTCACATTTACCAACAACGTCTATACATATAAGTTTTTTTCCTGATTTGTTGTTATGTATAATACTAAATACTATCAATACAATTATTCCCCGAATTACGGACATTATCCATGCAGTTTGTAAAACTTGTAAAACCAATTTTGTGTGTTCTGATTTGAATTTGTTATGATTGGGCTTATCTGATATCGTTGAAAAAAGATCCATGCCAGCTAATTTCAAATCCATAGAAAAAATACTTACAAAAAACTCATATTTTGTTTCAAGATTAATAAACCCGCATAATTTGTCCACTTACAAATGGTTTTAATAACACAGTTTCGTCGAAGATTTGATATATCATTGAAAATGATACAACAATTTCGAGCAAAACATTATATTAATGTTTTTTAATTATTTAAACAGAGATGTAGATAACAGAGTTAAGCAGCTCCTTTACATTCCATTCAAATATCAACCATGCCTATTAAAAAGTGAAAAAATAGGTATTTGTAGCAATTAAAACTAAATGGATTTATATTTGATCCTTTTATACTATACACCATTTGAAAGTTAAATCTTTTATCTATTCCTGCACAATAAAATATTTGTAACTTTCTATGCCTTTTACTTAAAAAAACGTAGCAGAACATACCCACTGAGCCAGTTTTTTTCATCATATGTATAGTTATGTAACAAAAATTAATGAGTAGTTACCTTCAAAACATAAATTTATTATTTAATTAAATGCTATTTCTGTCTCTGATTTAACTGAGTATTTTGACATTGTCATCAATAAAAATGTTAACATTATAAATAAATATAACTTAAAACCATACTAACTTTAGAAGATCAGGAATCATAAAATCCAGGCTTGCCTCACTAGTGATATTGGCATTAACATATAAAAAACTTCCTATGAAAATATTTGCGATGGTTCTGTAACTGATGTTATCGGTCATCCTAACATCTGTATCTAACATTTGTTGTTTTCTTCTTCCCTCCCTTATCACACACTGCGACTGCGAGTCTACTGATTCTCTAGAATCGCCAATTCTCGGCTATTTCCGTCAGACATTTCTGTTCATGTTTGATGTATGCTACATGGTAGATGTGCAAAGTAGGGATAAATTCCCTGAATTCCGGAATTTTTTATATAAATATTTTATTTATTTATTTGTTTATTTATTTATTTATTTATTTATTTATTTATTTATTTATTTATTTATTGCGAAGAGTTCTATATATCTTGACACTCATATTAATAGCCATAATTATGTAATAAACATTGAATCGCTCACCTGACATTTAAATATAGAAGCTTTTTATGTAAAAGAATTAATTGCTTTATTTATTTACTGATACTGAATGTTTTGATATAACGAAAAGATAACTTTAGTGTTCAATGTGTGTATATATACGCACATAGAAGGAAGGAAGGAAGGAAGGAAGGAAGGAAGGAAGGAAGGAAGGAAGGAAGGAAGGAAGGACTTGTAAGTAAGAGAATGCATGTTTTAATATGGTTGAAGTTTTTTTGTTTCATCAGCCGTGAACAACTGAGGTCACATTTGTATTACAAGGGGAATGTAAAAGAACCAGGATTGCCCCTGAATCAGGTAAAGTTCTGATGCATCATGAACTTTCCTGAGAAATGATTTTTCAATGGGAGCATAATTAATGGATTGTGAATAGAATAGAATAGAAAAGATTACAGTAGAGTACAGTAGACTAGACTAGTCTAGACTAGACTAGACTAGACTAGACTAGAATAGAATAGAATAGAAATTATTTTTATTTCAAATTATGTCCCTTTTAAGCACAAAGTCAGCAGTAATTATAATATTCAAGATGTACATTATTTAAAAAAAACACACACAGAATGAAAATAAACCTTTACCACGAGGATTAAAAAAATTCGATCAATACTTTAAGTACTTTGATATTTATTCCGTATTCAATCGGTACGAATTCAGACGAGAAGTAGCCTATCGAAATTGTTGTAGCAACAAGGTGCGTTATCTGAATTTATCAGAATTTTTACAAGGAAAATAACATTAAAACTTGACTTGGATAAATTGAAAAGTAAGTTTTTGCTTAAAATTTCGTATAATATAATGCAAAAATTAATTTATAAAACGTGATATGTTGTTTTACTTACTGTTTTAAATGCAATGTTTATGAAAGTGTCCATATTTTCGGATGTATCATGATGTGAATTGATTTTTGGCTCAGAGGTCGGCTACCACAAATAATCTTAGAAATAGACTTTCAATTATTTATAAATGTTCAATCTAACGTAGTCTGTAAAGTGTAAACTAATGTTTTAGTGTTTGAATTTATAAAGAAAGACAAAAAAACACTGATATTTATCGATAAGTGGTATCAGAGACATAGATAGCAGAGATAGGCTACTTCCTAGCGGAAAAGAGTCAACTCGGCCCTATACCAACTCGGCACGGGTCAACTCGGCACGGGTCAACTCGGCCCACTTTACAAAAATATATAGGTCTATAACGTATTTACTTTGCTTTGCATGTTGTTAAAGTAAATGAATAATAAGAAATATCTTATTATTATTATATAATTATACATTGTACCTCTGCTGAAATAAAGTATATTTAGAAAAAAAAGTTATTTATTTGTCTTGCAGATTCGATGAAATTAATATAGACACAGGCACGATTATCGAACATGGGAAGAAAAAATATGAACAGATTGATAAAATAACTTCATATTTTTTCTTCCCAGATCCGATACTTGTGCCTGTGAATATAGATATAATAAAAATGTGTTTCCTTAGATGCATTTTGTTTGTAAAGTAATTTTCAAAAAAATATGAAACAAAAACGTGTTTACTTAATAGCATAAGCTTCTAATTAATTGCAGGTGGTCACTAATCAAATTTGAATGAATGAGTCAATCATAATTATCACCTAATTAATCGGTATCTTTAACATACACATTGATTGATAATAATAGCCTGTGACAATAGGAGTCTTTTGATGCCCTTTACCCATTTTTAAAAGTGGGCCGAGTTGACCCGTGCCGAGTTGGAATAGGGCCGAGCTGACTCGGGGGCCGAGTATGTTTTAGGGCCGAGCTGACCCGGATTCCTTCCTAGCCAGTTAAAATATCACGGGTGCCTACTAAACTTAAAACTTGTAGCAAGTAAAACTTATTAACCAGATATCAAAATCAGTAAAATAATACATTTTCTGAAAGCTTATGCATTTGTCTATGGCTGCAGGTAAAAATATTTACAGTTCCCATTTAAATCAATGTTGTATCATTTTTTAAAGAGAACTACTTAATATTTTTTGTTAAAAAACTATTCATATGACAAAAAACTGGCTCAGTGGGTATGTTCTGCCATGTTTTTCTAAGTGAAAGGCATGGAAAGTTACCAATATTTTAACATGCAGCCATAGATGAAAGATTTACCTTTCAAATGGTATATAATATTAAAGGATCATATGTACATCCATTAAGTTTTATTTGCTACAAAATCCCTAATTTTCCACTTTTTTTATAGGCATGAGTGATATTTCAATGGAGTATATAGGAGCTGCTTATCTCTGTTATCTATGTCTCTGGTGGTATCCACAAAACTGGATGGAGGGTCCTGTGAAACGTCTTGCAAGACTTTGTTACATAAACAAATATTTCATCATAATATAGTGATACATTGTACGGTACTACATGTATATCATATCAGGGCTGATCTATTTTTGCACTTGGCATGAAAGATAATATATTTATGCAATGTCCACTTAGTTTGACGTCACAATCCACCCTGACCTGATATATTGTCCAGTGTCCACCCTGTCACAATAAATTGTCCACATTATTATCGTCCAGCCATTCTTACAACCTATTCTGCCTTCTTAGCCATACGTCAAGAGATTTAAATCTATTCACAAAATGATGGTAGAAAGGAAATTGCAATTATGCTGTATATTTCTTTAAATTTTTTTTTCTGAATGTTGTAGAACAATGTCGGATATTCATTCCACAACTTTCCGCTATGAGGCTGTGTGTAAAGAGCTTAGTATTGATCCTAACCCTTACCTTGTGAAGATGCTGGAGAAGGAGAAGGAAGACACAATTTTGTAAGCAGTTAAAAAAAAACAACGATTTTTGTTCAACATGAAATTTATATTTTATACTTTAACAAGCACTTTTTCTCACACATTGGACACGCATTTATATTGAAAAATATTTCATAATTTTGTGTTTTAAATAAGAATTAAGAGAATTTATAGTGAACATCTTATATGATGTAAAAAGCAGGTAGGAAAATGCAGACCCAAAGCAATTGAATAATTGTTGATCCCACAAAAAAAATGTTTACAACTTGTTTTTTTCCCAACCCTACTAATTTTGTTTTCAGTTACCTTTTTATTATAACTATACAGTCAAAAAATGTTTTGATAAAAAATAATATCCTTTATCTGTAATGTTCTTCCTGGCCTGACTTTTTAAGCAAAATAAAATTTGTAGGAATTCAGTTGATTCACTATGATAAATATATAAGTTACAAAGGTTAGAAGAATTGTGTTTGATCATTTAGCTATCTGCTAGACATGACTGTTTTGAGATTTTGTAGCTAAATTTAGAAATATCACATGTTTGTTTCACCAGGGTCTTTCAAATAGAACGCCTTTTACCGTTCTTTCTGTACATAGCTCTGGGAAAGCGAGGAATTCACCTAATGGAGTGCAACAACAACGCTATATCATGTTTTTGGATTTTATAATTAAAGTGAAATAAACAGTTATTTCTTTGTAAAAAATAATTAAATATCATTGATTCTAACACTCCACGTGATTTTTCACTATAGACAAAGAAGGAAAAAATGCAGTGTTAAACTGCCAATAAACACTGGTAAGGGACTACTTGTATATTGCGGCCGTTATGTTTTCACCTACGACCTTTGTGGTCAATTCCTACGCATAAAAACTCCAAACCGATGTTAAATAGCCGATATACACCTCTCAGGCCAATGTTATTTCTTAAATGAATCATTCCATACAAAATATAAAGTAAATACACAGGTTTATGCAGAAAATGTCATTATTTATCATAGAAAATGCCACAAGGACTGTTTTAATTTTATTGATTTTTATTAAAATTTGCAATGGATGTTAAAGGAACATTGATTATTTTCAAACACATCAAGTTTTTTAACATTAAACGGTAAAATGATCATAGAAAAATAGAAATATTATGTTATAGTGTGTAAATATGTACTTTATTTTTTGTAATTCCCCAAGAGCTAAATCCGTTACATACTGGAAAACAGTGTTTAGCTAGGTTTTTGAAAGGTCAGTGATGTATTGAATCACTCGACACAAAATTATTGTAATAATACATGCTGGTTTAAATGCTCAATCCGGCATGTCACATAAAATATCGTGAACAAGGGGAAGTTGTTGAACACATTTCTGTAAATATACAACATATTTAATAAAGTTTAGGAACTTAAAATATTTTGTTTCTGAAAATGGGAAATTATTCTTAAAAGAAAAGGCAACAAAATATTTTGATTTGTATCACATTACGCTTAATAAAGCTCTTTAAAGTTAAATAACAAAAAAAATAAGATAATAAAAGGAGATTTTATAACAAAATATTTATTGAAAAATTGATCACATTCAAGCTTCTCCCAAAAGACAATGAATAAAAAAATCACAATTATAAAAACATGAGGATAAAAAAGAGTTTAAGTACTGTAGAAAAAATGTAAAATAATTCAATAATTATGTGTTTTAACGACTGAAAAACATAAAATTAAATCCCACTCTATTTCCAAAATTTTCCATCAAAAATGGCGGAAACACCAAAATACGTCATTTTCAAACTTCAATATCACAAATTATAAGCCACCAACCGATAAAATCTTTACACATAGCTGTTGAGCAAACTTTGTTTTTACAGTAACAAGTGTCTTTTCTATGAAATAAAAACTGAAAAGTTTCATAAATGCTCAATAACGTAGACCGTTTTTCGAAAAATGAAAATGTTCGGGGTAGAATTTTACTTCGACACCGTCACATGGAAAATCACGAAATTTTATCAACATGCCATAAAATATTACACTTTTCCGACTATAATAATATAAGATAGTACTCACCATATGTTATAAATTATTTTTTTGTTGACTAAACGTCATTAAGGGAAAATATTGTGATTTTCCAAAGCGGTTTTTTAACCAACATGGCGGCCAATCATCCGAACGCTGAAGCGAAGTCACGTGACCAATTGAGACCCCTTTATTCCGTCAACCGGTCAGTCTCCGGACCATTCTATTTGAAAGACCCTGGTTTCACCTAGAGAGAAATAAAGTCACTATTATTATACATGTACTATTTTTATCATATATATATTGTCAGATGTTGTAGAACACCTTATGTTATATACATTTAATAATAGTTTAACTACATGTATTTGAATATAACAACCTGAATTGTCATTTTCTATATAGCAGTATTTTGATGTGTCACAAAACTAATATCTTTAAACTTTAAAATTGACATTACCTTATTAATCCTCTTCATAAACTTTTAAAAGGTCTTTGAACATTTAAGAATACCCTCCTAAGTGACACTTTCCTATCATGATTTGGCAAAAGAAGCCAGTAGCAACTTCTGCATTTATCTGCCAGCAATTTTGTCCATTCCTTGGGCTTATTGAAAGCACTACATTACATTAAGCCTTTTATCATGTGAAGCCCATGCAAAATTTTTTTGATTAACTAACTACAATATCATTATGATAAAGAGTCAGTCTTAGTGTGAGAAAATGTTCTGAGTCCATTAAATGCCTTACCTGTACTTGTTTAGCTATAGCAAATAAGTTAATAGACACATGTCTTAATCTTCAGTGATAGCAAGTTCAGCTTTGTGTTGCTCTTTCCAGTATTTTGATCTTAGTGTCACTCTAATGAAAAAATTCAAATTAGAACAAATCAACAATGTAAAATGAGTGCAGTCATAAAGGATTAAACATAAATGTAATAACTTATTCATTCAGCACAGTTCAGGTTGTTTTAAGTTATTTTACTATATCTAGTCTACATGACAAAAATATTTAGTGCAGTGTTTCACTCCTACAACAAAAGTTTGTTGTTGTTTTTTGGTGACGTGGGAGAGATTTTGCACACATATCTTCACTTTGTCATGTGGATTAATTTGGTCAAATATAGTATGGAAAAAGTTCAATCTATTTATACCTATCATAGCTATTTACACACAGCTCAAACACCAGTGATGAAGTTTTGAAAATAATTTTACCATTTGAATGGCAAAGCTTCATAAATAGACTGGTAGCAAATATAATGCACATTTAATTCAACAATGATGAAAGAATGCCATGACCAGCTATGATAAATTTGAAATTTTTCATACTATATTTGTTCAAATTGCTAACATTCACTATATATAATGTTCACATTGTTTGTATATTTTTACATCCCCTTGCCTGCATTTGATGTTGTGATGTTACACTGCATGTCACTTTACTAACAGGAGGAAGGAACAAGGGTAAGTGCTAGAAAATATAGACACTTCCTACATGAGACCCATGTCATAGTAAGATGAACCTTGACTTCAGAACCATGAGTACATACAAGTATTATATAGTGAGATTTACCTTGTCATATTTATTACATGTAGATGTTGTTTTTGGCTTGAACTTATAACTGTATCAAGATAAATGCTTTTCTACTCACCTGGGTTTCAAGTCGGCAATGCATCACACTTTTGGTGAAGTTTTTTTGTACCACCTCACTTTTTATCTTTTCATTTTGTGATATTGGTCTTAAACTTAAAATAGGTATGTTATAATGACCCTCATCCCCACTTATATGCAGGAGATCATAAGTCTGTCAAGAATTTTAACAAAATTACTTCCCTTTTTCGACTTTGAAATTTGGTTGCAATTTTTTGTACTGCCTCATTTATTTCCTCATTTGCACTGAAGAATTACTTTGAAATTTTGAATGCTTGATAACGACCATCATATCAACTTCCAGACAAATAATTTATAACTCTGTCAAAAAGTGACAAAATTATGTCCCTTTTTCGACTTGGAATTTGGGTTAACTTTTTGCACTACCCCAGTTATTGTAACCATCAACCCCATAACAGGCAAGCGTCATCACTCTTTCATATTTTTATTTCAGAACTTTGTCAAAACATTTTTGTTTTACTATACCCATTAAGGTTTAGCTGTGGATCCTAATTATGCCCCTTTTTTACAACTTAGTTTGTTTTACTTAACTGACTAATTAAATAGATCTATCCTTTGTATCCACTTTGAAGTATATTTTAAAGACCTTTTACTACCATTAGTATCATAAGAAGAGAGTTGAAGGATCCACTATCAGACCATTATGACAATGGAGTTCACTGTCTTATAGTCAGCTATTCAACATTAAATCTTAATCATGTTATAATGATTAACCTTGATGGCAACCTTAAAAGCATGCACTTGGCCGAGGCATTTTGCCTTTTCCCTAAGTCTTTTTAGCAATTATTCTTTTAAACTTGAAATAAGGCATTAAGGCCTACAATTAAGACCCACAAAGGGGTCTTTGCTTGTGACTAAAAGTGACATTATTGTATTTTAAAGGTTATCTCAATATTGCAATCTTTGAACTTTGACAGCACTGCACTGAATCTCCATTATGTAAAAAGGTCCACAGGAAATAGATAGTATAATTGTCAGGACTTGCACAGTACAATTTAAAATTTTTAGCCCCATAGTACTGCTTGACACATTGATAGTTTTACATACAAAGTCAGGATAAGTGTTTGCAAAGAAAATGATGAAATGTCAAGGTGACAAGTTTGTGAAAAAATATCTTGTGACTACAAGAATTTACAATGGATGACGCCAGTCATATTTAATAGCAAGTATTAATTTGATATCATTAAAGTCACGGCTGATGTAATGATTTGATTGTAAATTGTATTAAAAATTAATTTGATTTTTTAAGTATATTTTTAAGAATGTGTTGCTAGTCTTCATTTTAGTATGTTTCAAATTGAGCTTTTTTTGCTAAATAGTTTTACGTTTCATAGTTAGTATCCAAAATATATACTTATATGTCCGTATCAAATTATGAATAATATTTTTTAACCTTTGATGAAATGTTAAGTTTTTCACATCTCACATTTGAATTCTAGTGAGATCAAGGACACCATGCATCTATATTTGGCGGGAAACAACAAGCTTCTGACAGACAAGCGTCTGGATGATAAAGACTGTGAAGTTTTATACAAGCTTCTACAGAATAATGTGTTTGTGACAAGTATAGATCTTCGCTACAATAATATAACAGATGAAGGGATTAAATTTTTGTCAAAGTTACTTGAGGTATGAATCATCCAGTCTTACTAATCATAAACACTGTATAATAAAGTACTTTTTTCTGTGTGATCTTTCATTTATTATTCAGATGTTTGTAATTGATCACTCAGTGCTACAGCCTTTGTGACTATATAAGCAGCACATGCAAACTCCTTACCATCCAATATTATACAGTAACACCCTAAAGACCAAGATCTATTTCCTAAGTTGACTATTAGAGTTTGATGATTTTTATTTTTTTTGGCATTGCAGTCACAAAAATTGCAGTAAACATATTTTATGTGTAAAGTACGCTATAATGGTCCATCATGTCAGAAGTAAAAGATTGTTCACATGGGCTCAATAGGCTTAATAAACACCATTTTTGCCAAGTTTCTCCCACTTAAACCACACCAGTGCATGTAAATTTGCATTTATTAATGTCAAGTAAGCAGACTACAATATTGGTCAAAAATTTTCTTTGAAAAGGGACATCATCCGATTATGAAATAAATGTAATAAAAGAGATCATAACATGTATTGTTTTCTTTAAGATTGACTTTGCCACAGAAATAAGGTACTCAAAAATTTTAGACCGCTTTGCTTTAACAATAATAGCAGAATAATAAGCACACAGAAATAAGTATTCATTTAACTCACTTTTGCAGTTTCTGGCTTTATTTCATTTAAATATAAAACAAAGCTACATGTATACTTTCTCCATTAGTTTGATGAAGAAATCTGATATTTTTTATAACTATCAAATTTAAAAGTATTGATACAAGAAAATTATATTGTTCATGTAGATTGTAAGTATATTGCTCTTGATCCTTTTTATATCCATCTTCCTAAATATTAGCTTTACCTGCTGCACAGTTTATAACAGATATAATTATAGAGATGAAAAGTTGTAAAAGCCAAAATATTCTGAGCAAAACAAACCATTGTAAACTCAAAATATTTTAGAGCAAAAAATCATTGTAAAGTCAAAATATTTTAAAACAAAAGATCATTATAAAGTCAAAATGTTCTAGAGAAAAAAAAAACATTGTAAAAGCCAAAATATTCTAGAGCAAAAAATCATTGTCAAGTCAATTTGTTCTAGAGCAAAAAATCATTGTAAAGTCAAAATATTCTAGAGCAAAAAATCATTGTAAAGTCAAAATATTCTAGAGCAAAAATTATTGTAAAGTCAAAATACTCTAGAGCAAAAAATCATTGTAAAGCCAAAATATTCTAGAGAAAAAATCATTGTGAAGCCAAAATATTCTAGAGCAAAAGAAAAAAATCATTGTAAAGTCCAAATATTCTAGTGCAAAAAAATCGTTGTAAAGTCAAAATATTCTGGAGTAAAAAAGCATTGTAAAGCCAAAATATTCAAGAGCAAAAATTCATTGTAAAGCCAAAATATTCTAGGGAAAAAATCATTTTAAAATCAAAATTCTTTAGAGCAAAAAATCATTGTAAAGCCAAAATTTTCTAGTGCAAAAAATCAGTGTAAAAGCCAAAGAATTCTAGAGAAAAAAAATCATTGTAAAAGTCAAAATATCCTAGAGAAAAAAAAATCAGCATAAAAGTCAAAATAATCTAGAGAAAAAAGTCTTATTTGCAAAAAAAAACCCCAGAATTTTAGGTTCACACAATATAGGAATTATAGCAATTTTTAAGGATGATAAGAATTATATTGCTCTTGATCATTTTTATATCCATCTTCCTAACTATTAGCTTACAGATATGTAGAGACGAAAAAGTTGTAAAAGCCAAAATATTCTAGAGCAAAAAAATATCATTGTAAAGCCAAAATATTCTAGAGCAAAAAATCATTGTAAAGTCAAAATATTCTAGAGCAAAAAATCATTGTAAAGCCAAAATATTCTAGAGCAAAAAATCATTGTAAAAACCAAAATATTCTAGAGTCAAAAAAATATATTGTAAAGCCAAATATTCTAGAGAATAAAAAATCATTGTAAAGCCAAAATATGCTAGAGAAAAAATCATTGTAAAATCAAAATTCTCTAGAGCAAAAAAAAAACATTGTAAAGCCAAAATATTCTATTGCAAAAAAACAGTGTAAAAGCCAAAGCATTCCAGAGAAAAAAATCATTGTAAAAGTCAAAATATGCTAGAGAAAAAAATCATCGTAAAAGCCAATATAATCTAGAGAAAAAAAATCATTGTAAAAGTCAAAATAATCTAGAGAAAAAAGTCTTATTTGCAAAAAAACAGAATTTTAGGTTCACACAATATAGGAATAATATAAGAATTACCTTATAAATGTAAATTTTATAATAATTACAGGAGAATTCTGTAATAGAAGACATCAATATCATGTGTAATGACTTTGGAAAAGATGGCGCAGAAATGCTGGCCAAGGCACTACATGTATGTATCATATTTCAGTTTCTTAAGAATATATAAACTTAGTTTTTGTGTCCCAATAGAGAATCTCTTGTGTGTTTGGTTGCATATATTGTTTATTACAATGGGAAAGGAAAGCAACTCCAAGATATATCTTTTCTAGTGTGTTCTAGTTAAGTAGAAGAACTGCTCTTATATAAAGGTGAAAGTTTAATTCCTTAAAGGCACATTATGCCTCAGAAATCCATATTTTTTTTATTTATTTTTTTTAGAAATGTGTAACATGCGTTTAATAATGTATTAGATGTTTTACAACTGAAATAAATAGCTTGACTTTCATACTGAATACTAATTCACTATTTGCAAACAGAAAAAAAGATGCAAAAGATAGTTTGTGTATCTAGCAAATGAGTATGTTTTTTGGAAACTGTAACAAACTAACAAAAATTAACAGTTTTTGAGAGATAAAAATGATAGCATTTCTGAGGCATAATGGGCCTTTAATACATTCTTTTTAATTAAGACTACTGATAGCCTAATTAAAAGGACTAAGCCTGCTAGCAGCTACACAGTATGCAATCAGTTTAGACCAAGATCAGCTGGCACATCCATGAGTTGTGATCATGCAAACACTGTTCCCTATTTAGTCTGTGTTTTGAAATTTTCAATAAGAAATGTATAGCATGTTAAATGTTAAACAGTGGTTCTATTTGGAAATTTTATGCATGCATTTTAAAGAACGAATGAATATGTCTGGAATGGAAAATACATTGTTGTAACTTTTTCCCCATTGCACACTGAGAAATTCTCTTTTTTCAGAGTCAAGAAGATTTCTACATTTTTGAAAAATTAAATGTATGTTTATGCATCTAAATATGTTCTTGTAATTTCAGAAAAATGCTGGTTTGAGAGCGTTGAGATTGAATGGAAACAAGATAGGAAATAAAGGAGGGATGTTTTTTGCTCAAATGTTACAGATAAATACAACTCTTCGTGCTCTTGATTTAGCTGATACTGATCTGGTAAGTCTTTTTAATTAATAATCAGAAATCAATGTTTGCAAGCCTCTTTCCTTGAATGATTAAAGTTGTAGAATTGAAATGTTTAAGGTTGTGTACTTCGAATAAAGTAAGCCTGGCTGTTTTAGGTTCACATTTACAATAGATGTTTGATATGTCTGTAAAACAGATTCTGGGATCAAGATGATTAACAATGTCTACCATTGTTAGTCTTTGCTTGAAATTATACACAGAAGGTTGTATTGCATCATCCAATGAGAAAGATATTTTACTTTCACATAAGGTATACTACTATTGTGATTTATAACATTTACCAAATGCAGCAAACGTAAGAATAGTGTGTACACAGCTAGCTTACGGAACGTCAGTGACTCAGTGGTTATACTCAGGTGCTTGTTTGTACCTGAAATAATGCACGAAAGGGCACCTGAGGTCTTCTGCCACCAGTAAAGCTGGAATGTTGCCATATGACCTATACTGTGTCAGTGTGACGTCAAACCCTAACAAACAAACAAGAACGATGTGCTTAGAGGTGTGTTAGAAACTCCTTAAAGCCATACTTAGTAACTGTATGTTTATAGTATTTTTTCCATCATTCTTGAGAGATCTCCATGCTTGAGAATTCAACTAACATGTTTGATTTTATGTCTTGCAGACAACAGAAAGTGTGATTGCCTTGGCTACAGTTCTAAACAACAACAAATCTCTGAAAGCTTTAAATGTGAACAGACCTATACTGTTCTCGGAACAAGAGGAATGTGTTGTTCATTTTGCTAAAATGCTTAAGGTAAGACTTCTATCTTTTACCATAATACATGTGTGTAAAATGTTTAGTATTAATGTTACATGTGGGTTTTGTTTGGTTTTTATGGATATTGTGGCAATTAATTATTACAAAGATGGTTTTATAGACTGGGCAAAGAAAGTTTAGAGGGGGCTAAAATTACAGGAATCATTTTGTCCTGACCGGTATTCATTGTTTGTCCAGTCCCATCCCGATTGTTTTCATACAAATTTATTGAATCCAATACAAAACCAAATTAAAATAATTTACGGATGTAAGCATTCTGAGATCTTCCACCACCTGTTAACAGAAAGGTCGCAATATGAGCTTTACACTGGGTGACTGAAAATCAAACAAATAAAAAATTTATATACACAAAGTGCCGAGATTTCTTCTGGTAAATGTGAGTAATAAGTTATTTTGATATTTTAGGTGAACACTACACTAGAAGAAATCCACCTACAGAAATATGATATCCGAGACTTTGGTGCCACTAGATTGGCTGAAAACCTGATGGAAAACTTTACCCTGCAGTGCTTGGATCTTAGCTGGTGAGAACACTTGTTTAATATTTGAGCCGCGTCACAACAAAACCAACATAGTGCATTTGCGACCAGAATGGATCCAGACCAGCCTGCTCATCCGCGCAGTCTGATCAGGATCTATGCTGTTCGCTTACAAACCCTATTACAAGTAGAGAAACTGATAGCGAACAGCATGGATCCTGATCAGACTGCACGGATGCGCAGGCTGGTCTGGATCCATGCTGGTCGCAAACCCATTACGTTGGTTTTGTCATGACGCAGCTCAATTGTATCGAGTGAAAGAACATGTTTGACCTGCTGAAAAAGTTTGAACATTGTAAATTAACCCTCATCAAAACACTTAAGTTCTCATTGCTTTGGTTTGAATTCCACTAGAGATGTTGAATTTTTATGATTTTGGAAGCTATTTAGCTAACTTACAACAAAATATTACTGTTTTCACCAACCCTAAACTTTTTATTGCATATAACAAGGCATAATAGATTGTTTTGTTTGTTATGAAAATAACAAGACACAATATATGGATTTGCCAGAACCACAAAGGAAAACAGAAAAAGACATTGTTTTATGCCTAATGATATGAAGAATTAAGGTTAGATCATTATCATCACAATTATGAATAGATAATGATTGGAACATCATACAGAATAAAGTGTCATATATTCGTCATATCAGTAATTTTCTCTTATACCTTTCATAAAAACATACTTTAATATTTCTTAAGATTATCTGTTTCATAAAAAAACTTATATTGTTTGAACAATACTAGTATACAAATGTTACTGTATCAGTTAATTTGCTGATTTTGCATTTTGGTCAAAAATTTTATCCTATGCCATTCAGTTTTGGCAATGAATGTAGAGGGTTTTTTAAAATAGATAGCTGGCAGTCAGTTATTGTATTACATGTATTAGTCAGTTACCTTAATGAAAGTTTAATTTTACTATATCTTATACTCTTATCTATGCTTATAATTGCAATGTCAAATGTCTTCATAAGGTTAACTGGACATGCTATCTCTCAAGAAGCAGAAGAATGTTTATTTTTAAAAATGGGCAGCCATAGCATTAACCTTTAGAACTGAAAGTGATCAGCCTTTGCCACCAGTATAGACCCTGGACAGCCTGCATATCCATGCTGTCTAACCAGGCTCTATATTGCCTTTAACTCAATTTCTTAATTTTGATATTCAAATCCCTTTAACTTGGCATGGACTGTTCCAAATTTAAACCTGGGCAAATTCATTACACAATTTAATCAGGTTAAGTGTACAATTGTATAAAGTATATAAGAATAAGTATAAAGGAAATAAAAATCATAAATGTATATATCATTAATGTATATCAGTAACAGAATCACTCGTGATGGAGTAAAGGAATTAGCAAAGGTGTTAAAGAAGAATACAGCTATCAAGAAGTTAGATTTGAGCTTTAACAGACTAGAGGATGATGGGGCAATGCATCTAGCTGAAGCTATTTCAACATACAACACAAATCTGGAAATGTAAGCTATAGCAATCATACAATTATCATGTTCATAGTTAAAGATAAATTATGTTCAAATATGATATTAGAAAATATTAATTGCTTCACAGTCTCTTTACAAATATGAAATAAACATGTTTAACTACACACAAAGTAGATATGTTATGACATTATAGGTGGTCACAATATAAATATATAGTGTCATTAAAAAAATTGGCACTTTTTTTAAAGAAACGACCAACTTTATTTGACATGTAATATGGAACGCAGCTTCCCATATGTAGTTTATTTGTTCTTTTATTCAAATTTGACATATTCAGTAAGAATTACATCAATTTCAATAAATTTCTGTGATTAAAATATTTTACTCAAGGATGAGCGTAGTATATCTTTAAGTGAAAACTGGGAAAAAAATGTTAAAGATGTAAAAAAAAGAAAAAGAGCATCAGAAACCAATTCCCACTATAGTTTAGCTTTAAATTTTGCCAAACCATTAAGTTAAGTAAACAAATATTGTGCATAAATTAATCAAAACGGTAAGAGCGTCAAAACTTATTGTTAGCCATAGATACGCAATTAACTTTAAAAAAAATACAATTTCTGTTTGAAAAGTGCATGCTTATCTTTTGTATTATTTGTTTGTAAGGATGCAGGTGTTTGATTGCCTGTCTTGTCTTCCTGTCTGTTTGGCCAGTAAAACCAACAAGAGCATTTGTATGTTGCAAGATAATTTATTTAACTATAATATTTTTCTTAAAGGCATATTGTCTCTCCACAATTTTAGGACAAATGTATCTTTTGTTGTACAATTTATGTTGTTTTGTATGTATCTCATACTGATATTTTGTTATTTCCTGTGTTAATTATTTCTTCCTGTATCTCCAGGCTTGATGTGAGAACAAACAACATCAGTGGGAAAGGATTATGTTCCCTCACAGATGCTATGAAGATGAATGGCACAATTTCACAGATCTTCATTTGGGGAAACAACCTTGAAGAAAGTGCTGCAATAGTAAGTTATCATGTTTTGTTTGTCCTAAGTGTTGCAGTTATAAGTGTATTATGTTTTCTTTGTTCTAAGTGCTGCGATAATAACTATGTCATGTTTTCTCAGTCCTAAGTGCTGTTATTATAAGTGTATCATGTTTTCTCTGTCCTAAGTGCCGCAGTAATTAGTTTATCATGTTTTCTCTGTCTTAAGTGCCGCAATTATGAGTGTATCGTGTTTTCTCTGTCCTAAGTGCTGCAATAATAAGTGAATCATGTTTTCACTGTCCTAAGTGCCACAATTATAAGTGAATCATGTTTTCACTGTCCTAAGTGCCACAATTATAAGTGTATCATGTTTTCTCTGTCCTAAAGGCCACAATTATAAGTGTATCATGTTTTCTCTGTCCTAAGAGATGTAATTATACATAAAACATGTTTTCTCTGTCCTAAGTACCACAATTATATGTATATCATGTTTTTACTGTCCTAAGTTAATTATAAGTGAATCATGTTTTCACTGTCCTAAGTGTTGCAGTTATAAGTGTATCATGTTTTCTCTGTCTTAATTGCTGCAATTATAATTAAATCATGTTTTCTCTGTCCTAAGTGCCGCAATTAAAAGTGTATCATGTCATCACTGTCCTTAGTGTTGCAGTTATAAGTGTATCATGTTTTCTCTGTCCTAAGTGCTGCTATTATAAGTGCATCATGTTTTGTTTGGCCTAAGCACCACATTTATAAGTGTATCAAGTTTTCACTGTCATAAAGTCATTATAATGTCACATTGTTTATTTTAATCTTGGCAATACAATGCCATTGTATTAATCTAAGAGTTCATTTTGAATTTTATATATATATTTGGTTGACATGTATTTCATTTGATTCATAAAATATGTTACTATACCTCTACCTATTGCCTTATTGGTAAATTGTTTCTTTATTTTTTTTAAGGCCTTTGCAAACCTCATGGAGACTGGAAGACTACAAAAATCTAACACAGATGTTCAGCCATACATTGTTGATGGTAAAACAATACTCAGTGAACTAAACCACAGTTTACAAAGACACTATTACTATGCCCCAAGCTATGGTGATGATGTGCCGTCATGGCAACCACGAGGAAAAAACCCACGTGGGTCTGATGTTGTTGCCTATACTAACAGTGGTAAACAACTCATGTTGTGAATGGAATTATGAGTTAAATGTTATTTATAATGTGACCATTAAACACACTGGACTTTCAAAGACATGTAACATGGTGAATATGAAGGACCTCTTTCAGTTTGTGACTGTTGTCTAACCATCTTTTATTTCATTAACAGTTGGATTTTGCTGAGATATTCTCTTATGTGAAATATTTTAAGTCTGGAGATAGATACATGTATTTCTAGAGATAGATACATGTATTTCTATACACTCGCGCATATAATATGCACAAGAACTTCATCTTGTACATTTACATTTTGAAATATGATCTTAATCCATAAAAGATCCTTAAAATCCTAAAGCTTTTTATAGTTTTATAATATTTTATAAAATTCAAAAGACAATAATACAAAAATGAAAATGACTTTAGAAGAAATGCTTTAATATTACAATTATTTTACTCATTCACTTTTGACTAAAATTTCTTTATTTCACATTCTCATTTTCAAGCAGAACTTGAACAAAACAAAGATAAAATCTTAAGATACTTTTAAAGGTATTTGAAATTTGGCATCTATGGCAGTAATGGGTAATAATTGTCTGTTTCTTTTTGATAACATTTAAAGATATTTCACTTATTTTCTCAAAAAAAGTGAAAAAAATCGGTTTGATATTTCTATGCAAAAAGCATTTATTTAGATGTAAAATCATCAAGTGTGTTGGTCTCAAAGGAGAGTTACATGTATATCTTAGTGAAATTATAATATTGTACATTTCTTTGTCTGTGATACATTGTACAGTGAAAAAGTATTATACACTTTATTATTGAATTAAAATGTTAAATGAATTATCAGTTTTATTATACAATCCAACATGCAAAGACATTTTTCGGGGGCCTCCGTGGTCGGGTGGTTAAGGTCGCTGACTTGAGATCACAGGTCCCTTACCGCTGTAGGTTCGATCCTCACTCGGGTCGAAATCTTTCATGTGAGGAAGCCATCCAGCTGGCTTACGGAAGGTCGGTGGTTCTACCCAGGTGCCCGCTCGTGCCTGGAATAATGCCCGGAGGGGCACCTGGGGTCTTCCTCCACCAATAAAGCTGTAACAAATCTCGGCGGGACGCTCTAGGATGGCCCGACTTGAGTGTACGGTCGCCCATATGGGCTTTCCGGCGGCGACCTTAAATAAACGCAATTAAAAAAAAAAATAAAAGACACTTTTCTTGCCTTTTACTAAATAAGTAATTTTGACCAAATGATATTTGTGCTCCACACCATATTTGCAATGTGAGCTAAATTAATATGTATATCTGTGAATATAGTAATTACAGTTTAGCACATTACTATTTGCATATTTACTTGCCAGATTAAAGCAATAACCGGAAAATAACAGATATAGTTTCTTGGACTGTCAATGCCTGTCAGAAAGTTGTTAACTGGAATCACTGTATCAGCAACATACTTTAAAAACTTTACATTCTGTGCTATTTCTTTATTGGTCATATTATAGTTGCTAAGGAGATAATGTAAATCTCTGAGTTACTGCAGTAAAAAACGAATGGTATATTTAAAAAATAATGCAACATTTTGTGTTACTGATCCTTTAATTAGTATCAAATCATTTCACTTAACAAAAATCCCGAAAAGACGGTATAACAATTTCCGTGAATTTCGCCGGCATGGAAAGTTTCTATCCATACTTCAGAGCCTTGATCCAGCTCAACGACCCATTGGCTACCGGCTGTTTCTACGGACACGGTTGATCCGATGGCATCTGGGTACAAGTAACTAATTATCACCCCATCCCTCACGAACGATAAATACTGATGCCTGCCGGGAAGAGACATTGCCGTCAGATGAAATTCATATAGACCTTTGATAGGGGCAGTAAAAACGCCAGTTTGATTTAGGTAAGCCCCACCGAGGTTGGTTATCTCTTTGTCGAAGACAATCGTGTGTCTGTCAGTAAGGTTGAGCAAATTTGGCGGGCTTACACATGCCATGAAACCGACAGGGGATCCGACTTAAATGTTCAAGAAAGATATTTGATAGTAATCTTAATACTATAAGCCAAGTAAATGTGTAAATACGGATCGCTAGAAAATTTGTAAAAAATAAGTTTTCTATATAAATTAGAAGGTCTATTAAAACTTTTTCTTTGTGTCGGTTGCACTACAGTGCATTTTTGAAATAACATCTACAAATATTGCATAAAAAGTGATGCAAAAGGAAAGTTAGGCTCACAGATAACAATTTTAACAAAGCGTGTAAATGCATATACTAGAATGTTCAAGATTTATGTCACATGTGTTTGAACCTTCAGGGGAGCAATATGATGAGACTTACCGTTCATAACAAATCTCTTTGAAGTAGACGACAACTGTCGCTTGGTTTCAGATAAAGTTTTTAATTTCACATCTTGCTCCTGAAACAACAAACATGTTCAAAATGTAGTATTTTCTCACTAACATCATAAGAATCAATTCTGAACAGAAATGAAATTGGCGATATCAAAAAAGAGTCATTTATAAATACCATAAACTTATCAAAGACGAAGAGTGGAACTTTCTTAAACCACTTTAAATAGACATATAAATGTATAAATTATTTTTTTTATTATAAATGTAGTGTTCACATTCGACACAAAGCTACTTACTTTGATATCACGTTCGGTTTTATAGACGCGTTCTTTCAAAGCTTCCATTTCATGGTCACGTGACGCGGTTTTCTTGTCAACTAAGTCCTGCACGTTATGCTCCAGTTCGACATAATCTACGTTACATGGTATATTGTCAGCAAAAAGTACTTGAAAGACCGAAGCAGAAATCAACAAAAATATTCCAAACATCTTCGTGCTGATTGAAAATCTACTATAAAAATATACACGTTTATAACAACTTATTTTGATAACGGAAACTAGGTCGTGGAATGATAAGAAAATGAATATGAAACCCACAGAACAAATCTGTACACAAATTTGCGTATATTTTAAAATACCTTTGTAAATTACAATTTCTATTTATTAAGGACTGTCTTACAGCGTATTTAATGCTATACTGTATTCAATAAACAGCCCAATGCGGAAATGTTTAAAGCTATACAGAATATTTCCAAAATATCTAAATGAAAAAATATGTTTTTATATTTTCTTTCGAGAGAATGGTTCATAGATTAAATGGTAAAAAAACTTACTCAAAATAGTAGAACATATTATTATTTTATGTGCAATATTCGTGCATGTACAAAAATTATTCTGGAATCTATCATAGGACCATGGAAACAGCATTGTTTTGCTGTTTATAAATTTTATAAAAAATATTTCATTAGATATAGATATAGCTTTATATCCTATAGGTGATGGTTGTTAAAACTTAGGTTGGAGACGAGGAAAAGAAGGAAACTAGCTGCTCAAAACATTGACAAAATAATATAATTAGATAATATAACAGAAATTATACGGGCTTAACACATTGCCATATATACTTGTAACTTTTTTTTTTGGTTGGGTTTTACTTCGCACCAACAAGGTAAAGGTCATATGGCGACTTTCTAGCTATACTGATGAAGGAAGACCGTTTCAGGCACATAATAAATCACCAGCGTTCCGTGAGCCAGGTGGATATAAGTTCCTTGCTTGAGAGAATCTTAAGTTCATGTCGGGATTCGAAAACACAAAGACCAGGGGCAAGTGGTTTGAAATCAACGGCCTTTACCACTCGGCAACGGACGCCCTCTTATGTTTGCAACAAATAAAGTACAAATCATTCTTTAAGTGTGCTCATTATCACCACATTGGCAGTATGCTTTGAACATATTTTATTTTGGTTTCATTATATATAAAAATAAATGAACTATCATAAACGTTTGGAGGCAATCCACTGTTTCCGCTGTTATTTGGAGGGAACATTACAGTTATATTCAATGATTATTATTATACATATGTAGACTGAATACTATGAACATAACCGTTTATACAATACAAAACATTTAATGAATAATTGAATACTTGAGAATTTTTATTTCCTGCTTAAATTCCAATACAATCATTCCATTTCACTTATTAGAAAGCCTGAAAAGGTCGTAAAACAGTTTCCATGAATTTCACCAGCTACGTAAGTTTGTATCCACACCTCAGAGCCTTGATCCAACTCAACGACCCACTGGTTCCCGGCAGTTTCTACGGATGCTGATGAGCTATACGCATCTGGATACAAGTAGCTTATAACGGTACCATCCTTAACAAACGACAAGTACTGGTGTTTACCAGGCATGGACATTGCCGTCAGATAGAATTCATATAGACCTTTTGTTGGAGCTATAAATATCCCGGTGTGGCCATGATAAGCCCCGCCAGTGTTGGTGATCACCTTGTCGAAGAGAATGATATGTTTGTCGCCTAAATTGACGAGATCTGGTGGGCTCACGCATGCCATGAAACCGATTGGGGAACCAGCATCTAAAGCAAAGTTTACATTTTTATAAATAAGTAATATTTGTATTATTTTAATGAAATACGTGTGGCTCAAGTCAATTATATTCACAATAGATATTGATATATGCCGATGATATCATATTATTTCAATATTCGCCTGAAGGGACCGTAAGTAGTTTGGTTGGAAATTGCTTCGTTTTAAAATGTTTGCCGGGTTTTTTTAAAATGCCTTTATAAGTACAAATTGTTTGACTGGCATCTTATGACTAAGTTCCCATAATACGTACTGTTATTGTATGATCTTAATGAAAACTTGACACTTTTATTTTGTCAGTGTGATAATTAAAAGACAGTTATAAAAGGGACAAGAGTATGACCACATGAAAAACCTGTACGCAGGTAATAATTTCTTGTAAATTTGACATACATTTTTGAAAAGCTCAAATTTACCAAAAGAAGTATTTTTCTGTTACTGTCAGAAAAAGGGAAACCGTATGCACAGAAAAATAGCTAAACTTAATGCTACCTTAATAACAAGACTGGCACAGTCCCGCGTGTTATATTTACATTAAATATTAAACTGAGTTCAGCAATGTAAGTCAAATGCTTAGATCTCGAGTTCTCTCTACATGTCTTTGTAAGAATGATCGGTAAAACTATTTCAGAAAATGCACAAATAACATGACTCAAATGTTTGATCATCAAGGTAGTCAGTCTATAAGTAGTAAATGTTCATTTTACTGAAAGTCATAAGAACAATGAGGTAGCCAGTCTCATATATGTCCATTGCATTTGTTTACCAGATGCTCTCAGTGTCTTCTGCTGCACATAGGGAAGTTGGCAATTACAATTTATGCGCAGTACTTAATAAATTATGTTAATATATCCCTATTTAAACTATATATACAGTATTTACAAAGGTATTCTGACACGGGTGATTTTAAGTTTCCGACTGATTGCCTTAGTAACGAGAAACAGTGTAAACGACAAGATTTGAAAAATATGGTAATAATAATGGTCAGGCGATCGTCCGATGCATGAGAGATGTTGATAAAATTCAAAATGTTTAGGAAACGCATGTCAATAAGAAGTTTAAAGAGAAATAAAATAGTTACCTGGAAATAAATTTCGTTTTGAAGGAGACATGGGCGGCATTTTGTCCTTGGACAAGGCTTCTATAATTGAACGTTGCTCCTGTAGTTGATACAATAATATTGTTAGGCATTTATATGTAAAAATATTATTATAATAATTATTATTTTTGTGTCCTCTCTTTTTTAGTTTACAGAACATTTCCAGTAAAAGAAAGATAAGCTACATGTATATTGAAATATATATTTTATCGAAATTTCAAATATTTCCAAAATTTCCGAAATTGTAATTAAGATCGGACACAAGCTATAATACATGTACAAAGGTTGTTCAACGACTTAACCTGATAGCGGCGTTCAGCATGTTGTAAGCGTTCTTTCAGAATTGCCATCTCCTTGTCACGTGACGCGGCTTTCTCCCCCAGTTTCGTTTCCACGAGGTTCTCGACATAACGCTCTAGTTCTGCACGCTCAAGGTTACAGTCTGGTTTGTCCTTAGTGAACACATTGTGAATTAAACAAGATGAAATTAACAACAATACGATGAACGCCATGATGACCGTATACTTTAGATATCAAGAAGAACTGAAACTAGGTGAAATAATTTACTGATAAGGAGTCCGTTCATTTACTAAATAAACCAAACATACAAATTTTAACAAATTGTCGCTATTGTCCATGTTGTTCCCTCCTTTGCTAATGTGGATATCTATTTTGTGTCCAAAAATTATTTTGTGGTTCAATTCATATTAAAATAGTCAAGTTATACTTGGTAAAAGTAGTTATTGTCAATGGAGATGGTGTATCTATTATCCGCGGACACTACTTTTAAACATAATCTTATTTCGAACGAATGTGCTTTGATGTATTTTATGGAATTCCTACAGAATATCGTTTAACTGTCGTTTCCAGGTATTCGAGCTAATCACTGATATCTCTCAACTCAACTCATTTATTTGTGATATAGGCCACTGGCCCTTGACACATAAATGTACAATACAAAAACATTATAATGTACCAAAATCACAAAAATGGGAGGGGGGAGAGGCGGGGGTTAAAGAAACTTTCGTCACACAAATTAAAGTTTACATCACGCAAACACAGATAAGCGGATGTTCCAAAGGGGTTTAAAGTAAGTGGTCGTTTTAAAATTCGATCTCACTGGCACAGGATCACAGCACTTACCAGTTTTAAGAATGTAATTATGAAACAATACAAAATTGATTGGAAAGTTTTGCTCTAAACCCAAGGCAGTATGACATGTACACTTATGCATAGTACAAAGGCATTATAGCTTATTAGTTGTCTTTCAGCTAAGACGAGAAACCATTAATACAGTATTGGAGCTTACTGTCTATCTTACTAATAAACTAATTATTATTATACGTCCTGAATAAAAAACTCACCACAACCCCTAGTATCTGCGCAACCCCTAGTATCTGCGGGGTTGCCTTAAAGGGTTGAGGCATCATAATTGCAGCCAACGCTTATCCTCGCTTGATCGTAAGAGGCGACTAAATGTGTTCGAATAACTTGAGTCTATGCATCTCTTAGCTCCAGCAGGTGAGGTGGTTTTGACCCATAGGGTTGCTTTAAGTTTGTAACACCCGAGGTTAGCCAAACCATTTCATGTTTCGGTTCCATACGACCTAAATTGTGTTGGTACGCCGTAAAACCAAACCAAATAAAAATCACGCATCCAATCAAAAACCCTATATAATTACAGCACATCTAGGGAAAAATCGTCCACCATACAGCTTACCAAAGTTGAAGCTCTGTGAACAAAAGTTGTGACTAAAGATATTTGGTAAATTTCATGAAAGCAGGACATATATAACAAATATTAAATATCTTATTATTATATTTTTTTATTCTTATACAAAATAAATAAGAAAAAAATAAAATATGTACATTAATTATAAATAATGTATAGCACAGATATTTTATTTACTTATATTTATAACAATACATGTATTTATGGGAAGATATCTATGATGGTAGCCTGATGTGATAATTATACAATGCTATATTGTAAAACATGTAGCAGGCAATTTCCATACCAAAAAAAATAATGAAAAAAGAGCAAAAAACAAAGAAACAAATAAGGGCAATAATTCTGCAAAGAAATGATCCAATCACAAAATCCCAACAATATGCACAAGGAAAATGAATGACAATGATTCTGGTGAAAGAATGGTTGAAATTTGTTAATAAATGTAATTATTGGATTGAGCAGCCAGGAAACAGTTTACACCTTGTTCTCACTGGCTTCCATAACTTTATGATTTGAGCCGCTCTATGACTAAACCAACATAATGCGTTTGCGACCAGCATGTCTGCGTAGTCTGATCAGGATCCATGCTGTTCGCTTACAAACCCTACTACAAGTAGAGAAACTGATAGCAAACATCATGGATCCTGATCATACTGTGCAAATGCGCAGACTGGTCTGGATCCATGCTGGTCGCAAACGCATTATGTTGGTTTTGTCATGGCGCGGCTCATTTATGACATAGTGTGACAGTAAACAGGTCAAGCTATACTTTAATATAAACTGTTTACTGAAGTCTCATTAGCTAGTGAACACCCAGCCATCTATCAACCGACATTTACAAATCTTATCAACCAAAGTTTTGTGTTTGAAAACCTGGTAAAATAAATTGTGTCATTTAAAATGCACCTTAATAAAACAGTATAGTCACTTTTTTTGCTCTCATATTTTCCATCTGCATAGGTAAGGGAAGAAATGCAGTTTTATCTTATAAGTATTTCTTTATTGGTTATATATTTTAAAGTTTTCAAAATAATCTTAATAAATTGCTGGTGTGTTTTTAACATTATTGGAACCGAAAATAATGTAAATGGGTGACAAAGTCAGTGTTAGTTTGGTGGATGAATGAATGAGTGATTCAAAGAATGATTCAATGAATGAATGAATGAATGAATGATATATAATGTAAATCAGATAAATAAATGCGCTTATCTCATTTACTAAACTATAACATAATATAAATTCACTCAAATGTGCTAAATTACCAGTTTTGTCTGGTGTTAAAGGCACATTGAGCCTCAAAATATAATATAGAATTTTGATGAAATCAAAAGCTCTTTATTTGATAATCTGTTACAGTTTTCAAAACGTTGCACTTTGACCATAAATCTTAGCCCTTGCAATTTGGCAATTACTATATTTATAGTGATTTAGTATGTTATATGGAAGTCAAAATACAAGTTTGTTTAAATTTTGCTGCTTTCATGAAAAATTATTCTACATTAATAACCATCAAACATGTTATTCATGCTGTAAATACATAGAGTATTATTACACTCTTGTTTGTCCTTTCTAAAGATCAATAACAATTATAAATTTCAGAAGCTTGGTGTGCCTTCATGTAGAGCTATATCAGTGAAAAGTAGTCTTAAAATTACATATACAGTCAGGACTTATTACAACGACACTGTTGGTTCCCAAAGGATATGTCAGTATATCGAATTTGTCAGTATAGTGAATTTCATCATTCATCATGATTCACTGGTATCTGAACATTATGTATTTAGATCTATAAAAAACATCTAATGAAAAAGATTTTTGTGTGGATGTGCTCATTTCATTACACACATTACATATCATACACATAATACAACTACTTCATTAAAATAACAACAACTTAAATAGTTAAAGATTTTTATGAAAATGATTAAACTTTATAAAATAAAAAGCACACACAATGATAGGACTTTTAGAAGTTAAACCTTTAAAAAATGATTGGACACTGTTTGTTGTCATAAGTTGGCAAGTGTAACAAAATTCAGCTGACAACAACACGTTGGTATTGTAATAAGGTGTAACAATCAACTGACCAGGCTACAATTAAGAAATAATATATCCCAAACTGTGATTTTATTGCTCAATAACATCACTGTTTGGAGTTCGGATGCGGGGAATTATATCACGAGGGCGTAGCCCGAGTGATATAATGATGCGCATCCGAACGACAAACAGTGATGTTATCAAGCAATAAAATCACCGATTTGGATATATTATTTCGATTCTAACACGACATCAACAAATAAATGCTGCCGTACATTATAATTAGCTTAATTGCGCCTGATTTCTTTCCATACTTATTGTCAGCGCGTCACATTTTTAGTGGTTACGTCACGTGTATAATGATTACGTCACATGTCTAAATATAGAACGCCAAACAGTGATTTTATAGCATAATAACACACACTTTCGGTTCTTCTATGTTCAATAGGGAAAAATGCGGGTCGTGTTAGAATACCTGTTTTAACACCTTGCGGCTTTTGTTTTATACGCACGCTTGACTAACCAAGAGTCAGTTTAACGGGTACTGATTGTATAGAAAATAACGTGTTTGGTTTCCAATTTTATTGTCTCGGAGTCGGAATACGAATTTTCCGTTATAAAGGATTACAATAACGTTGACAAAATTGGGTTCCCACCAATTCACTGTCGTTATTTGAATTTGTCAATATAATGGATTCCGATGTATTGAGTCCTGACTGTACAGGTAGATTTCCTCATATAATACAGGTAGGATTCATCATATAATATAGGTAGATTTTTCTAATAAAAAAGATTATCATTATTTATGATTTATTTATTTTTGGAACAGAATAATAAATCAGTGTAAAGAACTTGCTATAAACCATTATTACAATATATAATGTAAATAATTATCTTTTTTGCACAACTTAGAAAAAAATATATAATTTTGAAAAAAAAATGTAATAATAATCTTTGACTAAAAATAAACAAAAACTTAAATAAAGTATACCCACTTTGAAAGTTTCATTGTACATGTATATAAATTTCTCCATCTTATACAAAACTTTTCATGTCAGAAAAATATACAGTTATGATTACTTCATAAAAGATATTAGCAAACACAAATCATTTGAAAAAAAAAAAAAAAAAAAAAAAAATCCAGAAAAAAAAAATCAGATATACACTTATATAACTCGTATAGACTATGAAATACACCTGTATGTTTGATATAAAAAAACATTAATAAAATTTTGTGATTTTGGTATTCCAGAGCAGAATTAACACTTGTACTCTCATATTTACACAACCGACAAGCCCAGTCTTAAAATTTCAATGAATAGGCGATTGTTAGTTTCAAATATTTCAATATAGTAATACTAAAGGGAAAGCTGGAGTAAGTATTGCACTAGGTTACATTTCAGTAATCTTATACAAGAATCTTAAACAAGCATCACTTTGACCTTGACCTATGTGTTTATGACCTCAAAATCAATAAATGTCACCACCTTGCCATTGGCAAAGTCCCTACCAATTTATATCTAAGTTGGCTATTTTTTTCTAAAGTAATTGATCAAACAAGGATTATACACATAATGTCACAGCGACCTTGACCTCTGATCTAATGACCTCAAAATCAAAAGGGTCATCACTTTCTTCAAACAAATGTTAGTATTTGTTTTCAGTACAGTCAGTCTATTAAATATAGCACTTGAATTAAGACAGTCATTGACATAAAACATATACATGTACTAATCAGACCATTTGACTTGTAATACCAATATTCAAATCAATTCAATATACACAAAGCACTTCTGTTAAAAATACATCCCCATATGTATATCCAGCAAGGGGACATAACCAGTATAACACTAATTTATTATACAAGTATTTTAGGATAATATTTCTAATATCACTCATCAGGCCTGCAAACAGCAAACATACAAATCATAAATGCTACAAAAATCACATGACATCAACCAAATTAAATGTTTTTTTTCTGACCATGTGAATTTTGACATTTGTGTTAAATATAAATCATATATAATTATTCAATATCTAATTTTTATTATGATGTAAGCAAGTGTTTTATAAGTCATACAATAATAGAGATATCAAATAACCTGCAGCTTGTATATTGCACAATTGCCACCTTATACATGATACCCTCTCTCACAAGTACACACAATTATCCCCACTCCCCTCCCCTCAATTTCTAATTAAGTCATTTTTAACATCTTTGATCAACATAGTCCATTATCATTCTATTATCATTCTGCATGCGATATATGAATTATGGATAATATCTTGTATATGTGTGTGTTGCAATGTTTTACTTCAGTTTCATTTTTCTTTTTCAAATTTATCTTGGGTGTTGACAATCTACTCTTTATTTATCTCCCCTCAGAACAATAGATGTTAATAAAAAACATAATATTTGTGAAGTTTTATGAAATTGCCTATGTTCAAGGTGTTAGTAACATTAAAATTAGAATTAACACTATCAATTAATAGTCTATGGTTTCTTACAACTGTTAAACTACTACATCAAAGTGTACCAGTCTAGTATCTTAGCATAAAAAATAATAAACAAAAATATTGGTTTTAATCATATTAAAATTTTTTATGCACTTTATGCAATGAATGGGTTGATTTTAATGTAATTTGACAAAAAAAATCCAGAATAGCAGGTTTATTGCTTTTATTTGAAGAACTTAACCCTCTGAGCACTAAAACTGCTTTTAATATGGAGAGAAAAAGAGTCAATCATACTAAAAACAACAGTTTTCAGTAATGACAAAAATGTGACTCTGGCTCTGACATCAACGGCTAAATTCAAGCAAATTTTACCATGAACCACCTGCCAAAATTCCATGAAAATTTGGAGTACACTTAGCCAATTCAAGCATTAAATTTTTTAAATCAAATACCTCTTTTAACAATCAAAATGTCTTCAGATATCACACACCCACATGAGTCAATGCATGTCAAAATGTTAACATATCACTGTTTACTGTTCAACGCATGGAAAAACCAGTCTATTTTTGTATATTTTTGGTCCTTGTACGCTGAATTCAACTGTTGTGTGAAATACATTATTGCCTCCTCCTCACTTTTTTCAACGGCAAGTGTTTTTCTCACATAACCTATGTCATCTAGTGATTGAAGTTCTGGAATTCCGCAGGATAACATCATAGTAAGAAGGTTAATTATCAGATCTGATTCCTTCCTTAAAACAAGGTAAACCTTCACACAGAGCTCTTGAAACCTAAATAACAAACAAGAGTAACATTACAATACAAATTACAATTATATATCAAAATAAATAACTACAAAAATTTTACAGTTGACTCTCAATAAGTCAAAATCGCCTTATTCAAAATTCCGCTTTCGTCGAAGATTTTCTAAAGTCCTGTCAAATTTCCTTTTTTATCTTTGTTTTTTAACTCCGCTTAGGTCAAATTTTGAGACTCCTGGTTCGTCGAAAGAAGGTTTTGGTACCGTCAATTAAAGTCCAATATATTTTTATTTCAATTAGTCAAAGTGTGAAATTGAGTTACTGAGAGGCAACTGTCCTTTAATGTTCATTGTCCTGTAGTTTTTTTTATAAAAAGTCCATACAGCAATTTATTCAAGGCTGGTCATACCATGCAGTATATGATGTTATTTTTAGGTAGCACATTCAGTCATTTGTGCCTTGTCAATAGAAGAAAAATGTTGAAAATTAATAAATAAATGAAATATTTACTGGAGTTATTGTTTGTTTGTTTGTTTGTTTTGGGTTTTACGTCACATCGACACAGTATAGGTCATATCGCGATGCTCCAGCTTTACTGGAGTTATTGCTACAAAGCCATGGTAAACATGTTGTTTAAAATTAATATCATACACCATGAGGTATTTGCCAAGCAGTTTTTTTGGCAAAGATCTGCAATAAGTGGGGATGGTTCTTTTAGTGCTCCTTTGATAAAATTAGAAATAAAATAACACTGATACACTAGTTGGCTCATTTGGTAGAGCTTTGGACTGATTTGAAAGACCTGGATCCTGCTCTGGCATGTACAGCAGTATCTAGAAGTTCCTTAGGAGTGTGAAGGCATCTAGTGCTTGACAGCTTGCCCAGGAACGGTCTGGTGGCTAAACTGTGCCCAGGTGAATTAAATATAGTATATGTTATTTTGGTTTTGGAGTGATATATGTGGATATATTACCTGTTAAGATTTTATATCACCCGAGCCGTTAGGGGAGGGTGATATTTTATCTTGGCAGGTAATATATCCACATATATCACTCCAAAACCAAAATAATAATTTTATTACCCTTTCCCTGCCGAGTTTAGACGATTTTTTAAAAAATCATTGCTGTTTCAAATGAAACGTCGAAATAAGATTCCCTTTAGGGTACCTCTTCGTCACAACATGACGTCACATAAATACACAACTTATTTTTCCCGTACCTAACGAATGTAAACATGAGAAAAGGAGTAGTCTATTGAACGCACTTTTTTGTAATTAATATCAAGCTTTCACAAGGTCATATTTGTTTTCGATACTGATGGTAATATATATCATTACTCTACTTTGGTAAATATTTATCATTTGACAGTTAAAAAGTGGTTTTAAATCGGAATTTACACCGCGTAAAATCGAACCGTACGCGCATCACCTCCGCGCATGTTGTTTACAACGTTGGGTACCCAACGGGGAAATTTAGTGTGTATATTACCCGTCCGGGTCGGTTATATCAATTTCTTTCGGGTGATCAATATCCAATCAAAAAGGCGGAAAAAATCTGGAAGGGTAATAATATATTATATGGTCACTCTCATGTGACATGGAGGGTAAACTACAAACACTCATCGACCTCACAATAAAACATATAAGTATCCACTATTAATTGAACCTTATGATCATGCAATACATGAAAATAATAACTAAATAAGATTAAAATCTTACTTCTCAAAGTCTTTAGTTTTATGTGGTTGGTCCCTGCCTTTTGATATCACACTCATGAAATCTTCTGTAAGCACAAACGGTACTCGTTCACGATTTATACCAAACTTCTTCTTCTTATGGTTTAAAAAGTGACCAAAGTCTATGTGAAATACCTGAAATGATTAAAATAATCAATTAATCAATTTTCATGACAATCCTACATGACAAAGCCTTTTTTTCTATTCTGGTATATACTGGACAAGGCACTTGGAAAATTCAACGCTAAACTCTCCCCTATTCATCCACCAAAATGCATTTTAGGCTGTCTATTCATCGATTTGAATATGATAACGAATGAATAATGTTAATACATTTATAGACAAAAAAGTGATATTTTTCTACTTTGCGATCATGACTACTGCAAGTGTCTAGAGGTATTGCTTCATTACTGCAATGAATTAAATCCTAAAATCTTACCCGTCCATCTCTGGCCACCATGATGTTTTCTGAATGCCTGTCACCAATGCCTAATACAAATGTTGCCACACAATAACCGGCACAGGATTTGGTAAATGTGTCTATAGCTTCCTCATACCTTCAAATAAAACAATAAAACACACATAAATGGCAAATTATATAAACAAATGGAAATGTAAAAAAGCATACAAACAGACGGAAACATACAAATCATATACATTTTCATCTATTTGTGTTTTGTAGTTTTCCATTTATCTTACATCAAATTTTCTCATGTTAAAAATGGTCAATTCCAAACAGTAATTAAAGGGATATTCAGGCAAAATAATGACAAAAATATTAAAATGATCTTATGTACTCAAATCAGGCTAAATTACTTTTCATGAAGTTTCAGCGTGAATTTCTGTTTAAATTCTATATACTTTGGGTTTGAAGCGTAAATATATCTATATATGTTGAACAAAATTTATACGCCAATAGAATCACCAAATAGTATTTAAACAAGTCAGGTGACTTTTGAACAAACCAACAGATATTGTGGATATTGTATGACTGAAACAAGCCTAAGTCATTCATTTGACATGTACTTTAACATTTCCAGAGTTCACTTTGACAACTATTGTGAAATGCTAGCGCTCTAACCTGCAGTGTTCGAAATTAGCAGTAGTCCTATAGCCCCCGACTACTAAATTTCTTCTCGGGCTACCAATTTTTTACAGTAACAAGCCCGACCAGGCTACTGTATTTTCAGAGGCAATATAAACAACTGTTTTGAACAAATGAATCGGGCTAGTGAAATGTGTTTTGGGCTAGTGAATATTCCAATCTGGTAGTCCTACCAGCCTAGTTGATTTAAATCCTAATTCCTTACACTGAACCTGACCCACGCGGGTCAAGTTAGGAAACCACCATTTTATTCTTAATATGGAGCAAAGTTTGGTTCCTTCGACCTTCTAATATATTCATTTTCAGGGCATTTACAGAATAATGAATGAAAAATTCAAAACTAAGAAATGAAAATTTTGCCTGTGTCTCCCTTTAAGGTAGGACAATTCCATTTCATAAGTTTATTATGGTAACGGCTAGAGACAAATACGTTTATTGAGGAGATAATTTCAAAAAAGGCAAAGACGTACAAGGCATCTAAACTACAACCTTGTGATATAATATGATAATGCAAGAATAATCAGTATTAATTTTCATTCTAATATGCATATAGAAAGTTAATTAATGGAAATAATCAAGATCAGAAGAGAAGTATTATTTCTAGACATAATTTTCTTTACTGACGTCATGTCTAAGGTCGTATGATGTGTCAATGTTATTTTCCTTATCCAGTGTATATTTCCTTTCATAAAGCACTTGAGAGCTTTGTCCTTGTTAAAACAACAAATAAAACTATTAACAGTATAGCACTACAATTTAGATGTTACACTGTGTTTATTTAATACTACAAGCAAAACATAAATACTCACCTGTCAGCATTCTGCTGTTTGATCCAGCTATGTAAGGCCTTCGTACCTCCAATCTGCCACATGGCTTTAGCACCAGATTTCTCCTGTATCTTCATGATAGTTGATGAATCTCTTACAGCTTCTATGAGACCTACATCCTGCCCAGTTGCTAGGCAACAATATGCTGTCATTCTATAAATAGAACAATTTACACATTTCTCTTTATCGAAAAATAAAGTGCTGTACATATTACTTTATAATTTATTGGAAATAAGAACTGTATACAGTTTTAATGGATTTGAAAGCTTAGTTGGTCACAATTTGCTTATTTCTTATATTCTATATAGCATACCAGTATATGCTTGGAAGGAAAAGAAGGAAATACTTAGAATAAAATAAGTACTCACCGTAGATCGAAACCTTCTGATTTCCAGATGCTGTCCATCACACTTATAAGTTGTAACGTCAACATATCTTGACGTAAATCTGAGAAAAGAAAATCAATAAAGTGTTGTAAACATTATAACCAAATTCAATGCTGTGGTGTCCAACATATGACCTTGTTCTAGATTCTACACCATTTTTAATAATGTCCAAATGTCTCATGAGATGTCCCTTATGACAAGAAATGAAACTTTTTTTAAAACACCAAAGTGTTGGTTTTTTAGGTTTTTATGTTGCACCAACATAGTATAGGTCATAAGGTGACATTCCAGCTATAATGGTGGAGGAAGACTTCAAATGCCCTTCTGTGCATTATTTCACGCACAACTTCTGTGCATTATTTCAGGCATAACTTCTGTGCATTATTTCAGGCACCTGAGTAGAACCACTAAATACTTTCTCATATGAAACTTTGCAAGGCCATTGACATTAATGGAAGATAGACAGATAGTTTAAATAAAGTGTAAATAACATTTCTATAGAACAGTCAGCTGTCCTTACTAGTAAACATTTTCATGCCCACAAAAATAATTTTATAACCACAAGTATAAAACTTGTAAAATTCTGAATTTCAAAAATCATAAAAACAAGAGGGCCATGATGGCCCTAAAGTCGCTCACCTGTATGTAGGCCCCCGGAGCGGGGCCAGTTTAAACCCCAGGGCTTTTATTTGAACAAACTTGGAAGACACCTATAAGAAGACGTTTCATGATGTACACACTTATAATGAAAAACAATGATCTGCCCTCCCCTACACCCGGCAGGGCCAATTTTAACCAAGGGCTTTTATTTGAACAAATTTGGTAGACACCCATAAGAAGATGTTTCATGCTAAACATCTAAGCTGTAGCTCATTGTGTTTTTTTAAAGAAGATTTTTTAAGTTTTTACTATATACATATAGGGAAAATCAATGACCCCCTGGGGCGGAGCAGATTTTGACCCCAGGGCTTTTATTTGAACAAACTTGGTAGACACCCATTAGAACATGTTTCATGCTAAATATCTTAGCTCTAGCTCTTTTGGTTCTTTAAAAGAAGATTTTTTAAGTTTTCACGATATACATATAGGGAAAATCAATGACCCCCTGGGGCGGAGCCAATTTTGACCCCAGGGCTTTAATTGGAACAAACTTGGTAGAAAACCATTAGAACATGTTTGATGCTAAATATCTTAGCTCTAGCTCCATGAGTTCTTTAAAAGAAGATTTTTAAATTTTTACTATATGCATACAGGGAAAATCAATGACCCCCTGGGACGAGGCCAATTTTGACCCCAGGGCTCTTATTTGAACAAACTTGGTAAACACTCATTAGAAGATGTTTCATGCTAAATATCTTAGCTCTAGCTCTTTGGGTACTTTAAAAAAAGATTTTTTAAGTTTTTACTATATGCATATAGGGAAAATCAATGACACCCTGGGGCGGGGCCAATTTTGACCCCAGGGCTTTTATTTGAACAATCTTGGTAGACACTCACTAGAAGATGTTTCATGCCAAATATCTAAGCTCTAGCTCTTCGGGTTCTTTAATAGGAGATTTTTTAAGTTTTTACTATACGCATATAGGGAAAATCAATGACCCCCTGGGGCGGGGCCAATTTTGACCCCAGGGCTTTTATTTGAACAAACTTGGTAGACACCCATTAGAACATGTTTCATCCTAAATATCTTAGCTCTAGCTCTTTGATTTCTTTAAAAGAAGATTTTTTAAGTTTTTACTATATACATATAGGGAAAATCAATGACCCCCTGGGGCGGGGCCAATTTTGACCCCAGGGCTTTTATTTGAAAAATCTTGGTAGACACTCACTAGAAGATGTTTCATGCAAAATATCTAAGCTCTAGCTCTTTCGGTTTTTTAAAAGAAGATATTTAAAGTTTTTTCTTTTGGTTGCCATGGCAACCAGAGTTCTGCATGGAATTAAATTCTTTGAACAATTTTTAAAGGTGACCACCAAAGGAACATTCCTGTGAAGTTTGGATGAAATTGGCTTAGTGGTTTATGAGGAGATGTCATTTAAAGTAAAAGTTTACGGACGGACAGACGCCGGACGGACGCCGGACGAAAAGCGATCACAAAAGCTCACCCTGTCACTTTGTGACAGGTGAGCTAAAAAAATAAACAGGTTTCTAATCACTCACCATCCCCATTCTTAAAGAGTATACTGTATGTCTTGTACCAGAGGTCAGCCAGCTGGTCAGGGTTGTGCCAAACCATCCACAGTGGTCGCTTCTTTGACATCTTCACTTCACATTGTTCAGCACTGTCACATGGTAAAGTATAAATCTTTATGCCTAACTTTTAACTTTTCTTATCATTAAAGAAATACCTTAACAACTTCTTGACGCTTCCAACTCATTTTAATGTTCAAAATTTAAACAAATTCAATTAAGTAAATTAATAGTAAATTAGAGGGTTTCAATATTTTAGTGTCAGTGCACATTGGCTTTGTTCAATATAATTAGAGCAACTCCATGACAAAATCAACATAGTGCATTTGCTACCAGCATGGCTCAAGACAAGCCTGCCAATCCGGGAAGTTTGATCAGGATACATGATGTTCGCTATCATTTTCTCTACTAATAATAGGTTCTGTAAGCATATAGCATGGATCCTGATCAGACTGCAGGGACGCACTTTGTCATGGTGGGGCTCATTATATAGTATATACAACTTCTTTTTTTTTTTTTTTTTTTTTTGATTGTGTTTTACGTCACATCGACACAGTATAGGTCATATCGCGACGTTCCAGCTCACTGGTGGAGGAAGACCTCCGGATATACAACTTCAACTGTTAAGGTTGATGTAAGTAATTACCTAAGAAGCCCTAATCTATGGCTACTGTTTAGAGGTGATGTAAAACTCTGTAGACATTCTTGGTAATCTGGTTGTTGTAGTTGATCATGAAGGCACTTCATCTGTTCTAATTTATCCTGTATAAAATAATATTATACATTTAATTTATACAAATTCATAACATTATTTCATCAACTTTATCTTAAGTGAATAAATCAAATTCTCGATTTATGTGAACTATGACCGTTGAAGATGCAATAGACACAAAAATTTTGTTTCAACAATGACACTGCTTCATTACTGTTATTTTTTTTAAATTCCCACTTCCCCAACACAACCTTTTAAAGCATTTTTGCCTGTTTCAAGCAAGTTGTAAATGCATTAAAGACCTTAACAATTGGCAAATTTAAAATCAACAGAATTGCAAAATAATAACTGTGAGTTTTGATAAATAAATCAACAGGATATTGGATATTTCAGCATCTGACAGGTTTTCATGTTTTACAATTCTAAATACATGTACTAAATGAAATTGCAAACTTTAACCACAAAATAAAATTCAAGAAATTCAAACTACAATATATACCTCTTTAACTTCATATTTCAGCATGTTAGTGAGCTTGGTCATTTTCTCAAGGGCTTCCACTTGTTTGGACAATGTTTGTAAGAATGGTCCGCAACTGCGACACAGAGCCTCTAATATCAGTCCAAACCGTACTCTTGTTGCTTTATGATGTAGTTCAGACCTGTATAAAATAAATTATCAACTTCTATATCAGTCTATTGTAACAACAGTTCTCCATCCAACACAAGGAAATGGACCAATTTTTTAACTTTCATCAGTCACCATACTATCAGGTTAATGTAGTAGTTTTATTTTGGTGCCAAAATTCCCAGGGATATGTTAAACCTCCAGCAAGGGGACATTTGGTGGGGGATTTTATCATCTTACTGTTCCCTAAGGGCAGCCATTACTAGGAATGAGTAAATCCAAAAGTCAGCCAATGTTGTCCTATGCAATTGATGGCACCAGAATTACATCATATGAAAAATATGCCATATGATAAATAATTTATTATAAAATATATTACCTTGATGTTAACTAAGTTATAGCGCAGAAATAAACTGCCAGTTTTTATGTTCTCTCAAACAACTATAAACATTTAACAATGCTGGACCAATCTGAATTTTTGAATGGTTTAACAATGAAATATTTGTTGTTTGTTCAAGCTATTTAAAATTCTACACTATGTTCACGTCACAGGGTGAGAAAAATGTGCAGCCTGACCCGGACTTGAACCGTGCACCCTCAGAATACCGTTCCGCTGCTCTACCGACTGAGCTATCCGGCCGCTTTCACATCAACTCTCTTAAATAGTGAACAGTTCTGAACCATGACATTCAAAATCAAATGACTGACATACAAATAAAATTACTTCTTTATCAATGATAGCAATTAAAGTATACATAACAAAAATCTTTAACCCTTAGCCTGCTGGCCCAACTGTTTTTATGCATGCTATCAATCAGCACTTTCATTCTGTCTGGTCATAGTCATCACTATTCAGTTATCTTAAATTTTTTCCTAAAATGACTATTTTTGTCTAGAGTTAAAAGATTGATGAGTCCATTTGAGATTTTAAGCATTGTAAGGGTTATAATATGTGAATATGAGAAACATTATATATATTAAAATGTCTTACTTCAGATGCCAGAATAGTTTTTGTCCTATACGTTGGTTCATTAATGATCTCTTGAGCAGGAATCTAGCCACCGGATTGTCCAAATATGGTTCAAACTTCAAGGCCTAAAATTGTTTAATTGCTAAATATTTAAACATATAAATTTCAAAATTTACTTAGTAACAACTTTACTTCTCATACCTTATGCCAGCCTCTGATAACATAATTAAAAAAAAATCAACAAATTTAGTATTGAAACTATACAAAATAATTTTGTATTTATAACTTATCCTGAAAATTTATAACATACCCTGAACAAGAGCTGTCCGTAAGACAGCGCGCTCGACTTTTTTAGTGCTTGCCTATAATACAAAACATTGACAGTTAAGGGCCATAATTCAAATAAAATCTTTAACAGAATTACCTTCTCCTGGACATGTTTGGGAATCATGATGGTAAACAAGTATTCCAACTTTCAAATTAATATCTCAAACAGTTCAGTCAAAAAGTGGACTGGTACTAAAAACTTAACCAAGATTCTAAGTCGATAAAAGGCCTTAATTTTTAAAACAAATCCTTGACAGAGTTACCTTCTCTTGCGTACAGATGGGGGTAATGATGTGAAATAGCATTAAAAGTTTCAAAGCAATATCTCAAAGGGTTAAGGCAATAAGTGGATTTTACCCATATTCAATGTATTTTCTAAGTCAAAAAGGGGCATAATTCTGTCAAAAACCTTGACAGAGTTATGTCCTCTTGTCTGTTGATGAAGGTCGTGATGGTAAACAAGTATGGTCAGTTTCAAAGCAATACCTCCAATGGTTTTGAAATAAAGTGAGGTGGTACAAAAAACTTAACCAAGCTCAATACACTTTCTAAGTCAAAAAAGGGCCATAATTCTGTCAAAAACCTTGACAGAGTTATGTACTCTTGTCTGTAGATGGAGGTTATGATGGTGAACAAGTATGGTAAGTTTCAAAGCCATACTTGTAATACTTCTGAAATAAAGTGGGGTGGTACGAAAAACTTAACCAAGGTGTGACGCCAACGCTAACGCTAACGCTAACGCCGACGCCGACGCCGGGGCGAGTAGGATAGCTCCCCTTTTCATAGAAAAGTCGAGCTAAAAAGGACAGTTTAAATACAGTAAAAAAATTGTGGGTTTTTTTTACCTTCATTTGCTGTAATATTTACATTTCGGGTGACTGTATGCTACATTTTTTATTATTTAATATGACTTAATTTAAAAAAATTTTGCCGCAGTGGCATAAATTTTTTAATTGGGTTTGCAAAAAATTTTACAGTTTTAGAAAATACTAAACTTTTGCCATTCTAACAATTCTAAAATGATTAAAACAACATAAACCCTTGGTCTATAATTTTGTAGTTTTAAAAAAATCCGCAAGGGTGACTGAAAATATACCTGTTTCAAAATTTAAGGGGAAAATTTTCTGCGTTTTTCATTTTGTCATTCCTATTTTCCAGGGCAAAAGTACAGGGAAACTTTTCGAATTTTTCAAAATCTGTGAACGAAAAAATCTAGCAGCTGTAAAAGCCAAACCCCTGGGGGTCCCCTGTTTGGGCCCTTTCTTTTGAACATTTTAAACTGAAATATATAAAAAATTTGAAATATAAATTTAAATTTAAATATAAAATTTTGAAAAATAAATAAATTTGGGAAATTTTAAATAAATTTGGGAAAAATAAATAAATTTTTCTTTTTTTTTGAACTGCTGATAGAGGCGTTCTTAAGGGTTTTTGTTTAAATTTTTAATGTCCAAAGGAAAAGAATCTCCTTTTTCCCTTTCTTTGTTATTTTATTTCTTTTGGGGGGGTTTTTTTGGTTTATATTCTATGAACCCGGCCCCAAAAGGGTGAAGACCTTGACATTTAAATCCAGCAACCTGCACTAGTTAAGAAGTAGTGACTGAGCAAAGTTTAAAATTGGCAATATTTGTGACTAAAACTTTTCTCTTGTGACTAGAAATATAGACAGTATACTTTCTAAATATGAAAAAAGTAAATAAAGTAATTTACTGATAAGCCTTGTAGATGAATGTAACTTACCTGAGCAACATTTTCTCTGTCATTCCACTTTATTGCACTGAGAAGTTTTGGTAAAGAATTTGGTTGATGCAAACAGTAATCTCTGAAAACATGAATATACATGTATGTGTTTTATATAATATATGATGGTCGGTTTTTTCTCTCTCGTTTTTCAAGAGGTTTTCAAATCATCAGACAACTTTCTTAACATTATTTTTGTTTGATAACCTGAAAAGGATTTGGTACCGTACCCGAAACCAGGTAGTTGTCATAATTATATATTAAACCCACCTGGTGTTTTTGATGTGTTGTTCTCCCCTCCCGATGATTTTAAATTATTGTTAACATTATTTTTTGACACAAGCATGCAAATGGCTTGATCCGTCAAAACTGAAAAGATCTTCTATTCATAATGGAAATTTCAATGTTCCTCGCTAAGACAATTATTTATAAACAATGTAAGCTCTATATAATATAAGAATATAGATAAAATCAAGAAAACAAAGTTTAAACCTTCTTTTCCACAAGAGTTCTTTTTCCTGCTCTGAGATTTTTCTACAATGGATCACGGCTAATAATTTCATCAGCTGACTTTCTTCTATTCTCCAATCATCTGCTTGCTGGAAAAATAATACCGAAATATCTGGTGTTGAAGTAGCTTTCTGCGCCTTATTGTATTTTCCTACGAGCCGTGTTGGAAAATTCGGTATACTCTCCACAAGACCAAGCTTGCTGCTTAAAATACAAGGGTAAAATATAGGCAATTACTTGTTAACATACCAAAAAAATTGCTTAGTGAATGATATTTTTCAGATCAAAAATAAGTTGTGCTAGTTATATAGAAATTTACATACTCATAATGTGACAACCTTACCAAAGCTAAGGAAGCCTGGCCCCGGTCAGATATTATAAATTGTGAGTTGAAATAAATTAAACAGTGTTTCATACTCATATTATGACAACCTTACCAAAGCTAAGGAAGCCTGGCCCCGGTCAGATATTATAAATTGTGAGTTGAAATAAATTAAACAGTGTTTCATACTCATATTATGACAAACTTACCAACGCTAAGGAAGCCTGGCCCCGGTCCCTGTTAGTGGCATACATAGCCAGCTCCTCTAACTGGTTGTCTGGAGGGTAGGACAATACTGGACTAAATTTTTCAAACTCAATCTCTAGGCATGGGCAGTCCTTGTCGGGGTTTGAAAACCCGGGGATACCCATAGGGTTTTTAAATTTTTTTATCAGGGCCATGAGGGGAAGGGCCATAGGTTTTAAGACCCAAATTTTTTCCCTTTAAAGGTCTGTTATTAAAGCCCAAACACCTGAAGTTTTCCCCCCAAAGTTTAAGGGCTTTAGTGAGTTTTGAAATGAAAAAAAAGGTAAATTTAAAAAAATTTTCAAAATATCATAATTCTACTTTGTTTTTTGTTTGTTTTAAAGAAGCAACAACATAGTTTATGTCATAATTTGACTAACCTAAGGTGTTACAAACTTAAAACAACACAAGGGGTCAAAACCACCTAACCTGTTGGAGCTAAAAATTGCGCAGACTCCAGTAATTCAAACCTATTTAGTCGCCTCTTACAATCATACAGGGTTAAATTGTGGATGCAATTCTGATGCCTCAACACGTAAAGGCAACCAATCCACCACAACCGGAATCATAATTCTAAGTACTTTTCAACTAATAAGAACTGTTACATTTATTTGTTTACAAAGACAATTGAGAGAAAGGGAAGATAAACCTTCAAAATCTTTAAATGATTACATTGTTTTACACCATCAATTCAAAGTATTAATTGACAAACTTACCACACACAATTCAGAGTTTAAGAATTTAACTACAAAACTATATATCAAGTTTCAATGCTGATAATAAAGATATTAAAAACACCTATGAAATCTAACCACGCTCAATACTGTCCTAATTGAATGAATTTGTACTTAAAACTAACAACACAAAAGCAGAATGGATCCATTCAAATTCAGATTTAAAATGGTCAAACAGGTCATAAATACCTTTTTATTTTTCTTCTTTGACACAGAACAAATTGAAAAGCAAATCTTTGCACTACGGGGAATGTCTGGCAAGTATAGGAACTCCAGCCACTGGTTCCAGCGTGGATTTGTTGAGTCAACTTCTTTTGTTTGTTTAATCTCACATAATGGCTCTGTTCCAAGGTAAATACCAGCTTTTACATAAATCTGAAAATTAGAAAAAAACTATTTATTAAATATGTCCGTTGCAATTTGGCACTATAGTCTACAGGAGCAAAATGTGATAAGTCTCTACCACCAGTACAAAGCCTTGATCAACTCCTATAATAATTTGTGCATGAAACAAGGCACAAAGTGAAATCTACCTCCACTAGCTAAAGCTGAACGGTTTCAATCTGCCCCTTTACACTATTAATGTTATTTGATATCCCCATCAACCTATTACCTAAGCACAAGAAGTGCCATTAATTAAGTAACTTTTTTGTACATATTTTCCTATTATGAGGTTAAAAATCAAATATATAACCCAATTGGTTTAAACAGAAAAAGAAAATTATTGTCTACTATACACTTACATTGCCTTTTTCTTTGACATTCACATATGTTGCACAATGTATTTTTATTTTAAAGTTGACACTCATCTCTAGAAGTGACAGGGTTTGTTTGTTATTTATGTCTGTTAGAGCTTGAACACCTGCAACAAAAAAATAAATTCATACATAAATAATTGCATAACAGACATACTTCCAACTCAAGCTGATAATGTAATAAAGTACCAGGAAACATAACTGTCTGGAATGGAATACAAGTATTTATTATCGGCTTCAAAAATCAACACTTTCCAACTTCAGAGTCAAAGTTATTGACTTTTTTTTTAAAATATTATATGTCATAGGTTATATAATTCCAGGAAACACACAAAATCAATTACAATCCACTTCAAAACATTTACCCTAGTGGTTAAGGTGTTTGCCTTTTAAACCTGGGATCATGGAACATGGGTCAATGCCATAGTATAGGTCAAGACTATCATTCCCCATCTTGCATTTGCATTGGTTAATAATGGAAGTATATCAAAACATTATTCAAATATAATATAAGAACATGCCTCATAGTCAAACTTAATCCATAACATGCAAAATTTGTGAGATGGATTTTTTTCCAAGCTTTGAATTTGAAACAGTCTACTCAAAGTTTAAAGATTTTCAAATTTCAATATTAAAATACAAGCTAGGTCAGACTGCAGGAATGTGAGGGCTGACCTGACACTAAACTGCTGACAAACGCTTAACTCAGGGTTAACATAATTTTTGTCAAATGAAAGCAAAAAATGCCGATAGATTTTCAATAGAGCTATCATCAATAGAAATGATAGTGATGTATCAATGATATTTTTCTGTCAACCAATAATCGATACACATTTTAGAAAATCAATAATTTTGACTTAATAATTGAGTATCTTAAAATCATGAAAATTCACCCAAAATATATGTAGAGGCATATTTCATAGCAGTGATAACAAAAAATGGTCAGCAAAAATCAAGCAATGGACATCTATAAACAAGACACATGAATAAAAAAAAAAAAAGAGTACAAATGCATAGTTTGAGCCGCGTCACGACAAAACCAACGTAATAGTAGATGCGTAGGCTGGTATGGATCCATGCTGGTTGCAAACCCATTATGTTGGTTTTGTCGTGAGGCGGCTCAGTTTATTATCTTTGTCTAGCCTACCCACTTCTGCATTAATGACAAAATTTACAAACATAAGAAAGTTCTATAATTGATTACCTCTTTGGACGTAAGATGGGAGATGGAAGGGTGTGTCTCGTAGAGCATCATGAACATTTTCCTTCTTTAACAACATTAACTGGGGAATTATTCCCCCTGCTATACAATCTCTAATAAACTGAAAAATATAACACATATATATATATATATATCCTTATAAAAATACAATTTTATGTCAGCTTTACCATTTAAGTTTAAAATAGCAAAATTTTATGATGTCAAGGGCAATAACTCTACACATATTGAATAAATCCACAAGCAAACCCCCAGGTGTACAACAGTTACACATGCTGACCAACATTCCTGTAGTTTCATGACTCTAGGTTAAACACTTTATGAGCTATGGATGACAAAAATTGAAAAGTTTTACTTAGTCAAAAGCAATAATTCTAAAAAGACTGAATTAATCTGCACACAAAACCCTAGGTACACAACTTCACATGCTGATCAACATTCCTGTAAAGTTTGTTGACTCTAGCTCTATCAATTTTAAAACTACATATGACACAACACTTTGAAACAGAAGCACAGATACACAGACAGACAGACAAGGGCAAATTTAAATGCACCCCCCCCCCCCCTTCGTATAAAAAACTGCGAAAGTTATGAAAGAATAAATGACATGAGCAAAATTCACACTTTGTAACACAAATTCCACTTAAAATGTTTTAGGTTTTTTTTCCAATATGAAATATACGTACAGAAAATGATAACATTATTACATGTACCTTATATTGACTAATTGGATATCCTTCAAATAAAAACTGATCACAGCCGCACACTTTAAGTACATAGGTATGAGAGAATCCCTCAATACATCTTTCAATCTCCTCCTTGTTACGTCCCATATTTCTACTCCTACGACGTATCGTCTCCGCGATGACGTCATTCGGTTTAGCTGTGTGAGGTAATTTTACTGTGTATTTGTTCCGACTTTTGTCTTGTTGTACCACCCATATACATACATAGATATGCTTGTCTGAAAAAGAAAAACACACCAAAAATAATGAAAATTTCAAATGAAAGTAAACCATCATTCATTGACTTTTTACAAACCTTTGTCAACTCTATCTGTAATTTCAAAGGAAAGCTTTAAAGGCCTATCATGTCTCAGAAATGCTTTTTTTTAATTTGTTCTCAAAAGATTTTTAATTTTGATGTACTTTTATAAATATCTAAAAAGTTACTAATTGGCCAATTACCTGAATCAACTTTTTCATCTGTTGCTTTTTGGCAATAAGTACATTTATAGTCATTTAGTATTTTGTATGGAAGTCAAAATACTACTAAGTTTACATTTTGCTTCTTGAAAACACATTATTTCATATTTATCACTACTTTCATCAGGTAATAAGCATCTAACATGCTCTAAAACCATTATTTAAACATTACAAAATTCACGTTCATGTTTCTAAAGAAGTAAAATATTATTTATTTCTCAGGCATAATGTGCCTTTAAGTCATAGTATTAACTATTTTTATTGTTGTTGTTCATTATGTTACTTAATGTATATATTCACATAATAAAACCAAATGAAAATGAATATGTACAAGAGTGCAAGTCGAAAATATCAGAAAACCTGCAAACACTGAATTGAGTATTATTTCAATTGGCTTTATACAGAAAACAGAACTTTCAGGAGTAGAAAAAAACCTGAACTTCAGGTAAATTCCTGAAAACTTGTACCCATGTATGTATCAAGCAATTATTTATATTCTATGAGAACTGACATACTTGTTTGATGAAGTTTCTCTTCAAGATGAGACGGAAGTTTAGCGGAAGATTCTACATCGGGTGGGTACGTGTACAGTGCCAGACTGTGTTTACCGTTACGTTTACGATCTTCAACAGCTTCTTTACACACTTTGAGAATATTACGTCGAAAGGTCATGACCTCTAGATCTTTCATTTCATTGAACTCGTTCACAGGGATACCCACAGTCATGCCTGTAATTACAGAAAATATTTCATGTACATAAATATGTTATAATTATATAGGCATACTACATTTTACATTTCATCTCAAACTCTTTTTTTTACCAATTTGAAATAAACAATCTGCCATCTGTCAATAGTTTTTTTTAAATTCCCCCTTCCCCCCCAAAAATGAAGAATGGTTTTGTCCAGATTGTAAGCTGGACAAGTGGACAAGTCCATTTATGATATTTAACAAGTGGTATGGGGTTAATCTACAAGTATGTTACATACAGTACCATTAAGTTTAGCATTAATTGAGTAGTTTGATTTGACTAATATTCCCATTTTAAAGATATCACTATAATAAATATCTAAGAACTATACAACAGCATTACTGTCCTAAGCCATAATGAAAGGATTTACAGTGATTTTATCATTACCATTGAATATAAAAAAACATTGAGCATACAAATATGGTACCAGTAGTTTGCCAGCTTAGTGCTATTTATAAATGGTTTAGTTTTAGGTGTGGACATTCTGACAGCGAGGTTATCAAAAAAACATTTCTGAGCTCTGTCTCAAATCTCAGGATTTTCAATCGTCTATGTAAATTCTGCAGCAATATTCTGTTTATTCATCATATACATCAATTGCATAAATGCTTCAAAGAATTGGCTTAGCATAGTCAACATTATTTGGGACTCCTACTTTTTCTGGCTTGAGAGTCTCAGAACTACTATTTTGATCATCCTAAGGTTATAGTGTAATAAATTGTTAAAATGTTAAATTTATCTGGTGTTTTTTTTTGTTTATGCAAACTCTTAAATACAGTACATTTTGATGTAGCAAACATAAAAAAGCAAAAATTTTCAAACATAAATACAGGGTTACACCCTCCCACCCCAATTTTCATGAACCCTTGCCCCTGTGCCTGGTAAAATTCCCGGGGAAAGGCCTATTATAACTGTCAAAAATCTTTATAACTAAATTTACTAATATTAAATGTAAGGGACTTGCATTACAGTTAATACACACATACAAACGTTTATCTTTATAATATCATTATTCAAAACTATGTATATGCTGAAACAGGATGTTATTATTGATTATCTATAGGCAAAAATCTATCATGTTCAATGGTTAACTAGAAAATATACATGCCTGACAAGTATAAGATATAAACATACAAGACATTTACAGAAGGCTTAACATCAATGAGGAAATCAAAATCTGGTTTTAAAATGTATGAGCAACTTAAAAACTTGAGTAAAACTGTAATTTAATAAACAGGATGATTAATAACTAAGTCATTTAAATTTCTATTAAGATAAAATTAAATAAAATACAGTCGAGACTGTCATAATTTATGTGACTTTCCAAGGGACCTTAAGAATAAAGTCACATATGACCACATGACCGGGAGTCTCATAATACAGTCTGAAAAAGAGATGTTAAGTTTTTCAAACATGAGCACTTCAAGTTAGAAAGATTACATTTGTAGAAGTCCGAGTTATTTCAATAACTAAATATTAAACCTGTGCAGCCAACAGTACAGCATCCAGTCAAACTTACGGACATTCTAATTATATCTAATATAGGACATGTATGACTACACCATTGTTCTCTCTATTGTTCTTTTTTCAGCCAAATAAAAGAAAAAAGCCACATAAAAGTATACGGAACGAATGACATCAAAGAGAAAGAATAGTTACCTACTGTTCAGCTAGCCACATAAGTACCCAAATGTAAGCAAGGATATACAGATGAAAGGCTTAACTAGTCTTATATTGGTCAGACTATATCATATGGATATGCAGATGAAGACTTACGTGGCATTATACTAGTGGAACACATAGGCCCATTATTATTGCTAGCACCCGAAGGTTGAATGTCAACATTACATAGAGCAAGGATTTAAGACACACTTACCTATGGTATAATTTTGCATCTTTTCCTCCCTATTACCCTTTGGTTCAACCACTTTTAGAATCGGCTGAAATAATCTTAAGTCACACAATCTTCTAGTTTCATCATAAAACTCTTCACGTTCAGCATCTTGTGTTATTCCAACGAAAATATATGACGAGGGGTCTAAAAGTTTGTGAAATAATGGCCATCGTTTTGCCTCTGTCCATAAATCACTTTTAATTCTTTCCATGGTAGCATCTCTGTTGCATCTGAGTGGTAAAAGAATTCCTGTTGGCATCAGGCAGTCAACATGTATCTGCAACGGCATCAAATGATGACCCCATAATTCTCCCGAACTTGGCGGCATTGTTTTGCCGTTCTACCAGCACTTCCCTAATACTGAATTTATTCACTATTCTGTTTCCCGTGTACATAAAGAAAAAACAAAACAAAATCATTAAATCATGACAGAAAGTAAACAGATTCACATCATCCTTGAATAACTGGAAAACAAAATGTAAATCATATATATATATCGATTGACAGTAGGAAAAAAAGTTGTTGACAACCTACTGGTATTTCTATATATTTTAGCTAAAAACAAATGTAGCAACATGAAATGTTGTAAACAAAGTTAAACTGATGTTATTCAAATTATCTTATAAGATAAATTTGAGAAAACACAAGAGCAATATTGAGGTAAAATGACACAGCAATTTTCTTCCTTTATGGTTAGTCAACTTAAAACCCCAGATAATTAATAAAATGGAAATCAGTGGAATTTCTATATACTACAGTAATGGTTTTAAAACAGTCATATAAAACAAACTTTATTTCTCATAAAGTATCAGATTAATAGTTTACCTGATGAATCTGTGTTATGTGTTTACGCAGTTTTACATTTTGAACAGTCCATTCAAAGTTTAAGGGATTTAAAAACTCCAATCCATAATACAACATGATATGTAAACAAAATCTCCAACCCCTACACAACATCATATGTAAAAAAACGGTATGCAACAAAATTCACACCCCTTTACAACATCATAAGTAAATCAGGTACAAAACAAAAATTTCAACCTCTAAACAACATGATATGTTAAATTCCAGTATAAAAACAAAAACTCCAACCCCTGTACAACATCATATGTAAAATTCTGGTATACAACAAAAACTCCAAACCCTGTACAATATCATATGTAAAATTCCGGTATACAACAAAAACTTCAATCCCTATACAACATCATATGTAAAATTCCGGTATACAACAAAAACTCCAACCCCTGTACAACATCATATGTAAAATTCTGGTATACAACAAAAACTCCAACCCCTGTACAACATCATATGTAAAATTCCGGTATACAATGTACAACAAAAACTTCAACCCCTGTACAACATCATATGTAAAATTCCGGTATACAATGTACAACAAAAACTTCAACCCCTGTACAACATCATATGTAAAATTCTGGTATACAACAAAAACTTCAACCCCTGTACAATATCATATGTAAAATTCTGGTATACAACAAAAATTTCAACCCCTGTACAACATCATATGTAAAATTCTGGTATACAATGTACAACAAAAACTCCAACCCCTGTACAACATCATATGTAAAATTCTGGTATACAACAAAAACTTCAACCCCTGTACAACATCATATGTAAAATTCCGGTATACAATGTACAACAAAAACTTCAACCCCTGTACAACATCATATGTAAAATTCCGGTATACATTGTACAACAAAAACTCCAACCCCTGTACAACATCATATGTAAAATTCTGGTATACAACAAAAACTTCAACCCCTGTACAACATCATATGTAAAATTCCGGTATACAATGTACAACAAAAACTTCAACCCCTGTACAACATCATATGTAAAATTCCGGTATACAATGTACAACAAAAACTTCAACCCCTGTACAACATCATATGTAAAATTCCGGTATACAATGTACAACAAAAATTCCAACCCCTGTACAACATCATATGTAAAATTCTGGTATACAACAAAAATTCCAACCCCTATACAACATCATATGTAAAATTCTGGTATACAACAAAAATTCCAACCCCTATACAACATCATATGTAAAATTCTGGTATACAACAAAAATTCCAACCCCTATGCAACATCGTACATGTAAAATACCGGTATACAACAAAAACTTCAATCCCTATACAACATTGTATGTAAAATTCCGGTATACATCAAAAACTCCCATCACAAAGAAACTCCAACCCTTATACCTCATTGTATGTAAAAAACCGGTATACAACAAAAACTCCAACCCTTAAGCAACATCGTACATGTAAAATACCGGTATACAACAAAAACTTAACCCCTATACCACATAACTCAGGTTTACCCTTATACTAATACAATGTAGGCTATACCACGTTCAAGTTTTAAACAATGAACAAGTATAAATTGAAGGTGTAAAAATTTATTTGTATTAATATAATCAAATCTAAATGTAATATTATGGTATTCCTTCATTGAATTTTGATCTTTTTCAATCTTATCAATAAATTCATACACTTTTGATCTATAATTACTCTCCCAATAGTATTCTGTAAACAAGGTCCTTATTTTTGTAAATATGTCTATAAAATATGAGCGTATTCTTTCTGTGGTATCAAATTATTCCAGCAATCTTAATTTAATCTAAACTACATCTATATTAAACAACAAGATATATATTGAAGAAAAAAAGTGTTTCCCCTACAATCTTTAAAGGGACTCCACTGAGGTTTTGGAACATGAAGGGAACTGGGAATATATTTTTTTAATTTCTGTAACATTTAATTAAGTATTGGCAGATCTTGTCCACAAAATTATGCATCATTTGCCCACTTCATTTATCCAGAAAAATATTTTTTATTTTACAAAATGTCCAAAGAATCAAAGAATTTAACTCACTATATTGATGAAGCAGTACCTTGCATAGCAAGTATAGACACTTGCAGAAATCATAGTCACAAAGTAAAAAAAATATCACTTTTTTTGCCTGTTCTTACATTTTTCATTCATGATCATAAAGAAATCAGTGTGAATAGATGATTTAAAAGTCTTAAAGTGCATTTTGGCGAGTGAAAAGACGAGATTTTAGCATTTAATCATTCAAGCACCTTGTCTTGTATATACCAGAAAACAGGATTTAGTTTGGTGCTCCAAAACTTTTTTAGTCTAACTCCAATTAGATTTTAAACTGCAAAATAATTGATTTTCATTTTAATTCTAGGTATATTCCTCTATTATTGTTTGCTTATCTTCTGTTTAAAGGGCACCAGTTGATCTTTGTAAGGGTTTCAAATATTTACATTTTATGACCTTTACCACTCAGATTTTCTTTCTATGTAACCTTAACCTGAATTTCTTAGATGATGTTGTCCACCTTCCATTTTTGGAACTGTCCTTTATCAAAATTTGGTATATCGAGGTGAAAGTTAAAAGTGCAAGATACAACTTTTTTACCTTTTCTATTTTTCGACTTAAATTTAATTCCAGCATACAAATTAGTTCATATTAGCCTGTTCCGATAAGTTTTGATCTAAACAACAGTAAGGAAGGAAAATAATATCCAATGAAACTGTTCTTGTGTAAAAAAATTGTAGAATATATTAACAAACTGTGAAAAAGTGAAAAAATATAACTTTCCAAATTTTTCAGTTTAACTATAAACACTTTAGTTCTTATACTTTGTAAACACCTATAGATTACTGTTTATAACAATATGAAAACAGAATCTAAAAATCCATCGTACAGGGGGGTCTATATTGCCCTGTGCTACCATTATTATTCCCCTAATTGACGGCCCATCCTTGTTATTTAAATGGTATTAATACCATTTGAGCCAGTGATTTCTTGATTGGAAATAAAAACAGATAAACAGAAAACAAATCAATCAATATATTATTGATTTAAAAATTATGAATGTATATGATACTCTATGCTGGTAAAGGCCAATATTATATCAATTTTTTCCTGGCTAATAATAATCTTTGATTCTGCTGCCAAGAACTTATAGCTCATTTGCTATGATCTTGCTTATCCTTTAACCTACTTAAGTTGCGTATCAAGTTAAGCTCAAACTATTTCTTTAAAGAAAGTTGAATGAGTAAAAAATATTTGAAGGGGAAAATCAAAGATATTGTCAAATTCAAATCACCTTTTAAAAGCCCATTATGCCTCAAAAATGCTTTAATTTTATTTCTGAAAAGCTGTTTAATTTTGATGTACTTTTATAGTATCCAAAAAGGTTTCTCATTTCAAATTGCCAATTACCTGAACCATTTTTTTTCATTTGCTGCTTTTTGGAAATAAGTACCGTTATGTTGAACAAATAACCACTTTATTCACATTTTGCTACTTTTATGACTAACTATTCACGTTTCTGGCTACTTTCTGTTACCATCTACATGACTGTAACATTCTCTAAAACCATTATTTTAAACATTTGACCTTTCTTAAGAAGTAGAAATTTATTTGTGTCCGAGACATAATGTGCCTTTAAATAAACTCCACTGAGGTCAAAAAGGTTAAAAATATAAATTTTGAAATTCTTAATATATTGTACATAAATAGATCAAGTAAAACACTTAAACTGGACAAGTGTGTAAAAGATAATAAAGAAATACACTAGAATTAAATTTAATATCCATGTTTTTTTACGATTCTTAACTTATATGAGTGAAAAGTGTTGCAACCCTTTTCATTTATCATATGGGTCAATTTGCACAAAAAAAAAGATTATTGTGGAAAAACGGAGTGAGGGAATGATCCTAAAAATTGTACACAAGTTATTGGTCAAGACCTACATCAAATGGTACACTAATATCGGGGAAAATGTTTCAAGTCCCTTCATGTCAAAAAAAACTCAGTAGAGTCCCTTTAATGTACGAACGATATAGAAAGTAAACAAAAATCATTTAGAAAGTAAACAAAAATCGCCCATCAAGAATTCAACAAATTCTCACAGTCTAATAAGCATATTACTTCAAAACAAGAAAAAACAAAAATCATTGATATAAACAACTCGGAACATGTTTTATGAGATGTCTGAGTGCATTTTATCAAAACAAGTTCATATAAAATAACAAATAACTTATCTCAAGATTTCACATCAACTGTATAAAGGAAGTGGTTTACAAGCATAAATATACAGTTATATTTAGTTTTTAAATACTGAAACCTAACACACATAAATATTTTGTTTATCAGCTGGCACAGAGGTGAGTGACCTGACAATTACTATGTACAGACAAAACAAAAACAAACATTTTCTGACCGTCATGATCTATTTACATAAAACTTGTTATAAAGCAGAATATCAAATTAATCAATTTCTATTTTACAACATTTTTAAATACTTAAGACATATAAATAAGTCTTTTATATATTTGTATTTTTTTGCTGGGAGAAGCTGGGTAAATGGGTAAAGAAAGGTCAAAAAGGTCATTTTTTTTTTGGTTTACAAGTGAGTGCTCCCCCACAAGTCATTATGCCCATCTTTTAAAA